CATTGAAAAGTTGATATTTAAAATGAATAATAGCAAAAGTTATCAGTAATTTATTATTGGAAGTCCATGTAATTACCATAAAAATTGCAGCTGATTGCTAGATAAATCAGCAGTTCGCGAAGAACTGATCTCGTTCGTCCTGCATTAAACTTTTCTATAAATCCACTCCACAAATAAGAAGTTAAAGAATTATTAAAACCCGCGTCTGGCGAGCTCATTTATAATAACAGAGCGGCCAAAAATAAAGGAAATTCAACTTCCATATTGAAAAAAGAGCACACTCTACTTCGAGCCTTTTACGAATTTTGACCGAAAACGAACGATCCTGTGATAAATATTGAAATATGGAATGGAGATATGATACTTTTTGTTCTGATCGCTGCTGCGGTGATTCGGTACCGGCGGTTGGAACGCCACAGAGATGCGCATAACTAAGCTACCAACTCTATAATCTGGGCCTTTTCAAGGCGAGAGTGAATAAGCACTTAAAGGACAGTTAAATGTAACACTCTAGATATCTCCATAACATCAGGTGCGGTCAAATACCTGCCTTATTCTGTATAAAAAACAATTTTATTCACAAAACAAAACAAACTTAACCTAACTAACTATACCATGAATGACGATTCAGACTACAAATTGACCATTTTTGGATGTCGATGGACTGAGGAATTGGCACAGACATTAATCATAGTAACTAAGATTTGGTAGGTAGCTACCACCATCAACACCTAGATTATTTACTAACTGAAAAACTGTAAAATTTTAAGTAGTTAGGTAAGTATTATGAAAAGACACTCAAGATTGAATGTACTCCGAAGCTTGTGTTTGAATGTTGTTAATCAGCATCCCTACAAAGTAACTACAACAAACCCAATTTCGTGCGTACCTACTTACCGACTTATCGCCAGTCGCATCTCTGCGTCCGCCTCCCCGTGATTAGGTTAGTTTTTTCATCCTTTTTCGTATCCTAATGGGGTTTCCGAGCACAGGTTAACTGCAGGGTCCCGTAGCTACCGTTTTATCGACTATTAACCACGTGTGAACCGTGATGCGTATAACTTTAATGGCGTCTATCCAGGTTTAACGGTAGACGCTTAATTTCGAGTAGTTGAGACAAATCGTTNTGTCCACCTTTTTTTAATATCAAACTACTGTGCAGCGATCTGATGAACTCGATGATATCTATGTATGTATGGTATTGTTTTTAATTTAATATTTATAGTCATTTAGTTCCAAAGATCACTCGATGGTAATTCCATATTTTTGCTCGCGAGTGTATAGTGATAGTACTTGGCACAGCATCTTAGTAACATCCTTCTAGCAATACTTAACGGTATAAAATTTATAAAGATATCAGTCCCCATTCCAGAATGGTTTGCCTCTAAACTCACACACTACATACTAGGCTGGCTAGATTTTGCTAAATTTAAAACGTCATCTAACTTGACTCTATTTTTTATCTCATTCAACTCGATAGATTGTCACACACAACACTAGTTTGTAATGCCTCGATTATGTGTCGGATCGAGACGCCTATTTGTAGCTTGTGAGGTAACAAAAGTGTGGATTGTGGAAATCAACTTTGAGGTTTTAATGCAAGCTATTATTGTTATAAATTTGTAGCTGCGGTGATGCTATCATCGCCTCTCAAAGGGCTCAAAACGATACAAAGTTATCGTACTTTGTTGTAACGTTTCTAACTTTTGCTTATAGTTATGGTATTTATTAGCTACATTCATTTCAAATATAAATTAGAGCAAGTGTGGAGGTTGGTCCGTTTTATTTATAAACTACTTGGTTTTCTTCTGAAAATAATGAAGCATACAGCAGTAGATGAGTTGTCGCAGAACCAACGAAATGAACCGATGATAAAGTACCACGTTTACATTAGTCAACATTCAGAATCACACCATCTAAGACTGAAAAAATAGTACCGATCGTTTCATCCACGAAGACGCGCCCCACTTCTTCCGCTAATGTTTGAGTGTTATCGGTAGGTACACGCTAAATTATCCATGAGTGCACAAGCACACTACAATAATGACGCTCCGATTGCTCGGTTCAAACTCCTCGCACCCCGCGCTTCCCTCGACCAAAAAGTGGTGGGGCGCGTCTTCATGGATGAAACAATCTATAGATGGAAATGGAAATGACAACAAAATGAAACACCCATAAATATTTTTCAGGTATACATATTTATTTATAAATTACGCGGTCACATGATATAAATTAAATTATGTACAATTAAATAATACAGTTATATAAAAATAATTATTACAGATCGTAGCTAGAGGCGACGTCCGTCCGTCGAGCATTCTTCGGTGGCGCTCCGAACGTTCGGCGAAGGTTCGTCATCCCCACAACCGCAACATAAAGTATATAAACTCAAGCTTAAATTTAAAAGCTGCATTCTGTTAGGNGAATCGTTTAAGGAGTTTAACTAGAACTAGTAGTTCAGTTTCCCCGATTAGGTAGGTACATCGAATCACTCGTTTATTTATTAGGTGCAGAGATTTACACAATAATGTAAAAGTGCCTACTGGTAAGCATTTCTAGAAATATATTTCTTCTAGTCCTCGATGGTGAGAGGATTATGAAAAATTAGAAAATAAGGACAACATTTAAATACCTAGCTGTGGCATGAATTTGTCGTCTGTGGTTGAGGATTCGAGGTGAAGCTCGGTTCTACCCTCGGCCTGATCATCACTTTCCATCTTGGGACATGCAGGCCAAGAGCTTCTCCGTTAAAAAACTACTAATTATATTTTGTGACCTTATTTTTCTATTGTATAAAGCATCTATCCTTAATACTTTATATTATTAGCATAGATCATCATACTCACTCTTCACCGAAACTCTGTAATATGTATAATGTCACTTCCTATGTTCCGCCTGCACACGAATTCAATGCTACGCCTACGCGTTGGATTATGCATTGTGAGCCGTAATTTTAATGTCAGCAGCCATTACAAAAGTGGCACAAATTAGTTGTGTGTACGAATTAATTTACTTTTAAGATCAAGGGTCTTACCTCACGTTTTCGAAGATCTAGGCCGCAATCAAAGCGCATGTTGAATGTTCACACTTCATGCTATAGTTCGCTTCAGAAGTCGCTGATGCCACGATGCCAGTTTTACACTTTCCTGCTGTTAGGCTCTCTTCAAAAGTCACTGATGCTTTTCCATCTTTTTCAACCTTCATGATAAGGACTCCGTAAGCTTATCCAACTAACTGCCTAATTGGGTTGCCAACGTTAAAAAACTAATATTGTTCTAGTAAGTTTAACTTAGGAACATTTTTTTTATAATTAAAATACTAAATCCAAAATTAACATCCACTTTCGGTCTAAAGTTTGATAAAAATAAATGACGTAATTAACGATCGTGATCAAAAATAAAATCTATGGAGATACCTATAGCTACGCAAAGACTACCCTCAAATTAATAAAAGTTACTTCTAAATAGGTAATATTAAAATTGCAATGAATCGATCAAATTGGCCTGGTCATAATTAAAATTTTATTTCCATAATTGAATTACGACGTTCCATGTTGCTAGTAAAACAGACACCTACCCACATTATTACAGAACTAACACATCACTCCGTTTTAATTAAACAACTCATTCGTATCTTTAAAAGAGCAAAAGACATGAATAGATCCCGTCACCTCGTCGAGTGAAGAATAAAAAACAATCATAACTGGTTCCTGGGATTTCATATTTTAAAATAAGCGTATTTTGAATAAGAGGTTTTGCCGCGTCACGTTCGAGGTTCGTAATAGTGTTGTGTGGATCGATTGTTTTAGTATCGATATAATTTTATTCGGATCTTCGAGATATTACTTTGATGATGACCTGGATAAATAGTTTACCAAATTACAACTTTAGTGTTGCGAAGTTGAATGTCAGCAAGATTCAACTTTCAATTAAGTCTTCAGCATAATTATTTCGAGTAGGAATTATGTTAGTTTAAAACTTTAAAGTACCTAATATCTTTTTTATAGCATACATACTTGAGTGATAATTGGCACAGCATCTTAGTAACGTCCTTCTAGCAATAATGGTAAAGATATCAGTTCACAATAATTTTCCTTTATAAACTCGCACAATGCTAGGTGCTGGTTAGACTAGACTCTGCTCTATATAAAACGTCACCTAACTTGACTCGATTTTTTATCGATGTCGATAGATTGTCACAAACAACACTAGTTTGTAATGCCTCGATTATGTGTCGGATCGAGACGCCTATTTGTAGCTTGTGAGGTAACAAAAGTGTGGATTGTGGAAATCAACTTTGAGGTTTTAATGCAAGCTATTATGGTTATAAATTGTAGCTGCGGTGATGCTATCATCGCCTCTCGAAAGGGCTCAAAACTATACAAAGTTATCACGCATTTTGTGTAACTTTTTAAAGTGTTTGATATGCTTTTTAAGAATGAATGTTTTAAAGGCTGGTTCTTGGTCTCCAGTAGTCTTAAAATAAGACCTGACCACTGATTTTTCCCAAAAATAATGAACATAGCTAATTTAAAAATGTCGCAGGGCCGATGAATGAAGTAAAGCAGTGGGTCTAGACAAAGTGCCATTATAATCGCAAACCAGTCGAAAAGTGGTCGAAAAGCCCCTTTTTTGTATGGAATTTGACGGATTCGATTTTCGATTCGATCAAAAAGTGCGTTTTGTCTAGGGGGGCAGTTCTCAAAATGATGTAACCGGAAAAAAGTCCAACAGTGGACTGCTCTATAGCAGCCTATGCTAAAATGCCTATCTCTATGATAAGCTCTATTTTCATTTGATGAAGCTAATGATGATTATACTATTTTTAGTAATTTTAACATTAAGTCACTGTTCAGAATCACACCAGGGATGAAAAGATACTTATAGATTGAAATGTCATCAAAATGAAACACCCATGAATATTTTTCAGGTATACATATTTATTTATAAATTACGCGGTCACATGATATAAATTAAATTATGTACAATTAAATAATACAGTTATATAAAAATAATTATTACAGATCGTAGCTAGAGGCGACGCCCGTCCGTCGAGCATTCTTCGGTGGCGCTCCGAACGTTCGGCGAAGGTTCGTCATCCCCACAACCGCAACATAAAGTATATAAACTCAAGCTTAAATTTAAAAGCTGCATTCTGTTAGGCCAGGACAATAGATACGATAAAGAAAACAAAAAAGAAATAATAACAACGGATAAATTCGAATAAATAAATTAACATTTAAACGTTAACAGTGACTAGAGAGCGAGGATTCCGTCCAAGCGACTTCTCGTAGGCATTCGATAGGGTGTAACACTTATGAATACTTAATAAATTAATAAATAATTTAATATAAAAAAAACTTCTTTACACACTTAGACTCCGAGTTGTATAAAAAAAATTGCTCAATTGAATCATTCTCCAGTTTTTGGGGGTACCGCAGGGTAGTGTTCTGGGTCCCTGTTTATTGGTCATTGTTTTGTCTAGATGTCGCTGACGTTTAGGTAGAAGGCTGCGTGCGCATCGCCTTTGGAACCGACAGCGCGGGCTTGGTACTGGCCGGCGTCGTCGGGCGAGGCCTTGGCGATCTCGAAGCGATATCGCGACGTGCCTTCCATCGTGAACCTGTAGCGGGCGGATGTCTCGTCCACTGGCTTGCCGTCCTTCAACCATTGGAGCTGGAGTGGTGGCTGTAAAGATTTTGGATAATTAGTATGATGTTTTAGCTCAGAGGTCAAAAGGATATTAGTTATAGATTCTGAAGAGTAAAAATGGAAACAATTTCCCCATTTAACTAAACAACGAGCAATAAGTAAACCCTGTGCAATGGAAGTCTTTTCAGATGCTGGGACTGCTGCGGGCTTTAATGCGTTGAGATAGGGTCCACATTACCTTGTCCGCTTATTAATTTCGTTGCGGGTCCAATGACAGTTTAACTTTCCCCCGGGACAAACTTGGCCTTCATTGGTTGGGTTTTTTTATTTGCGGTTAAGCTGTAGATCCTGGCTACACAGGAGTTGCAGTGGGAACCAGAGGTGGGAATAGTCCCGTTTACCTTGTCCAGCTCCGCGGTGAACACGGCCGGCTCCGCGGATGACACGGTGGCGGAACCAGGGAACAGCTTGTACTGGGGCGTCACAGGCTGAAAGCGACTCTGATGCCTGTACATAGGGTCTACTTTACCTTGTCCAGCTCCGCGGTGAACACGGCCGGCTCCGCGGATGACACGGTGGCGGATCCTGGGAACTGTTTGTACTGCGGCGCCGCAAGCTAAACGCGCCTTTAGTGCGCGGGAATAGGGTCTATTCTATCACAAATTGAAAGCGACTGTAGTGAACTTAACTGACTGAACTGCTTCTACTGGGGCGTCACAGGCTGAAAGCAACTCTAGTGCCTGGCAATAGGATCCACTTTACCTTGTCCAGCTCCGCGGTGAACAAGGCCGGCTCCGCGGATCACACGGTGGCGGATCCGGGGAACTGCTTGTACTGCGGCGCCGCAAGCTATAGGCGTCTTTATTGCCTAGCGATAGGGTCCACTTTACCTTTTATGATACGGTGGTGGAGTTGAAGAACTGCTTGTACTTCGGCGCCGCAAGCTATAGACGCCTCTAGTGCCTAGCAATAGGGTCCCATTTACCTTGTCCAACTCCGCGGTGAATACGGCCAGCGGGAACTGCTTGTCCTATGGCGCCACAGGCTGAAAGCGACTGATGCCTGGCAATAGGGTCTACTCTACCATAAATTGAAGGCGACTGTAGTTCCTAGCAATAGGGTCCACTCTATCTTTTCCAACACCGCGGTGAACACGGCCACACAGGATGGCTACACAGGAGTTGCAGCGGTGGGAACGAGAGGTGGCATTAGTCCAGTAGTGCCTAGCAATAGGGTCTACTTTACCTTGTCCAGCTCCGCGGTGAACACGGCCGGCTCCGCGGATGACACGGTGGCGGATCCTGGGAACAGCTTGTACTGCGGCGCCGCAAGCTAAAGGCGTCTCTATTGTCTAGCAATAGGGTCTACTTAACCTTGTATGAGCCGGGGAACCGCTTGTACTGTGGCGCCACAAGCTGAAAGAGCCTCAGATGGGTCTACTCTACCGGGAATTCTGCGGGCTAAAAGCGACTGTAGTGCCTTGCAATAAGGTCTACTTTACCTTGTCCAGCTCCGCGGTGAACACGGCCGGCTCCGCGGATGACACTGTGGCGGAGCCGGGGAATAGACAGTTTGACACCATACCCCAATAATTCGAAACCACAACTGTTTTAAAAAGACTCTTCATTCTGCTCTTAAAAACCTAATTTATTTTAAATTACCTGTAAATTTCGATTTTTGTTCGAATTGTAATTGAAAAAAGTAGTTTAATTGGGTTGACAAAATAGTGACGTCACTTGCTTGTAGTGCCATACAAGATCTATGGGAGAGTTTCGTTTTGACAGTTTTAAAAAGTACGTCAATTGACTGTGGTGTCAACATGTCTATTGCTTGTACTGTGGCGCCATTAAACTAAAAGCGACTCTGATGCTTAACAATAGGGTCTACTTTACCTTGTCCAGCTCCGCGGTGAACACGGCCGGCTCCGCGGATGACACGGTGGCGGATCCTGGGAACAGCTTGTACTGCGGCGCCGCCGGGGTTTCCCCGGGCACCATGACAACTAGGGAGCACGACGAGAACGACTCGCCCGCGTCGTTGAATGCCTCGCATGTGTATACGCCTGGAAACAAAATGTTATTTTAATAATAAACCATCGGAGATATTCTTCTTCATAGGTTCTTCTTCTTCGTCGACTACACAGTGTCAGCCCAAAAAGAGTTATTCATAGGTTGTCTGGAAGAGATAGTTTTGTAGCGATAAGACTGCCTAAATTGTACTGTCCCTGTATATCTCTTGCTTTTTTTTTGTGTGGTGTACAATAAAGTGTCTTTATTATTTTATTATTATACATCAATCTTTTTTGATTAATTAAAAATAAATGCAAGAATTCAGATTTTAACTGCCACAATGGGGAATTAAACCCCGGATTTACTGAGTTCAATACAATTTAAACATTAGCGCCATCTACAGACGTTTTGTCGAACGATACATGGAAGATTTTCTTTGAAAGTGTCTAGTGAGAAATCACGGCGCTATTTATTTTTAATAAATCATGACATTGATCATTATAATTTGTAACCGGCTAACAATGAATCGATGTGTTAATGAAAATAACTCAATTGATTGGCAAATCGAATTACTTTTGTCTAAAATTACATATTTAACGCCATCTATGCCTCACTAGCTGAACTACTCAACATACTTTTCCATAATAACAAATCTTGCATTTAACGCCATCTATGCTTCACTAGCTAAACTACTTCCTATACTTTTCCTTTTTATAACAAATATTGCATTTAACGCCATCTATGCATCACTAACTTAACTACTCACTATAACTTTCCCGTGTTAACAAATTACTAATTTAACGCCATCTATGCGTCACCATCTGAACTACTCACCAGCATCCTCAGGGAATATTTCTGCGATGTGTAACTTGTGAATGTTGGCCTCGCTTGAGTATTGGAAGTCTTTGGAAGGCTTGATCTCTTTGTTGTTGTGCAGCCAGACCACGTCGAAACGCTCGGCGCCTACGATTCTGTTGGGGAAACGGATTGGTTTAATTTATATCGGATGAGAAAGAGTTACCTTGGTTTGTCACTAGATGGTGTTGTTACGGTACAAAGAGTTTTTTGCTGGTTCTCATTTTATTTATTTCTTGATAAACAATTTACCAACAACATAATCCTTACACATGCATTGTTACATTATAAGAGAGCTAAAATCTGAAAGATATGCAACAATCTCGGTTATAATTTAGGTAGTTCAGTTAATCAATAAAAGGGATAATTTTATTTGTTGATTTCAAAGCTACTCAAAATCAAATTAACTCTTTGAGGATTGGATTAAGAGCCATTTTACATTTTCGTGCGAATTTCTAAGATTTTGGAAGCATGAATTACTATCTTAAGCAACACCCAGAGATTATTTAATAACTGCGAAAGATAGGTCGATCCTTGGTGTTGACCATTAATGAAACGGATTTACTAAAACTCTTTTGCTTAATTCTCAGTGCCCCGTCTCCCACAACCATTTTACGGAAAAATTGCCGCAGACTCTATTTCAAAGTCCTGTATCTATTATTTATGCTCATATCCCTTTCAGGACGACCTAACACGATCGTGCACGTTATTTCAAAAAATTCCCGCGACTTTTCTAACAAACTTTTCGGGCCCAAGACGCTAGCCAACGATCGTGCATCAGTCTGTTTATGAATTAAACGCATAGGTGCGAGAGAGAAGGCCGTCAGTGTTCTTTGACACCAAGGTAAAGATGTCGACCTCTTTTGTTGAGCGGAGTGGTCAGCGTTAGTACTTATTATTTCGTGATTAATTCAACTATTTTACTAGAATTTTGGTTTTAATATTTTGTTTAGTTAGTAATGTAATTCGGTAAATCAAATTTTTGGCATTATTTATTTTGCAGTGGGAAATATTACCTCTCAAAATTTTGTTTGCACGATAGTGACGATCCGACTCAAACCCAACATTCGGTAACATACTTTGTATGGCGGTGAACTATTCTTTTTTAATGCTTTCAATTAAATTTCGGCTTTTAGGAACAGAATTAACGGGTGAATTGTTGCTTCAGCTTATTGGGCATGTCAATTATTCCGAAATTGAAGAGATGGAACATGATAAAGGCAATGTAGAAGTCTTGGTTTGCCATTGATGCCTACTGATGAGCCTCAATCACCTTCAAGACATGGTCCATTGTCAGTTACTGTGCCAATAGCTCTCTAAAAGTCGTCGGAAAGCCATGCGACTGGCCAAAGGGTCTTGATACAGATGCCATTGAACCAGAGGGATTATTACTATCCAGAACTATTGTCAGCAGTAGTAGTCTCCTTTGACCTACAGTGTAGGCTTTTGACGATATGTTTTTTGAACATGCAGGTGTTTGTACCAATAATTATCCGCAAAACGGGAAAAGTATTGAATACCCCAGCAAAAAAGTTCAAAAAGTAGTTTGAATTAATTTCTTCATGGAATGTATTCCGTCCCCACGCATTCACGTGTATTGTCGTCGAATAGAATGAGATTAGCTTTAGTTGCTGACAAAATTTTCAGAGATCTATTTTGAGTTTTAGTGTGGCTTTCCATGTTGTAAACAGTGATGAAGCTCCTGCAGTAGGAAAACCAGAATTGAGTTTCGGAAGGAAGGGCATGCTGTGCCTACTCAAGTCTAGAATGCTTGAGATAAAGTAGAAAGACAACATTTTTTTTCTGATGTGAGAAAAAATCAAATAGGTAAATTATACATTATTTCTTTATTATTATGTATGATGTACTGTCTTAGGTACGATACAACTACGGATTAAGATCCTTTAGTCGACGCAGCGTTGAAATTGTACAGATAAATGCAGGTTGCGCACTCACTACGCGACGTCAAGCAATAAAAACCTAAAATTCGAACGCCAACTTTTTGCTACAACGCTCTTAAAGTTCCTTCGCCTTTTAAGAGTATTAAAAATATATGTTTCTAAATATTTTATTGTTTTTTAGGTTTTTAACTTCAAAACCTGATACCGTCACTTTCGTGCAGTAAATTAATTTAAGCCTGAGCGTCACGATCGTGCTGGGTCCCCCCACGCAGAGGGGGGCAAGGGGGATTTTTAAAATTATTTTTTTGGAGTACCTTATACAATAATAAAACATGCTATGTAGTCAAAAATGTTAATTTTAAAAAATCTGAAATCCGGCCTGAAAGGGATATAATAAGCTTAAAAATATATAGTAATCATCAAACATATCGCACCCTTAATAATGAATGGGCACAACTCCAAAATTCAGTTTTTTGGGAAAAGCCAAAAAACAAATCGGCGGATCGCGGTTTTTTACATAATTGGCTCTAAAATCTTTATTTTATCAGCTACAACTTTCAAATTAAGCATACTTCATCACTGGTATCTGTTATATAATTTGACATAAGACATTTTTGAAAATATTGATTATGAGTATTTAAAAATATTGTTTCAAAAAATATTTCAAAGTCAGGCCTTTATTTTACTATTTCCGTTGTTGTGATTTTGGGTATTACTTATACTTGTGCCCATCTAATCCTTAGGCTGAATTGAATTGTTTTATATGGCATATTCCCTAATATTGCTCTCTAATATTTAAAAATAAGTGTATTATTCGATTTTTATATTGATTTACGCCCAATAACATTGGGGACAGTTATCGTGCGGTATAGTAGCTTATAGCCAATTCAGTATAACAGTAGGGTGCTGAATACTAGGAAATTATTAGATATGTCGAATTAGATTAAAATAAAGACTATTAGCTATTTCTCTGAGAAAACCGACATGAAAATACTAATTTTATGCATTCAAAATATTTTTACTTAGATAGATAGGGACTCTTACCTTATAAAAATATGCTTTTCATCAAATCAAGAAAAAACCTACAAAAACTTTTTCTGTAAGGTTTTCTGTTATGGATTTGTTCAGGATAATCACTTATTAAAGTCCAACAGCCAGTACCTTGGTATCTTTTTTCCACTATCCTGCTGTCCTGGTGGAAGGAACCGTTCTCCTTGTCCCTTACTATAATTACCCACATTATGTNCTTTATCTTTTATGAGCCGGGAAACCGCTTATACTGTGGCGCCACAAGCTGAAAGAGCCTCAGATGGGTCTACTCTACCGGGAATTCTGCGGGTTAAAAGCGACTCTAGTGCCTGGCAATAAGGTCTACTCTACCTTGTCCAGCTCCGCGGTGAACACGGCCGGCTCCGCGGATGACACGGTGGCGGATCCTGGGAACTGCTTGTACTGCAGCGCTACAAGCTAAAGGTGCCTCTCATCATCATCATCATTTCAGCCACAGGACGTCCACTGCTGAACATAGGCCTCCCCCAATGACTTCCACATCGCATGGTTGGTAGCGGCCTGCATCCAGCGCCTTCCTACTACCTTTATCAGGTCGTCCGTCCACCTTGTAGTGGACGTCCCACGCTGCGTTTTCCGGTACGTAGCCTCCACTCCAGAACCTTACTGCCCCATCGGCCGTCAGCTTTGCGTACTATGTGCCCTGCCCATTGCCACTTCAGCTTGCTAATCCGTCGGGCTATGTCAGTGACTTTAGTTCGTATACGGATCTCCTCATTTCTGATTTGATCTCGTAAAGAAACTAAAGAAACTGGCGCCTCTAGTGCCTAGCAATAAGGTCTACTCTACCTTGTCCAGCTCCGCGGTGAACACGGCCGGCTCCGCGGATGACACGGTGGCGGATCCTGGGAACAGCTTGTACTGCGGCGCCAGAAGCTAAACGCGCCTTTAGTGCGCGGGAATAGGGTCTATTCTATCACAAATTGAAGGCGACTGTAGTGAACTTAACCAACTAAACTGCTTCTACTGGGGCGTCACAGGCTGAAAGCGACTCTGATGCCTGTACATAGGGTCTACTTTACCTTGTCCAGCTCCGCGGTGAATACGGCCGGCTCCGCGGATGACACGGTGGCGGAACCAGGGAACTGCTTGTACTGCGGCGCCACAAGCTAAACGCGCCTTTAGTGCGCGGGAATAGGGTCTATTCTATCACAAATTGAAAGCGACTGTAGTGAACTTAACTGACTGAACTGCTTCTACTGGGGCGTCACAGGCTGAAAGCAACTCTAGTGCCTGGCAATAGGATCCACTTTACCTTGTCCAGCTCTGCGGTGAACACGGCCGGCTCCGCGGATGACACGGTGGCGGAACCAGGGAACTGCTTGTACTGCGGTGCCACAAGCTAAAGGCGCCTCTAGTGCCTAGTAATAGGGTCCTCTTTACCTTGTATAATACGGTGGCGGAGCCTGCTTGTATTTCGGCGCCACAAGCTATAGGGGCTTCTAGTGCCTAGCAATAAGGTCCACTCTACCTTGTCCAGCTCCGTGGTGAACACGGCCGGCTCCGCGGATGACACGGTGGCGGAACCAGGGAACTGCTTGTACTGCGGCGCCGCAAGCGAAAGGCGTCTCTATTGCCTACCAATAGGGTCTATTCTACTACAAATTGAAGGCGACTGTAGTTCCTAGCAATAGGGTCTACTTTACCTTGTATGAGCCGGGGAACCGCTTGTACTGTGACGCCACAAGCTGAAAGAGCCTCAGATGGGTCTACTCTACCGGGAATTCTGCGGGCTAAAAGCGACTGTAGTGCCTGGCAATAAGGTCCACTTTACCTTGTCCAGCTCCGCAGTGAACACGGCCGGCTCCGCGGATGACACAGAAGCGGAGCCGGGGAACTGCTTGTACTGCGGCGCCGCGAGCGAAAGGCGTCTTTAGTGCGCAGTGATAGGGTCTATTCTACCCCAAATTGAAGGCGACTGTAGTTCTTAGCAATAGGGTCTACTTTACCTTGTGTGAGCCGGGGAACCGCTTGTATTGTGGCGCCACAAGCTGAAAGCGACTCTGATGCCTGTACATAGGGTCTACTCTACCTTGTCCACCTTGTCCTTGATTCTAGTTAGCGGGAATAGGGTCTATTCTACCACAAATTGAAGGCGACTGTAGTGAACTTAACCAACTAAACTGCTTCTACTGCGGCGTCACAGGCTGAAAGCGCCTTTAGTGCCTATTAATAGGGTCCACTTTACCTTGTATGATACGGTGGCGGAGCCGAAGAACTACTTGTACTTCGGCGCCGCAAGCTATAGACGCCTCTAGTGCCTAACAATAGGGTCTACTTTACCTTGTCCAGCTCTGCGGTGAACACGGCCGACGGGAACTGCTTGTCCTATGGCGCCACAGGCTGAAAGCGACTCTGATGCCTGGGAATAGGGTCTATTCTACCGGGAATTCTGCGGGCTGAATTCGATTCTAGTGCTTAACAATACGGTCTACTCTACCTTGTCCAGCTCCGCGGTGAACACGGCCGGCTCCGCGGATGACACGGTGGCGGATCCTGGGAACAGCTTGTACTGCGGCGCCGCAAGCGAAAGGCGTCTCTATTGCCTACGAATAGGGTCTATTCTACCACAAATTCAAGGCGACTGTAGTTCTCAGCAATAGGGTCTACTTTACCTTGTATGAGCCGGGAAACCGCTTATACTGTGGCGCCACAAGCTGAAAGCGACTCTGATGCCTATACATAGGGTCTACTTTACCTTGTCCAGCTCCGCGGTGAACACGGCCGGCTCCGCGGATGATACGGTGGCGGATCCTGGGAACAGCTTGTACTGCGGTGCCGCCGGGGTTTCCCCGGGGACCATGACTACTAGGGAGCACGACGAGAACGACTCGCCCGCGTCGTTGAATGCCTCGCATGTGTATACGCCTGGAAATAAAATGACATTTTAACAATACTCTATACTAATATTATAAATGCCTCTGTCTGTCTGTCTGTCCGTCACGTTTTCACGCCTAAACCTAAATTTGGCATAGAGATAGTTTGAGTCCCGGGAAAGGACATAGTTTTTATACCGGTTTTTGAAACAGGAACGCGCACGATAAGGTTTTTCTGTGACAGACAAAATTCCACGCGGGCGGAAAGCTAGTTAAGGCTTGGTATTTCTGCTAAAGTAGGTATTTCGCGCTGTCAAAATCTGCGCGCGCAATACTTCGCCGAAGACAGCGCGCCAAAGAGCTCTCGCGGCTACACAGTATAGAAATACGCAGTTTAGAAAATAATACGCAGTTGGTTAGGTTAGGCTGACTTCCTTCCGTTCAAGCGTAACACTCACAGCACTTTCTAATACAAATCATATCCAAGTGATACAAATTAAAACAACTTTCAAAATTTTTGGGAATATAATATTTTAGAATCGAATAAATATAGAATATAACCAGGCCTGTTCATCTCCGCGAGTTTACATCGAAACAAAACACGCACGATGGCCCACCTACAGGATACTATTCGACAAGGCCTCACATACGAGCGAACATTGACTCACGCACGCGTATTCTTGTGAATGATGGAAGTAAATAAAGAAAATGGTCTACTAAATACTGTGCAGTATTTAACTGCCTAAATAATAATAAAAACACAGAATGTACTTTTTTAAGTTGCCTCAAGACACTGAGAGGTAAATAAGTAGTTAATATTATTCATGATAATTCATGCTAAATCATGTATTTCCTCCGCCATTTTCCGCAGTTTGGCACCTCACGTCACATCATTTTACCGAAGTCAGCCCTATAAAGTCGGATTCTTTAGAAATTTCCCTATATGTAAACAAATATGGCCAACTGACATTAAAACATTTTTAATCTGTGCCCTAGTGAGGCGACAAAACCTCTCGTTAATCGCGGATTGAAATTATTGTAGTACTTACGTACCTATAGAAAGAATTTATAATGCTTTATAAAGCAATGCATTAAACAATTAGTAGTACATTCAATGAAGAAAAAATACATTGTTGATTAAGACCCTATTTAAATGCAATCAGTAATAAAAATGATTGAATAATTGAAATAAAATCGATTAAATTTACCGACTATTGTCTATGACTTACAGGTTACAACACTGATGTGTCAGAGACAACATGGAGATAACACATAATTTTAAACTTCAAGTCAATTTGACAAGTCTCACAAATTTTCATCGTCCACATATTTTGCTAAAATAATTTGTTTAAAGATTGATTCCAAACTTGTATAATCGTGAGAATAAAGTTGGTTTCATGGGCTTGTGAAATAATGTGTATGATATTATGAACACGTAAGTGATTATGGTGTAATTGTGTGCAGAAGTGTTTGTTTACATTCAAGGAAATTTCTAAAGAATTTAGGTATAGCTTCGGCGCAGTGCCGATCACTGACGTTTGTCAACAAAATGGTGCTTGACTCTTGAGACAGGCTAAATTACACNTCTTAGCCTTTAATTTTACTGTTTAGTACCTCAAAAATGAAAAATGAAAACCTCATTTTCGCCATTTTCTCTGCTACCCGGCCTTAAAAATAAATGCAACGATTCAGATTTTAACCCATCCTAACGGGGAATTGAACCCCGGATTCACTGCGTTTAATACAAATAAAACATTAGCGCCATCTACAGACGTTTTGTCGAACGATACATCGAAGATTTTCTTTGGAAGTGCCTAGTCGGTGAGAAATCACGGCGCTAGTTCTTTTTAATAAATATTCACATATAAGATCATCTTAATTGTAACAGGCTAACAATGGATGGATGCGTTTATGAAAATAACTGAACAACCAAAACTGTCATAACATCGATTTACTTTTGTCTAAATTTACTTATTTAACGCCATCTATGCCGCACTACTCAGATACTTTTCCATAATAACAAATCTTGCATTTCACGCCATCTATGCTTCACTAGCTAAACTACTTCCTATACTTTTCCTTAATAACAAATCTTGCATTAAATAAACGCCATCTATGCATCACTAGCTGAACTACTTCTTATACTTTTTCTTAATAACAAATCTTACATTTAACGCCATCTATGCGTCACCATCTGAACTACTCACCAGCATCCTCAGGGAATATTTCTGCGATGTGTAACTTGTGAATGTTGGCCTCGCTTGAATACTGGAAGTCTTTGGAAGGCTTGATCTCTTTGTTGTTGTGCAGCCAGACCACGTCGAAACGCTCGGCGCCTACGATTCTGTTGGGAAAAATTGTGGTTTAATTTTTGTAGTAAGTAATATGGGATGAGAAAGAGGTTATTTAGTTTGTTAATAGATGGCGTTGTTTGGGTATTTATGTATTTTAGCTTTTGTAAGATGTTGTTTTCAGCTGATTCTAATCTAATATAAAAATAATGATAATACTGATTTGTTCTACATCAAAATTATCTATTATTTATTGATGTATCTTTTTCCGTAATCTATAATATTATTTCCTGCAGTGAAACCTGATGTAAATTAGAGAAGGTCGTGGTTCTCCATTGGAAATGAATGCTGATGATCATGAAAGTTTAAAAGCATCATCCCAACCACTGTTGATTTTTGTATTACCACATGTCACAAATAATGATGATAAAGCTAGTTCGTTTCATATCGATAAGACCGCCTGATTGTTATGTTATGGTTGTGCACCAAAAAAAGGTGTCGTCTTTTTCTTTCTAATTAAATGTCACTTTAAAAAAAATTTCAATTGGGTGTAACTTTTTATTAATTAGAGCGCTTTCACATTAGGGCGTAAGAAGCGCGACAGCAGGGCGGCAGCGGCGTTTTTATAATGAAGGCAGGCATATTGTTTTATTTAATTGACTTGATTATTATTATATTGACATGCATGATGATAACCTATGTACAATTAGTCTTATAAGCGCTTTGGAATATATTCTGTTAGCTTGTAAGATGATTGAATAATAAAAAAATAAATCCGCTGTCATATAATTTGAAATTATCGGCAGCGCGTCTGTCGCTCGTTTATCGCGCTGCTATAGTCGCCTAAAGGTAAAGCGCTCTGAGAGGGTTTGTGTATTTCTTTCTTTTCTTATTTAAGCGTGGTGTACAATAAGTTTTATCTAGTTACCTGCAGGCCAGCGTAACCGCATCGCCGTCGGTGACGACCTGCGACTGCGCATGGTCCACGATCCTCGGCGGCTTGTCGCCCGTCTTCACTCCGGGAGCCGCCGCCGCGCCGTCCATGGCTGTAGAGATGATAAATAATGTATAATTATTAGGTCTTACTTATCATCACTACATAGTATAAAACAAAGTAGCTTTTGCTGTCTGCCCCTATGTATGCTTAGATCTTTAAAACTACGCAACGGATTTTGATGCGGTTATCTTTAATAAATAGAGTGATTCAAGAGGAAGTTTAAAATATGCATATTGCATTTATATGAAGAGAAAAACCGAGAAATTCCACCCATACGAAGCCGGGGCCGGTCACTAGTTTTTTACATATTTAGGTCTTTGCGGGGGTTTTAGTTAATGCCCATTCATCAAGGAGTTGCATATTATGCATAATAAACTGTAGCCCCTACTGTAAAATGCCTAAAGTATTTTTACTCTAAAAATACCAATGTTTCGTTTTACGCTTGGTATCAGCCTACTTGCTTCTAAACCATGAAACTATGTTCACCGGGGTGAATATGTTTCGCTCACGTAGCTAAATGCAGGCTACTCTGTAGTATTTAAAAGTGCTAGCTAGTTAACAAGTCTTTAGTTTAGCAAAAATGTTCTATGGCAGTTGGAGCCCAGGATAGCTGATTTGCCATTTGCTGATGAATTAGAATAGATGAGATACAAGCCAAGAGCTTTCTCGCTATGGATAAAAAAAATGTTAAAATCAAGTGGCAGTGGGCGGGGCACATAGTCCATCAGTAACATCCGTTGGGGCAGAAAAGTTCTCGAGTGGCGACCACGGGCTGGAAGACGTAGCGTGGGCAGGCCTCCTACTAGGTGGACCGAAAATTGTATCGTCCTTCAAATCCTACCATAAGTTTCGTTCCTGATTGTCTAATGCCCGTTTTCACCATCAGTCCCTAATTTTTAAGTGACCTCTACGGTAACACATAACAGGAGTTTTGATACCATAGGGGGCCCTTAAAAATTTGGGATTGATGGTGAAAACGGGCATAAGCGGGAAGGGTTCTGCCTAAAAGTAAAGTAAAAATGATACTCACGTTTGACGGAGACCTTGCACTTGGTCTCGACCTCGCCCTGGCTGTTGATGGCCTTGAGCGAGTATTCGCCTTCGTCTTCGGGGAACACCTCGCTGATTGCCAGCGAGGCTACGCCGTTTTTGTACTTGAGGTCTACCACCTGTAGAGCAAATATTGTCGGTTAGTTTTATGTCTCTAGGTATACATTTATAAAAGTCGTATAAACAATATCTTGGGCTGACATAGATACTTTACGTTGAGTTAACATGTAACCTAGTGAGGGCTATCGTTTTTATACTTAACAGTTGGCACCCCTGGCGATTGACAGGACCTTACTCTACAGTGGCGCCATCTTGATGAGTGCAAATGCGATAGTCCTCCTACCACTTTAGCGCTCACCAGTTGGTGCCACTGTCTTCGCTACTAGCAAGTGACAGGACCATACTCTACAGTGGCGCTAACTGGTGAGCGCTAAAACGATAGCCCTCATTCACGTATTTTCACAGTCAAGATCTCGCTGACGTTCAGAAGTCGTCCCATTGAAAAACAGTTGTACATCCGTATTCACAAGGGTCAGTTCGATAGAACGATTACTCGATAGGATCGCAACTCAGCGATTTGTTGTCGTTGAAGTTTTGTTACGTGAATAAGGCTATTGATTGATAATATGATTTCTGACGCGTAGATGGATAACAAATTACAGATTGAGCGTCGTGGCATTCCTTGAGGGATCTTGCGATTATGATTATGAAAACAGTAGAACAAAAAAGCTTTGTTGCGTTCTCCTTGAGGCTTACGTTAATCCAGATAGCAATTAAATAACCTAAATGAAATAATGTGCAGACACAGAACAGACTCGTAATGGCCCTTCGAGCAGGAATGGTCCTTCGAGCCGGATGGTCCTTCGAGCCGGATGTATGTAGATGCTTACCTCAGACGAGTGCAGCGGCTTGCCGTTCTTGTACCACTGCACGCGCGGGTCGGGGTCGCCTCGCACTGCGCACGACAGGAGTAAAGGTGCTCCGTCGCGCGCGTTTAGCACGTCGGGCAGCGCGCGCGCGAATGACGGCGCGCACATCGTTGAGTCTGACGCTGGTACTGTAAAGGTATTTATTGTATTATTGGTAAGAGAAACTGACTGACTGACTGACAGATCAACGCACAGCCTAAACGGCCAAACGTAGGCACTTGAAATTTGGAAGGGACGTAGCTTAGGTACCGTAGAGGTGCACTAAGAAAGGAATTCCCGAAATTCCCACGGGAACGGGAACTAGCGCGAAAATCCTTTTGTATAAAAAATCTAAACCGCTTAAGTTAGACGCTTGAAATTTGGTATGCAGGTACCTTAGTAAACTTAAAGCTTAGGTACAACAGGATATTGCAAAATTCCCACGGGAACGGGAGTTAGCGGGAAAAAACCTTTGTATGAAAAAATCTAAACCGCTTAAGATAGATGAAGGGGGTAAAACGGGATCCACGCGTACGAAGTCGCGGGCGGCCGCTAGTTATTCATATATGCGACTATGGTCGGTGTCGGACTGCCTTAATTTGAGGGTACTTCGTTGTCTTTTTAGATTATTCGGCATGAACTTGGAACTATAAGCCTTCTATCCTATTGTATAAGCGGTCAACAGTTGATGCAACTGCCTCATAGTCACGTTAAGGAGAAAAATGACTTATTTATCTGTGGAGCCAACAGCTAAGCGCAAATACGATAGTCTTCAGTTTCAGTACATGATTAAACATCTTGACATTTTAGCTGTGTCGCTACAGTTATAATATGGCTACTAGCAGACTTCTGCTTGTATTACATAGCATGTACTATACAATAAATATCGTATTTCAAATCTGTTGTTTTTATTTTCCACTGTAAAATAACACGATAGTTTAAAATCTTATGCTTAACGAAATAAACACTTCTATGAACACAACGATCTGGTGAAGGTTGCGGAAAGCACCTGGATGTCAGCAAGGCAGACCGGTCGTTGTGGGAATCCTTGGAGGCTTTTGTCCAGCAGTGGACGTCATTTGGCTGAAACCAACGAAGTAAATACTCACAAACTAGCTCTTTAGTGGCGCTCCTCGACCGCGAAGACGCGTCCGAGTCCAGTTTGGCGCCGTACTTCTTCTTGCTCGCTTCTACCGAGCTCTGCGGCGAGTATTTGGGCCTGGGCGCCGCGTGCGACTTCTGTGGCGGGTCGATTGTGACCTAAAGAAAAAGCGAATCCATGTCATAATTAAATAAAAATCGACACATTCCTTCTACGGTGAATAGATCATCCTCATTATCAGATTATTTACATTCCACTGCAGGCACTACCCATTGTATATTGTGCCCCTGAAAATTATCTTAAATTTCTAGAGACGGGTTGGGACAGCCTAATTTCGCATTTCTCCCTTAGCTTATCTATACTAAAGCCTGGTCCGTGAGCACGTAGAATTTTGTCCAATGACCCCGCAGTGAGTGTGCGAGCGCGACAGCAATATAATTACGCGCCAGCGATAAGGATGAGTAGCTTGGAGTCATTGGAAAAAATTCTATGTACTCACGGACCAGGCTTTACACTTAATGACATATTGGCATGCTAGTGGTTATTGCACGTTGAGATACCCATTGACAAGTAGACATTTCCGCATACCACTGTGCTTGTAAGCTATGCTTTCAATTACATAGGTAGGTATATGCTTTCAATTACTATTTCAACGAAAGTTGCATTTGACGATTAACTCAAGTTGGATTTTCGGAAAGTTAAGCTTTCATAAAATGTATCCCCTATTACGTCATCCAAGGCAGGAGTCTCTGTTCTGCTGGACCCTTACGACTCTTAGCAGATAAGGCTCATAGTTATAGCAAAACCTCACGGCTCTTACTGCATAGGGTCCATAGCTGTAACGTACCTTAGTCTTGGTGATGATAGGTGGTGGTGCAGGCTTGATGGGCTTCTCGATGTAGCGACGGTCTCCTGAGTGCAGGAAGTTGTGCGCTAGCGCCGCTTGCTCGGGTGAGACTACCTCGCCTGCAAACACAATCAAGTTTACAATGTATTTCCAATAACTTGTATTTTCTTCTTGGTGGTGAGAGCGAAAGATAGAAAGAAGTAGTAGAAAAGACCTGAGGTGGAATTGTGTAAAGCAATCATTATAATTTGACAGTTCATAACAATACGATTATTCTGTCAAACGCTTTGTTTAGTTGACTTTATCGTACGTTATGAACTGTCAAATGATTACGATTGCTTTACACAATTTTACCACTGATTTAACTGAAGGCAAGGACGCAGTTATAAAGCTTGCACCGAGCGTATAAAAAGTTATTTATTAGCTTGCTTATTTCTTCCAAAAAACTAGCTTCAACTAGCACTGATATGTTTTTAATTTTAGTGATTTGCAGTTCTTATCAACAGGGTGTGCAAGGTTTGGTATAGGCGAACACTACACACCGATCAGAATAGAAAGGTTAATCAGAAAAAAAGATCGAGTATAATATTTAAATGAGCTCACAAAACGGATCTCTCCCATAGCTTTTGTATAACAATGGAGACTGACAATTTATTGATTGCTACTAAAAATCACATTTCGTAATGAATAAAATGAAGTATTTTTTAGGAAATGTATTTTGGAGTTTTTGGTTATCTACCCACGTCCCAGATAAAATATTAAATTTATAAAAAACTAGCTGACCCGGCGAACTTTGTTCCGCCTTAATGGCAATAAATAAGCAGACTTTTTTTTTTAATTTCGAACGGGATAAAAAGTATCCTATGTCCTTCTCCTGGCTCTAAACTACCTCCCTGACAATTTTCAGCTAAATCGGTTCAGCCGTTCTTGAGTTATAAGTGGAGTAACTAACACGACTTTCTTTTATATATACAGTGTGAGTCACGTTAAAGTGTACATATGAAAATAGATGAAACTATACCTATTTTTATCGACAAAAAAGAGGTCAAAATTTTTATGAGATTTTTTTTTAAATTTTTTATAGAATTTTTTATCTTCGAATTACTTATTGTAAAGAAAACGTAATAACTTTTAAACTAAGCGGTATATCCTGATAAAATAAAAACAGAAATAATGCTAAATAATAGGCGATACCAAAAAAATACATAAAATACACAAAAAAGGCCAACAAATAATAAAAAATGACACTTTTTGAAAAAAATCTGCTTCAAAATTCGTGTTTTTTTGGTTATTTGATAAATTTCTCCAAAAAATGCCCCTATAACAGGTAGTTTTTATTACTTTGTATTATTCTCTATCGTATTATCTTTGTAAAACCAAAAATCGCATGTCTCTATCCCTATCACAACATTTGCTATGATCGTTTGAACAAAGGCCTGCCACAACATTATTCTCTGCTACAGGTAGAGACAATTTTAATTTTAACTAAAATGCTTATTTTACTTCGAAATCTTTTGTTTTTATTTGAAATCTAACTTGTCTTTATCAAAATTACAAATCTAGAGCCATTTTCAGTTTCGTTATTAACGAAGCGTTGAATGGCGCGCCCGGAGAGGCTTAGTTCAAACGATCATTGCAAACGTTGTGTTAGGGATAGAGACATGCGATTTTTGGTTATACGAAGGTAATACGATAGAGAATAATACAAAGTAATAAAAACCACTGGTTATAGGGGCATTTTTTGGAGAAATTTATCAAATAACCAAAAAAACACGAATTTAAAAGCAGATTTTTTTCAAAAACTGACATTTTTTATTATTTGTTGGCCTTTTTTGTGTATTTTATGTATTTTTTTAGTATCGCCTGTTATTGAGCATTATTTCTGTTTTTATTTTATCAGGATATACCGCTTAGTTTAAAAGTTATTACGTTTTCGTTACAATAAGTAATTGGAAGATAAAAAATTCTATAAAAAATTAAAAAAAAATCTCAAAAATTTTTTGACCTCTTTTTTGTCGATAAAAATAGGTCTAGTTTCATCTTTTTTCATATGTACACTTTAACGTGACTCACACTGTATAGATAGGAGTACAGTTATATTACAACTTACCCTCAACAATAACGACGCACGAGGTCTCATCGGTGCCATGGATGTTTGTGGCGATGCAGCTGTATTTGCCGCTGTCCTCGGGCCGGCAGTCGACGATCTCCATGGTGACGACGCCATCGGCGTGCGTCATGGAATAGTCGAACTTGGATAGCTCCTTTCTGTCCTTGTACCTGGATGGAGTGAAATGGAGGTGTTAATTAAGTTTGGTAATGTAAATTGTAATATCATTAGATTTATAGCTGGTGTTTTTAATTTTTGCAGATTTATTGAATCGTTGCGTATCAAAAACTATTATGGAGCTTATGCTCAATTTTTGATGATCATTTCCATTTTGGGATTATACCTGTATGAATATGAAAATGTCTTGAAGCGTGTTCAATATGCATATTACAGAACATGGCTTATAACTCGTTTCATTTTCAAGCATAGATTGAGAATTTTAATTTGATTGGTTGAATTTCCATAATTTGACCAATCACAGGACAGAGTCTATGACTAAAACAAATCGAGTTTTGAGTGATATTTTACAATAGGATGATGTGTCCAAGTGGCAGCCCAAAATCCCACTTTTTCGAGGCTTGGTGGCGTGGCAAACAGCACTTTTTTGAACTTACCTTCAAGCTGGAAGGTACTCTTAGACTGGGTCCTACTGTGCGTGGGCGTGGATTTACCACTTGACGGTGGGCTTGGGCTTACCACTAGACTGTGGGCGTGGCTTTCCGCTGAGCCATAGGCTTGAAGGTGTCGCCGCAGCTGGAAGGTGAAGGCGGGCGCCGTCTCGCTCGACTCCTGCCAGAAGGTGTGGGCAGCAGTGTCCACGCGTGGGCTTACCACTTGACGGTGGGCGTGGGCTTGCCGCTGAGGCAGCAGAGCAGCTTGCAGGTGTCGCGCGCCTGCATGACGCGCGGCCGCAGCTGGAAGGTGAAGGCGGGCGCCGTCTCGCTCGACTCCTGCCAGAAGGTGTAGGGCAACGCCTCGCGGCGGCGCGGCGCTTCCGGCAAGTGTTGGCGTTGGACCTTGGGAACCGCTGGAAGAAGAGCACACAGTCAGTCGTGTCATGTAAAGCCTGGTCCGTGAGCACGTAGAATCCCGTCCAATGACCCCAAGTTACCCATCCTTATGGCTCGCGCGTAATTATATTGCTGTCGCGACTATGCGACGCGCGCCCGCAGTGAGTGTGCGAGCGCGACAGTAACATAATTACGTGCGAGCGACAAGGATAGGCAGCTTGGGGTCATTGGACGGGATTCTACGTGCTCACGGACCAGGCTTTAGTTGGAAACAAATTAAGACCCTGGGACGAGGAACAAGCAAGATCACATCCAAGTTTCCAAGGATGTAAGATGAATAACGATATGGAAACTATGCTACAATAAAATTGATTGTTTGAAGATCTTTTTCTGGCAAGTGCTGCCGTTGGACTTTGGGAGCCGCTGGAAAAGGGACATATGGTCAGTCGTATAAAAAATATAAGCAACATCAAATTCAAATTAAGACAAACAAGGCTGCAAGATTAATAACGATAATCAGATACCCTACTAAGATGATTTACGAATTCTGGGAAGTTCTATCAGTGCGAAAACTGTTCATTCTCAATGCTACTCTACGCAAACATAGGACTGTCAATTATAACCCTAATATAGTAATAAACAAAAGGAGGAAAGATAGGGTGTGTCAGACGGTTCATTGTAGATTGGAACTTGTAAAGCACCAGTACAATTATATAGCTCCACTCCTTTATAATAAAATAAATAAAGAATTAAATATTTATTCCTTAAATAGTTATCACTGTAAGAAAAAAATAACAGAGTGGCTTCTCAAGCTTGAATACGATATGGTTGAGTCTTTGATTAAATAATACTAAAACCGACAGTGCAGTCGCCCTCTGCGTACGACGAATGAGGCAAGTTGAGTCTCCCCAGAAGTGACTGGGCTTGTCGGAGAGACCAGCTGCCCCTGGACATCTGACTTTGAAGGGCCATTGCGTAGCGTTAGGCGCTTCGGTTCCGACAGGGACTTCGTGTTGAGTTTGGTGTCCCATGTAACTCCCAGAAACTCCAGGCGTTGAGTCGGAACCAGTACAGATTTGTCCAAGTTGATCGTTCATCAGATTCGTCGCGTCAGGCTCACCATAAAAACGACGTGGTCGTGTAAAATATGGCGAGACTGATTGACCAGCAAAAAAACGTCCAAATAAACCACACACCTGATATTGTGACGTTCTCGGTGCCGATGACAGGCCAAACGGAAGGCAGGTCATCTGGTCAGTAACCTTCAATGCTGCTCGGCTATAAGTAGATGAAAGTACGCTTGGCTGAGATCGACCTTCACCATCCAGTCTTCGCTCTGTAAGAAACTCGGCACGCGAAAATGACTGAACAGATGAAACTTTTTCAATTTGACTTTGTTTAACTGTTTCAAATTGAATATAGGACGGAATGAACCGTCCGTAATTGATTGATTAGGTGATACAAGTGGTGGCTTCATCAGTTAGGCAGGGGAGTGAGATATTGGTTTCTTACCCTTATAGACTCGCTCGTTCTTGTTGGTAGATGTCCTGTTGTCAGAAGACTTGCCATGACCTTTATTTTTGTCCTTCGAGCCTGAAGACTTACCTTGAAAATTGTTGCCGCCAGATTGTTTGCTCGTCGACGGCTTCGGCGTATTATCGCTGGAACGATTTCGTTTGTAGTAGTAATGAAGGTGTTAGTTTTTCGGCCCCCCAATTTTTTGAAGGTATTTGCCAATAAATCGCCATCAAACAAATTCTCTGCACTTGGAGGAATTCTTTGCAAGGCTCCGCAATGATATTCCTCTGAAATTTGCTATAATATACACTCCCTACGCATGCGAATACAGTCAGCCCTCCTGCCGCAACATATTTTTAAGATGTCATCAGTTACTATTGTATAATTACTTTCTTTACCAAATGATTGCTCAATTTTACCAAATAAAGATTTGGGCGTGAGCGTGGTATTTTTATCGTTCGACCAATCTACTAAGTTTTGTAAGCAATTCGTCTTTCTGAGCCAGAATAGCGTTCGATAATGCAGCGCAAGTTCTCTCTAATAGGTACAAACGATCTTCATTGGTATTTATTTTTCATAAGACATAGCATCATCATTTGACTACCAGGAGATAACAAACACATCACTCAACAAGATGGATTCCGGATATTGGCACGGAACAAATAATAGAGAGTTTTAACTAACAATAAAACTTACCTATTATTTTTCCAACAATATCCGGAATCCAGGTAATGCCTACCTGGTACCATCGTGAGTAAGTATAATGATCAAAAAGCCGCGCCATATTCCGGTCGCCGCCATTGCCCCCACCAAAACGAGCGATGGTGGCGCCGGAAGTCGAAGGGAGGAAGTTGCTAAGACGAAAAAACCATGAAAAAAGACAGGGGCTTTACTCAACAAGATGGATTCCGGATATTGTTGGAAAAATAATAGGTAAGTTTTATTGTTAGTTAAAACTCTCTATATTTTTAACATTGGAAAAATAAAAAACACAAAAATTACCGGAAACGAATTTCCACGGTATCGCACATCAACAACACGGTTTTAACCTTTCCACCGAACACAACACAAACTCGTTACACCGTTCAAATATCTAGACTAATTAAAGTACAATTCGGCCTAGGGCCAGCGCGAGAATAGATCTGGCGTCCGCGACCTATTTGTTCACAATTAAACTATTAAGTCGTTGAACCGATCGGTTGGCTTTCGACTGATCTGACAGGTTTATTGTTAAGCTAGGTTTATTAATTGTGCCATTATATTAGTCATAATGATTTAATTGGGGGAGAGTTTTATTGCTGGTTCTAAATATATCGCTATTATATTTTAAGCGTTATGTGCTCTAGTGGCATTTATGAGGTTAATACAGAAGGTTAAATAAGATTTATTTTTAAACTTTCTGTCTGTTTCTAACTTGTGAGTGCAAGTGTAACTTTCTGTGAACTATTTTAAACAATTCAGCTAAAACTACACAAAGGAATACAGATACTAGAACAGCTGTGACAGAGCCGCCGAAAGTTCGAGTAAACGGTTTTCGAATGGGCATACATCTTGGCAAAAGTAATGCATGCATGACGCCCCCTGTTCGATAGATTTAATAATGGCAAACGTCGAGTTTTTTCACTAGATCAAACTTGTGAAAAACTTCACCAACCTAGCAGTTCGTTCGTTCGTTCGTTTCAGCCAAATGACGTCCACTGCTGGACAAAGGCCTCCCCCAAGGTTTTCCACAATGAACGGTCCTGGCAGTACTTAGTTAAAAATATCTTATCTAGACGAGAGATCATGTTCAGTTCCTTAGAGATAGGAAGGGTCCTTAGGGATACTTCTAGCAATCGATTTTCATAGGCTGAAATGGTGATGATATTAAGATCGTGTTGTCAAGGTCAAAAAAAAAAGTTCGTGCTTTGTGGCGTTCTTTAGGAGCGGTGCTGAAATACTTCCAAACGGACTGCTATTGGCTAAAATGATGATGATGATGACTTACGTTGTACGTTGAGGAACACGACCTCCTCCCGGAATCCGTAGTGGTTCTCCGCACGGATGATGTACTCGCCGCGGTCTTCCAGCTTCGCGCGGTTGATGATGAAGTAGTAATCATCGCCCGCGTATCTGTGTGAACGAATATAGTGTCAGTAATCTTTTAGCTATGTAGATTTATGAATTGTTTTATTACTTTCTGTGAAAGTAATTGATAGCTTATTAGGAATTTATATACCCGAAAAATTTGAACCTTTGGTTCATTTCACAGTCATAAATGAGTAGTCGTTTATGTACGAGTATAAGGCAAACAAAAAATTTTTTTTAATAGATATCTTGGGGAGCTTTTACGCTAACGAAGTAACTCTTTCACTAATGTTTCCACATATTATTGAAATATCAGAACAGTAAGACTGAGTTGCACCACCTAACTTTAACAGTAAATGTAACGATAACTGGAGTTTTTTGGTTGGAGTTTGAAAGACTTTTGACGTTTGTCAAAGTAAAAGTAAGATGGTGCAACCCAGCCTAAGACATATTCTAAAACAAATTATTAGTTGAGATTTTTGAGATCAAATTGTAGATTCTGGTTATAGCTACAAGATTTGCAGTGATAGGAAAGAGGTAACTTTTGAAAAGTCCTTCTATGTGACGTCAAATGTCGTTATGCCTATTTAACCTTACCTCTTCATGAACTTGACAGACTGCCTGAGCTCGTGGTTGTTGCGCGACCACGTGACGGTGGGCGTGGCGCAGGCGATGATGCGGCAGTACAGCTTCACGGACTGGGCCTCGTAGCAGAAGGCCGAGTAGCGACCACGTGACATGGGGCGTGGCTACAAGCTTAACCGACTGGGCCTCGTAGCAGAACATTTCGAGGGATCACGTGACAGAGGGCGTGGCTACAGTTTGACGGACTAGTTTCGTAGCAGAACGCACGTCGTCGCTACGAGGCGACAGATACTACAGTATCAGTCGTGCGTGTCTCGCAAGTGTTACCTCTTCATGACGGACAGACACTCGCAGCAGAACGTATCGTAGCAACCACGCGACAGAGGGCGCGGCTAAAGCTGACCGACTGGGATTTGTAGCGATCATTCGACAAAGCGCGTGACTACAACTTGCTCGACTGGCCCTCGTAGCAGAAGGCCTCGTAGCGACCACGTGACAGAGGGCGTGGCTACAGCTTGACTGGTCCTCGTAGCAAAACGCACGTTGTCCCTACGAGACGCCAGAGAGAGACAGCAACAAAGACGTTACCTCTTCATGAACTTGACGGACTGGCGCAACTCGTAGTTGATGCGCGACCCACAAATGACAGGGCCCACTAGAAGACTGAAGTTCCTCTTATCCAGGCTAAGAAAAATGAGAGGCGAAGCACAGGATCCTAATAGGGCACTAAGTTAAGGCGGAGTTTCGTATAAGATAAGGTACCTCTTCATGAACTTGACGGACTGCCTGAGCTCGTGATTGTTGCGTGACCACGTGACCGTAGGCGTGGCACAAGCGATGATGCGGCAGTACAGTTTTACTGACTGGCCCTCGTAGCAGAAGGCCGATTGCGGCTTGATCACGAACCGCGGCGCCGCTTGCCGCCGGTCTGTAGAGATAAACGATGTTATGATGGGGAAAAATAAAATATTAAGACTGTAAATTGCATTGCTTTTAGCTTTGATAAGACCGCTCGAAATATGGCACTCAACTGAAAAGTTTCTTGTGGTATTGGAGTAGTGCGGGATGGAAAACATGATTTTATAAGATTTGATAGGGTTTGAAAGAAAGGATTGTCTGTGCCTATACGATTATTGCCTATATAATTTGAATTGGATGATAAACATTTCTACCACACAATCTTTGTTTGCACTGTCTTCAACTGTGTATTTATTTGACAAAATGCTATGCTTTTTAAAGTAAAATTTAAAGTCAATCATGCGTTAAACTAAACAAAGTGCATCATTGCAGCACTTATTCGAGTGCCATAGCCGAGGCAACAGTGAACAGTGATTTTATAGTTTTAGCCTTATTCCCTAAGATAAAAGGCAAGTAAAATAAGTTTATTAAGTATTTCTGTGTGTTATAAAATGCTGTTTGTTTTCCTAATGGTGCGTCCACACTGGGCGAAAATGCTCGCGCGGCAAACACGACATCTTACTCACTCAAGAGCAGGGTGAGCAGGATGTCAAGTTTGCCGCGCGAGCATATTCGCCCAGTGTGGACGCACCATAACAATAAAATGAAATAAATACTTATTTAAACTAAAGTGTATAAACTCACCGAACTGTCCGTCGTATATCTTCCACTTCTCGATGAGCAGTTTGCGCAGCGAACTGTACTCGCTCAGCCTGCCGATCGGCAGCGCGAATGATGACCAGTTCTAAACAGAAATGGTAATTTTAGTATCTCTTAGTAGTAGCAAATTAGTAAATTAGGTACCTGATTTAAAAAACGGAACAGGTTTTCGATTGGACTTAAGATTAGGTTTTCGATTGGACTTAAGATTATTTGGAGCAATGTTGAAATATTATTATTGATCTATGGCCAATTCCCTGTCCAGTGTAGGTTCAAAAAGGATTCCGATTGAACCTCGCTTCCACCTTCGGCCTGATCGTCACTTACCATCAGGTGAGATACAGGCCAAGAGCTTCCTTGTTGTGGATAAAAAAAAAATGGTGAATCGAAAGTGAAACGCTAGAACAGGTCGATGCGTGCTTATTAAGGCCTGCTATTTCGTTGGAAAGGGCTGAAAATCAGCGCCATGTCTACGCGATTAATGACACGACTAATGCCGAGTTGAGGACCTTTTAGACACACTGTCTTTTGCATACGTTTTCTAAAAAGTTTATTCTCATAACTCACCTCGTATCTGTCCCGTAGCCTGTTGCGCAGCGCCTCGTATCTCCTGGCTTCGATGGTGGCGGTTCTGGCGGCAGCCGCGTCTCCGGCTAACCACTTGTGCATTAAACACTCGTGCGCTGTCATACGTTTCCTGGGAGAGAGAAGTGGGAATGAGTGTGTGAATGAGACACGGGATTATGAAAGTTTGTATTAAGTCGTAATATGTGAAAATTTTTAATTATGTAGAATCAAGAATAATTTATTTGCATTGATTATGGTACATTCAGGATCTTAGGTTAATTACAGTTTCACATATCCAGCCATATAATTATTAATAGCATGCAAATTTACAACATAGGTTACATTTAGACTCATTATTTTTAAAAATTATTATATTGTCAATAAGTTATGTGTAAGTTCTTCTTCTAAAATGCTATAAATACAAAAGTAATTCTGTCCGGAACTGGTAAAGTATAGACTTCTTGTCTCAAAAATATTGAAAGAGAAATAGGAGAACAACATGAAGAAGTAAATGTAAAACACTTTGATCGACAAATACGCAACACAATCTATCTGAGGTAATTAAAAACTAGACTTCTAACATTTCATGTATTCTTCGATGATTGTTTAGCTACACTGCAAGTTCGTTCGTTTCAGCCGAAAGACGTCCACTGCTGGACAAAGGGCTCCCCTAAGGTTTTCCACAAAGTCCGGTCCTGCGCCGCCCGCATCCAGGCACCTCCCGCGACCTTCCCCAGGTCGTCGGGCCACCTAGTGGGAACTGGGAGGCTTGCTCACACTACGTCTTCTGGCTCGTGGTCTATCACGACAACCAAAGCGACTTTGGTTCACACTTCATCGTCTCACCATGTTGAGGACACCCTACAGTTACCTAAACAAGTAACAAACACTACTTACTCTTTGTTCTTAACCAGCAGCCGCCTGATGAAGTCCTTGGCATCATCAGATACATGCTGGAAGGCTTCCTCGTCGAACTCCCAGTCACAGGCCTTAACGTTCTTAAGGGTCTCGATGTCGTTGTTACCCGCGAACGGTGATAGGCCGGAGAGGCTGCGGGTATAAATGGAGGTTAAGTATTTGTTGTTTAATTCAAATACTATTTGCTTATGGATAGGGTAAGTAGAATAGAATAGAATAGAATGTGTTGGTTATTTTAATCATATTATGTGCACTAGTCCTCTTTAATTATGATCAGTCAATTTTATCCAAAAACAGTTGTTAAAAACCACTGGATTCTTGTATAAAGTTAACTGAGACATTAGCTACTTACATTATAATTTTGTTACAATTTTAGATCGAAAGAAAATGGGAGACAAAAATCATGATCAGTTTTAGAAAGCACTCATGAACTATTCTAGAAAATTGGGATGTATTCTAAAAAAAAATGCGGGATATAAAATTCTAGGTGCAGTTTAGAGGAACAAGACATAAGGTACGCAGTACCATTTCCAGCCCCCGTCGGGATGCCCATAAGGTGGAATATCTGCGATACACTTACAGCAGGTATAAGAGCACTCCACTCAGGTGCCCTTTACGATATTTACGGGAAGAGGGGAAAAGCGGTTCTATTCTAATCTGACAGGAACATAGCAGGCGGCAGTTACAAAGCAGTTTAAGTGGTAACTTAGTAACTTACAGCACGTATGATAGAACTCCCACGGCCCACATGTCTGTGTAGAATCCAACCGGTTCGCGCTCCACGATCTCTGGCGCGGCGAACTCGGCTGTACCGGTGGAAATCTTGACCACCTCGTTGGGATCCAGCTTCGTGGCCAGACCGAAGTCGATGATCTGTGAAGGACATAGTGGATTAGAATTTGATCGTGGTTTATTTACGTCACTTTTTACTAAATCACAGAGATCTCGTTCGCACCATCTTTTATCAAATTCAAATCGTTTATTGCATGTCACATTACAATTTAGTTGCAAAATAGAGAATCTTTAATATTATTCGCAACTTCTGAGTAATCTAAAACAAGAAGTCTGCTTGTGACCACGGCTGCAGCATCGCAGCCGAACGTCAAGCCGTGAGTACATAATGTAACTCATTAATTAACGTTGCGTTAAGACCCATGTCTTACTATTTTAGTTGAAATGGAACTCGAAAGTTTAAAATTCTGAGTAATCTATCATTAGAGTTTATTTAAGACTGTACGTTAAAACTTATGCGGGTATCCGGTGCGTGCGCCTATTAGTTGCACTGCAAGTACCAGTATCGTACCAAAATTTATAGGAAAGAAAACTCAAGGAGACGAATAAAAGTTGGCAGGTTATGTATTTGCTCACACGCAGTACATGGCAGGGTTGGACACTTCCTTGCAAATGACATTTACGTAAAAATATGCCCACCCGTCACGCGTGTGGAAACTCATGTCACGAGTATGCGCCACTCTGCGCTGTTCTTACTATTTTTCGATATAGAAACGCGTGCGTTTTTAATGCAGGCCCTAACCGCGCATGTTTAAGTCATAATGAGGCTGAAGAAAAGTATATTTTTATTAGTTTTCAACCGTATCCTCACTGCCTAAAGTCCACATTGATGTTGGCTCTATTTCACGACTGAAGCTTGGAAGATCTTGACGTTAGACTCACCTTGACATCAGTGCCGCTGCGTGTCTGGCACATGACGTTCTCGGGCTTCAGGTCGAGATGAATGATCTTCTATTCGTGCATATGCCTGACACCTTCGCATATGTGCCGCATGTAATGTCCATCACCTGAAATCAGACTCACCTTGACATCAGTGCCGCTGCGTGTCTGGCACATGACGTTCTCGGGCTTCAGGTCGAGATGAATGATCTTCTGTTCGTGCATATGCCTGACACCTTCGCATATGTGCCGCATGTAATGTCCATCACCTGAAATCAGACTCACCTTGACATCAGTGCCGCTGCGTGTCTGGCACATGACGTTCTCGGGCTTGAGATCCAAGTGGATGATGTTTTGTTCGTGCATATGCCTGACACCTTCGCATATCTGCCGAATGTAGTGTCCATCACATGAAGTCAGACTCACCTTGACATCAGTGCCGCTGCGTGTCTGGCACATGACGTTCTCGGGCTTGAGATCCAAGTGAATGATGTTCTGTTCGTGCATATGCCTGACACCTTCGCATATCTGCCGAATGTAGTGTCCATCACATGAAGTCAGACTCACCTTGACATCAGTGCCGCTGCGTGTCTGGCACATGACGTTCTCGGGCTTCAGGTCGAGATGAATGATGTTCTGTTCGTGCATATGCCTGACACCTTCGCATATCTGCCGCATGTAGTGGGCCGCTTCGGCCTCGCTCATGTTGTAACCAGGTTCTGTAATGCGCTCGAATAGCTCGCCTCCGGACAAGCTGTGGAAGGAAGGATTTATTCAGATTTACTGCTTTATTACTCTACTAACATAGTCTCTAAGATCAAATTGTTGCTAACCAAACTATGGACTGCTTTTGTCTGATAATAAAATGATTTTTTTTTACTACGACAGAACTAGTGTTTATTTTGTACTTAGGGCAGTCTTAAGATGCTAGAGATCTAAGAAAGTCACAGAGATATTCGTTTCAGCCAAATGACGTCCACTGCTGGCTGCCTCCCACAATTAAACAATCATTTGGGATATATCATTCTCCAAAAATAAAATACATTCTAAGTAAAAAAAAAACATTACAATTTAGGTCATCACAGCGAAATTTGTAAACCAGCTCTAAAACGTATTTCTTGTAAATTGGCTGAGACGACATTTTATCGCCAATTTTTGAAATGGCGATAAAATGGCAACCCACAATTTTACACAAGATCAGGTATTTAGAATTAAGACTAGTAAGAGTTCTTTAACAGTTCGACATCAGAAATCACTTTAAAAAGGACAGCAAAAACTACAAAATATACTCACAACTCGAATATCAGCACCATCTCATCGTCATCCTCAAACGCATCATGAAGATTAATCAGTTTCCTATGGTGCAGCTGGTTCATTATGTCTATCTCTTTCTTGATGAGCTCCTTCTCCATCGCACCAGTGACCGGGATGAATTTAGCGGCGAAGTAGTTGCCGGTGGCCCTCTCGCGGCATCGGTGGACAACGCCGAACGCGCCTGTGCCTACAACAGTGCAACGCACCTCATGCATCTGAGTTTTGGGACTTTTTAATGGGTGATTGGTAGAGATGAGACGTATTTACTAGAACAGATCCACACACTAGGTATTTTACAGTACTAGGCGGCACCTATTCCAATTTTTTAAATACTTGATCCACCTAGTATTTTATAAATTACACGATTTCCGACCCTATCATTAAAGTAATAGAGGTTATTATTGCGTAATCCGTAGTCGTGTATTACGCGCACCTAGTATTTCTCGCTAAGCTTATGTGCGAACGTAGAGATTCACTCCGTCTCTGTCTGACCAAACAAATTTGAGCGCGACGAAGCAAACGCACACAAACGTAGTCAAACCATATTCATGTAAATAAGAAAAAATATGTAAATATTTTTATGAAATTGATATCTTTTAAATACGCCAACTTTTAAGTTGACAGTCCTAAGCCTGTTGAAGTATGAAGGGAGGAATTATTATTCAATTTCAAATTGCATTATTCATACTACGGTTGTATCTTTAAAAAAAAAATGTATTTTAAAGTCATATTACGTGGATTAGTCCGCACTAGTCGCGTCAAGTATGCTAAATTACTACGTACTAGGTGGAATAGGTATTTGGATCGAGTATTAATAAATACTAGGAATAGGTGCACCTAGTATCAAATTTACCTAGTATAACCCATCTCTAGTATTTGGTTTTGAGTGATTTTAGTTAGATAGGTTAATCTGTTTACCATGAGTTTACGTTAGGTGTGCTGCGAAGAAAAATGACATTAAGAGTAGGCGCACACCGTTGATTTTTAGTTGGCCGATAGTTGTGCCCGATTTTAATTTGTATGAAGATTCGGCCAAATCGAATCGGCGTAGTGTGCGCACTCCCATACATGCCCATACTGATCAACTGCCCGACTAAACTATCGGCCGACGAAAAATCAACGGTGTGCGCCTACTCTAAATGTATGACAGATTGTACAGCGCCCGACCGAAGCGGTGAATTTCAAGAACTAAGATCTTCATAGGTTTCTTTGATGCGAGCACACCTAACGTAAACTCACGGTAAGCATACATATTTTTGAAGTGAAAATATGAATTCATTTTGAAAAAAGTTATTTTTGGTTGCAGCAGACTTGACAGTGATCACCATCGTCCATTTTGTTTAGTTATCGCCATTTTATACAACGTGTCCCAAAATTCAAGGATAAGCCGGCGCCGCAGGGTGGACATAGTCATGACTACTTTAGGAAAAATAAGGAAAAAAATCTATCTCAATTATTTTTTAAGTTACACAATAAATTACGAAATTCTTCGAAAATTGACACCCCTTATGATATTTTACATTACCACGACCACCATTTTTCAAATATTTCTGTTTTTTTGTTTGTATCGGCAACTTAAGTAGTGCTGCTGTCCATCCCAACTCTTAAAACCCCCAGAATCCTTGCAGTTTTTACACAAAAGTTAATCAAAATATGTTATTTCCTTAAAATTTTGAACGATTTTTACTCTAACTCCACTTTGACTCATCGTTTTGTAAAAAAAAAGTATAAACACTACTGCGGCAAGTTTCTTATAAAGTTGACGCAATTATCAAAGATTCCAAAATGGTATAATACTCTAAGAAACCTAGTCGCAAAAAAGATATGTGTACCATTTTTACAAGCACTTCGCTTGTTAGTCAGTATGGGATAAATCTTGCAACTGAATTTAAAACCAGTTCTCCTTAACCAATTGAGCTGAAATTTGGTATACTTGTGTAAGTACGATGAAAATGCAATATTATGGTACCATTGCGCTGAATGGAGACTGGAGGTGGCCATAGGAACTTCTAAACGAAACGGCGGAATTGCATCTAGTTTGGGTTCGTTGGATTTGTCTTTTCAAGCACTTTAGTGCTAGATGATGTCCAGGGTCCTGATGATGGGGTGTCAATTTTCGTCGAATTTCATAATTTATTGTGTAAGTTAAAAAATAATTGAGATAGATTTTTTTCCTTATTTTTCCTAAAGTAGTCATGACTATGTCCATCCTGTGGCGTCGGCTTATCCTTGAATTTTGGGACACGTTGTATATTTGATTATTAGCGCCCAGTTGTCGCGATTAATGTCAGCCCGCTTATGTGTGTAGCAACCCTTACGCGCGGCTTTAGGAATCGAATGCTTATGATTTCTATTGAGGAACATATTTTCACTTATTCGTATTACATATTATAAGATATCTAAAATTTTGTGCTCGGTTATTTGTTGCCAATCGTCTAAATTATATGTATTTTATAACTAGGAAGACGCACATTCCTGTTAATTATAAATATTTGTTGATAAATAAATATTAATTTTAAATATTGTATGAAGCTAAAAACCGTGCACTTAAACTACCACAATATAATAATATGTTTTAAATAATATATCGTTAAGTTATTATGTATAGTGTTGTAAAATAATATGATTAAGTTTTATTTAATCTACAATAAAACCAATAGAAAAACATTTTGAAACAAATCCAAGTATTGCATTGATAGACGAATTTATCTCAAATATTAATTTAGATATCTTTATGTTTTTCTATTGTACTAAATACCAAAAAAATGCTAAAATTCATCGCCGTAAATCTACATAGTCTTTGAAATTGTATAGTCTGTTTTTATATCATGCTTTGTATATCTAAGCTTTTATTTGTATAAATATTGTATAAATAGTATGCGTGTGAGACAGAAGGATGCAGAGAAAGAGATGCACTACATCGATCTATTCACACACAGACCTCCGGCGCGTTTGCGTTTCCTTTTAGACGAAGCCCTCATGAAGTCACCTGCGAAATTCATCTTTATATGTACCAGGATTAAGGTTCAAATCTACTCGTTAGTGTCGCTATGTTAATGAAAACTCTTTGGGAAACTAAGTGATGGTCAATTTATTTTAGATTTTATATTGGGACTATTTTAATGGTTAGTATTGCTGACATGCTGATATTGCTGAGAATCTCTGACTCAAAAAAAAATCAATCTCGGACGGACAGTGAATCAAATATTGGTATCTCAATATGATGTTAAGGTAAGCCATCAATAAGGCATAAAGTAAGGAGTTCTAAAACTATCTTTTAATGAACATGCATTCTAATATTGTAAATTTAAAAGGACCTAAAAACTCCGACCTCCTAGAGAAAATCCGCAAGCAACTTCGTGAGTTTTAGTTTATTTAATATTTACATGCTTATTTAATTATTATGTATTATGTATTGTAGTTATATATTGCACGTTTACTTTTTCAACATTACATTTCATACATTTATTAGGGTGAGTAATTGAATGATCAAACGAACTTACCAAGTGAAGTTCGATCTAAATTATCCTGTTTTCGCCGAAGAGATTTATTTTACCATGTAGTACCCCTGTACGACAACCCAATCCGCACACAATATTCAGCGTAGTAGTAGTAAAAAACAAAAGAGCGGGCAACCCCACCCCTACCACGCTGTGGGCTCGGTGTCCGAGCGGTCTCATTATATTTAGAGAAGAGATGACATTGACGTTTACCTCCAGGGAAGAAGATATAGAAATCTTCGGGTTGGGAGGGACCTTAAATCTCTTCGGCGAAAACAGGATAATTTAGATCGAACTTCACTTGGTAAGTTCGTTTGATCATTCAATTAAAAATGTATGCTCAATGTCATTAACAATATGGTGTAATTTAGCTTGTCTCAAGAGTCAAGCAAGTTTGTCAGAAGTTTTGTTGACAAACGTCAGTGATCGGTACTGCGCCGAAGCTATAGGGCTGACTTCGGTAAAATGATGTGACGTGAGGTGCCAATCTGCAGAAAATGGCGGAGGAAATACATGATTTAGCATGAATTATCATGAATAATATTAACTACTTATTTACCTCTCAGTGTCTTGAGGCAACTTAAAAAAGTACATTCTGTGTTTTTATTATTATTTAGGCAGTTAAATACTGCACAGTATTTAGTACACCATTTTCTTTATTTTTTTCCATCATACACAAGAATACGCGTGCGTGAGTCAATGTTCGCTCGTATGTGAGGCCTTGTCGAATAGTACTCTTGTAGGGGGCAATCGTGCGTGTTTTGTTTTCGATGTAAACTCGCGGAGATGAACAGGCCTGATACGGGTGCTAATCCGGCAAAGCTTATCTACGCAAGTTCTATTATACAAAACTACAGAACACAACAAAATAGCAACTCACCAATCTCCTCCAGTATGTCGTATCTGTCGTACACAGAGCAGGTGTTGATGTCGACGGGCTGCGGCACGTACTTGCTGTAGATGTCGCAGACATAACTGTCGTAGTCCTTCACTGGTCCGTGGTCCGCGTTCGTGCGTATACGCTTGCCGGTTTCGTCCACTGCGGAGGAAAGGTTAGGGTCAAGTATGGATAAAAGGTATGGGTTACTATGCCATGTGAGGTTTATGATGTAAAGGCCACGTTTTGCAAATGGCTTAGCAATGAGGCCATGGTAGTATAATACTGCTGACCAATTTCGGAGTCTAACGGATATCAATGAAGGTCGCGGAAAAGACCTGAATGCAGGCAGCGCAGGACCGATCGTTGTCGAATTTCTTGAGGAAAGTCTTTGCCCATCAATGTCCTTTTGTTGAAAGGAACGGACGAGCTTTTACATTTTTCAGTTCAATTTTACTTCTAGCTAGTTCTAGAGCTTCTTTCTCATTCCATTTTACAAAAATGTATCCGCCTCAAAGCCTCAACGTGACCACGACCGCTCTGCCAAGATTTTTTATTTATTTATTTTGACTTTGCAGATAGCCTTAAGCAGCTTTTCCAGCTTCACCGGGCCAATAGAAGAGCGCAGATGGCTCTCAAGCTAAGCGAAAAGACTGATAAGAAGAAACGCGGCCGTAACAGCGTATTACACTTGAAAATTTCGACAGGTACATTCAGTGTCTAAGTAGCTCAGTTGAAAGAGCAGTCTCCCGGTAAGCGGAAGGTCGTTGGTTCCATTCCCGCCTTAAGCAGTTAGATTTTTTCAAGTTGGTTTATTTAAAAAGAAACTTGTACGTAGTCTTCTCAACTCACCAGGATATTCCTTCTTCTTGAACTCCTTCTTGACGACGGCCTTGGTCTGCACCAGTGACGTGGTGTCGCTAGGCTCCGACCGTCCGTAGATGTTCTCTGCGTAGACGCGGAACTCGTACTGTTTGCCGGGCACCAGACCCGTGATGGCCATGGTGGTAAACCTGGGGGATAAGGTTCAGTTTTGAAAAGCAAGTTTTTTAGGTTGTTCTAAAGACTTTTTCACACATCAGTCGAAAACGTCAGTCACGTCGTGAATCGTGCCACGACACATTGCAAGAACTTCTTCACTTCCACATTCGCTGTCATTCGTTCCAAGAAATGTCAGTGTCAAGAAACACCGGAACAGTGGTTTTAACCGCCTCTGTGGTAAGACCACCTGCTTTAGACCCTGAGACGGGACCGTTCGATTCCCAGTCAGAATAGATTTTTTGTTCGATTTAGTTAGTGGTTAGGATTCTTCTAAGTCCGCCTGACTACTACCACCTTACATAAGTCTGTAGCCATAACAATATTGTTGTGTTCTGGCATTAAGAGGTAAGATAGCCAGTTCCTCTGTGGTTGAGGATTTCGGGTGAAGCCCGCTTCTACCTTTAGCCTGATTATCACTTTCCACCAGGAGAGATGCAGGCCAAGAGCTTCCTCGTTGTGGATAAAAAAATAATAAAATGTCTAACCTGGTGTTGCCGACCCGGATCCAGCTGGTCATCGGGTGCTCTCGCTTCTCCACCAAGTAGTTGGTGATGTCGGAGCCACCGTCCCAGACTGGCGCCTTCCAGCTGAGAGCCAGCGAGTCCACACCGATGTTGTCCACCGCTGGGAATCGTGGTGGGTCTGGGCGATCTGTGGGTAGATGGAAGAAAGTGGTGATAAGTTGAAACACAAGAATAAGTAGGAAAAAATAATAATTTGAAAGAAAGAAAGAAAGAAAGAAAGAAAGATACATTTATTACAGTGGACATCACACAAATACAGGCAATTACATAGACATGACAGTGGCACATATTCAATTTAAAATTTATAATTTGGTTCATTGTTTAGTAAAATAATTAAATTAGGTGTTTGAACCAAAATGGCAACCATTTAGAATGTGTCATGGGATAGGGAAGAACCCAGAACTATAACGCTGGTATTTTGTGGAAGCCACAGTTGCAGAGTATCACTCCAGCGCCAGTGAATCCAGATAATAAAAAAATGCTGCATCTATGCATTGTTTGCACAAATATCTTGGAGTCAAAAAACAATATGTCCGACACATAGTTTAAAATGAGTGTCAAATCTTGCTTTCCGAATTTCAAACTACATGTGGTCAAATTAAATTAAAGAGATGTCTGAAGGAAGGATAAGCGAAAGTAAATCTCATGACATACCAAGCCAGAAATAGATCTGAAAATATTAATGTGTCAAAAAAAACTTACCGCTGATCTCAATGTTGATGATGGCCGAGTCTTGTCCCAGCTCGTTCTCAGCCGTGATCCTGTACGGCCCTGAGTCCAGTTTGCTGGCGTCCCTGATGGTCAGGATCGCGTGGCGTTCTGGAATAAGACAGTATGAAATAAGTATAATTTTATTGGGAAACTGAAGCGATAATGATGCTAGTTTGGCAGCTGCCTTCACGGGTCTTCGTATATATGTAGCCTCATTCGGGTAACAATACTTCAACGACAACAAATCGCTGAAAGCGATCCTGTCGAGTAATCGTACTATCGAAATGACCCTTATGAATACGGTATTAAAACTGTTTCTCAATGGGATAACGTAACTAAACGTCAATGACAAGTGACAAATCGCTGAGTTGCGATCCTATCGAGTAATCGTTCTATAAAAATTAACCCTTGTGAATACGGATTTAGAACTGTTTTTAATATTTCAGTTCAGCACAGCCTAAAATAGATCTGATCCCACCTAAATTATTGCTTTTATAGTCAACTTTTACAATACTATAACCCCACTAATTTTAGCATAGTCCACTAACAACAGCACTCTGTTCTTTTGATTGATTTCGTTGCGGGTCCAATGACAGTTTAACTTTCCCCCGGGACAAACTTCACCTTCACTGGTTGGGTTTTTATTGGCGGTCAAGCTGTAGATCCTCGCAACTCCTGTAGTTGCAGCGGTGGGAATAGTTTCGTACATGCTAGTCTATGGTCGACTCACCTTTCCTCTCCACATGGTAGTGTAGTCCAGACTCTATGGTCTCTCCCTCGCGCACCCACGTGATCTTAGCCACATATTGACCCGTGAAGGGGATCTTGACGACCACATTCTCCCTTGTCGTTGCCAACACAACACTCGCTAGTCTATGGTCGACTCACCTTTCCTCTCCACGTGGTAGTGTAGTCCAGACTCTATGGTCTCTCCCTCGCGCACCCACGTGATCTTGGGCACCGGGTGTCCCGTGAAGGGGATCTTGACGACCACATTCTCCCTTGTCGTTGCCAACACAACACTCGCTAGTCTATGGTCGACTCACCTTTCCTCTCCACGTGGTAGTGTAGTCCAGACTCTATGGTCTCTCCCTCGCGCACCCACGTGATCTTGGGCACCGGGTGTCCCGTGAAGGGGATCTTGACGACCACATTCTCGCCCTTGTCGAAGTATGCTGTGTCGCGGAAGCGTGGTGGCACGTTCAGTTTCGGCGCGGCTGTGGAAGACAAAGATTTTTAATAAAATTCATTTGCATAAATAGCTCCACGGTGTAATAAGATATGGTAGTCGTTGGAACTTTTGCAGTAAAGAGGTAAACTTTGAATTCTCATGAACTACAAAGGAGGTAAACTTAGAAGCTGAAAAGAAGTAGACATGAAACTTCTAAAGCCCGGTCTGCGAGCACGTAGAATTTTGTACAATGACCCCAAGCTACCCATCCTTATCGCTCGCGACAGCAATATAATGAGGGCTATCGTTTTAGCGCTCACCAGTTAGCGCCACTGTAGAGTAAGGTCCTGTCACTTGCTAGTAGCGAAGACAGTGGCGCCAACTTGTGAGCGCTAAAGTGGTAGGAGGACTATCGCATTTGCACTCATCAAGATGGCGCCACTGTAGAGTAAGGTCCTGTCAATCGCCAGGGGTGCCAACTGTTAAGTATAAAAACGATAGCCCTCATTACGCGCAGCTACGTGCTCTCAGACCAGACTATAGAAGCTGACAGATATACTCATTTACAATAAGGAAGTCAACGCGCGTGCTCTTAATGAACGCGCGCCATGCGTACCATACTTAGAACTGTTGCCAAGAATTTGTCTTGGAACTTCGTAAAGGTATCAAGAGGCACACTTGGAATTTCTTGCAGCTGACAGGATTTGCAACTGTTTGAGTGTGCCAGGCGGTAGTCTTGGAAATTTGGTCTTCTAGACTAGATGTAAAGGTATACTCACTCATAATAAGCAGTTCAGCACGTGTGCTCTTGACTCCTGCACGATTGACGGCGCGGCAGACGTACTCATCGGCGTCTTCGCCGAATACATCCACAACTGTCAAGAAGTGGTTGTCTCCCTCGCTCCAGATGCGGTGGCGCGGGCCGTTGGTTATCTCCCTTGCGCCTGGGGAGAAAGAAGGTTTAGAGATTAAAGATAGTTCTTGGCTCCTGGAGTGAATACAAGAGTTGGAATTGACTGGGGAGAAAGAAGGTTTATTGTATAGCACTGAAGATAGTAGTGCTCCTGGAGTGAATACAAGAGTTGAAACTGGGAGAAAATCATGGATACAAAAGAATTAGGAGGGAGCCTAATTTTGGTTCTGCGTTGATAATGAAGCATTAATTCATGCCACTAGAGCTGGTACAAAAGAATTAGAAAAATACCTAATGCTCAACATGGAAAATAGTTTTTACTATGAACTTCTAAAAAATGTAAACGATCCTTTATGTTACGTTTGACTTGTTTATCAGAAAAATAATCAGGTACCGTCAATGTTTATCTTGGCTTGTTGTGGATGTTTAACGGCGTTTATATTAGCTGACTTATGTTTTACTCTTGCGCGTATACGTTACCTTATGGTAACGTAACAAACTTGTCAGGAATTAAGAAGTTTTTCAGTTTCAAGATCTATCAACATTTTACAGACTTGGAAAGTGAAAATCATGTTGCTATACAATATAAAAGAAGACAAAGATACTTACCCTTGTACCACGTGATGGTAGGCTTCGGCTGACCAGTGATGGTACACTGGAATTTAGCGTTGTGGTACTGGATGCAGTTGGCATTCTTCAGTGGCTTCACGATCTCTGGCGGCGTGGCAGCTGTAGACAAATAAATATTTATAGTATACTAGAGCCCGTTGGAAATTACGAAAATGATTATGCTGTCAACATAGCAAAGTTTTTACTTTAAATTAACCAAACGCAAGTTTGATTTTCTACACAACAAAATAGTCTAACTCAGAACTGATGGCCATTGAGGCAGAAAAGTTCTCGAAAGACGACCATGGGCCAGAAGACGTAGTGCGGGCAGGCTTCCTGCTAGATGAACCAACTATCCGGTAAAGGTCACGGGAAGCATCTGCATGCAGCGCAGGACTGATCTTTGTGGAAATCCTTGGGGAGGTCTTTGTCCAGCAGTGGACGTCCTGTGGCTGAAATGATGATGCCGATAACTTACTTTTTGAGTCGACGACTTTGAGTGCTAGACGAGGTTAGACCGGCCTCGTTCTGGAGTGTCTAGTACCAAGGCCCGTGATGGTTGGTCTACATCTACAGTGATCATATATCTGCCGGCTTCTTTCTGGGCGGTGACGAGTCTCATACGACTACCCTCGATGGCGGATCTACATCTATAGGATCAGACACTCACCCTTGGTGTCAACGACCTTGACCTGCTGGCTGGCAGTACTAGGCGGGGACAGGCCGGCACACTAGGTGGACCGTCAATCTGGTGTAGGCTGTGGGAACTACTTGGATCCAGGCAGCGTAGGACTGATCGTGACTGTCAGTCTTCAGCAGTGGACGTCCTATGGCTGAAATAACGATGATGATGATGACACTCACCCTTGGGGTCGACGACCTTGACCTGCTGGCTGGCAGTACTAGGCGGGGACAGGCCGGCCTCGTTCTGTGCGGTGACGCGGAACTCGTACTGGCGGCCCTCGATCAGGTTGGCACAGTTCAGCATGTTGGGCAGGCAGAGCACAGCGTTCACGCGCTGCCACGTGCTATATCTAGCCCAGAACTGATGGCCATTGGGGCAGAAAAGTTCTCGAAAGACGACCATGGGCCAGAAGACGTAGTGTGGACAGACTTCCTACTAGGTAGACCAACGAACTGGTGAAGGTCACGGGAAGCTTCTGGATGCAGCGAAGGACTGGTCTTTATTGAAATCATTAGGGAGGTCTTTGTCCAGCAGTGGACGTCCTTTGGCTGAAATGATGATGCCGATAACTTACTCTTTGAGTCGTCGACATTGAGTGCTAGACTAGGTTAGACCGGCCTCGTTCTGGAGTGTCTAGTACAACGGCCCTCGATGGTGGATCTATATCTCCTCATATATTGATAGTACATCTAGTGACTAGATTAAGTACTCACCAACGCAAGCAATGTAAACTGTTTACATTATAACGTCGCTGCTGTCACGAGCAATGTGTTCCGTTTTTGGGCATATTGCCGCGACACCGGCCCCGCCCCCTTGTCATATCTCCCTTTAGTTTCTGTGACCTGTGGTACTCACCCTTGGGGTCGACGACCTTGACCTGCTGGCTGGCGGTACTAGGCGGGGACAGGCCGGCCTCGTTCTGTGCGGTGACGCGGAACTCGTACTGGCGGCCCTCGATCAGGTTGGCACAGTTCAGCATGTTGGGCAGGCAGAGCACAGCGTTCACGCGCTGCCACGTGCTATATCTAGCCCAGAATTGATGGCCTTTGGAGCAGAAAATTCTCGAAAGACGACCATGGGTCAAAAGACGTAGTGCGAACAGGCCTCCTACTAAGTGGACCGACTATCCGGTGAAGGTCACAGGAAGCATCTGGATGCAGCACAGGACTGATCTTTGTGGAAATCCTTGGGGAGGTCTTTGTCCAGCAGTGGACGTCCTGTGGCTGAAATGACGATGCAGCTGATGACTCACCCTTCGAGTCGACGACTTTTGAGTGCCAAGGGAGGACAATCCGGCTTCTTTCTGGGCGGTGTCGTGTATAGTACAACGACACTCGACATCAATAGATGACAAGACACTCACCCTTGGGGTCGACGACCTTGACCTGCTGGCTGGCGGTGCTGGGCGGGGACAGGCCGGCCTCGTTCTGTGCGGTGACGCGGAACTCGTACTGGCGGCCCTCGATCAGGTTGGCACAGTTCAGCATGTTGGGCAGGCAGAGCACAGCGTTCACGCGCTGCCACGTGCTATGTCTAGCCCAGAACTGATGGCCATTGGTGCAGAAAAGTTCTCGAAAGACGACCATGGGTTAAAAGACGTAGTGTGGACAGACTTCCTACTAAGTGGACCGACTATCTGTTGAAGGTCACGGGAAGCTTGTGGATGCAGCGCAGGACTGATCTTTGTGGAAATCCTTAGGAGAGACCTTTATCCAGCAGTGGGTATCCTGTGACTCAAATCATGTGACTAATGCCCGTTTTCACCATCAATCCCTAATTTTTAAGTGACCCCTATGAAATCAAAATTCCTGTTGTGTTACCTTAGGGGTCACTTAAAAATTAGGGATTGATGGTGAAAACTGACACAAGTCACTCAATCACTAGACTGCTGTGTGTGTGCTGATGACTTACTGTTCAGGTCCACGATTTGCCAGTGTTAGGCGAGGTCAGGCCGGCTTCGTTCTGGGTCATATCGCGTCTCGTACAATGGTCCTTGATGGTTGGTCGACTTCTACAGTGATCATCGGACACTCACCCTTGGGGTCGACGACCTTGACCTGCTGGCTGGCGGTGCTAGGCTGAAATAATGATGCTGATAACACATCCCTAGGGTTGACGACTTTTGATCGCTAGGGGTGGACACTGGACAGGCCAGCTTCGTTCTGTACCTCTAGTAGGAAAAACTTTCGAGTTCGTTTCGTTGCGTATTCAAAGTGTCATCGAAAAATTTTGTATGAAAAATTAAACAGCGCCCCCTATATTATAGCCGCCCTAGGGGGCGCTGTTTAATTTTTCATACAAAATTTTTCGATGACACTTTGAATACGCAACGAAACGAACTCGAAAGTTTTTCCTACTAGAGGTACTGGGTCATATCGCGTCTCGTACAATGGTCCTTGATGGTTGGTTGGTTGGTACATCTACAGCATCAGACACTCACCCTTGGGGTCGACGACCTTGACCTGCTGGCTGGCGGTACTAGGCGGGGACAGGCCGGCCTCGTTCTGTGCGGTGACGCGGAACTCGTACTGGCGGCCCTCGATCAGGTTGGCGCAGTTCAGCATGTTGGGCAGGCAGAGCACAGCGTTCACGCGCTGCCACGTGCTATGTCTAGCCCAGAACTGATGGCTATTGGGGCAGAATATTCTCGAGTGACCATGGGCCAGAAGACGTGCGAGCAAGCCTCTTACTAGTACTAGGTGGACCGACTATCCGGTGAAGGTCATGGGAAGCTTCTGGATGCAGCGCAGGACTGGTCTTTGTGGAAATCCTTAGGGGAGACCTTTATCCTGCAGTGGATATCCTGTGACTCAAATCATGTGACTAATGCCCGTTCTCACAATCAATCCCTAATTTTTAAGTGACCCCTTCAAAATTACTGTTATGTGTTACCTTAGGGGTCACTTAAAAATTAGGGATTGATGGTGAAAACTGGCATAAGTCACTCAATCACTAGACTGCTGTGAGTGTGAGTGCTGATGACTTACTATTGAGGTCCACGATTTGCCAGTGCTAGGCGAGGGCGAGGTCAGGCCGGCTTCTTTCTGGGCGGTGTCGCGTCTCGTACAATGGTCCTTGATGGTTGGTTGGTTGGTACATCTACAGCATCAGACACTCACCCTTGGGGTCGACGAACTTGACCTGCTGGCTGGCGGTGCTAGGCTGAAATAATGATGCTGATGACACATCCCTAGGGTTGACGACTTTTGATCGCTAGGGGTGGACACTGGACAGGCCAGCTTCGTTCTGGGTCATATCGCGTCTCGTACAATGGTCCATGATGGTTGGTCGACTTCTACAGTGATCATCAGACACTCACCCTTAGGGTCGACGACCTTGACCTGCTGGCTGGCGGTACTAGGCGGGGACAGGCCGGCACACTAGGTGGACTGATCTGGTGAAGGTTGTGGGAAGTACTTGGATCAGGCAGCGCAGGACTGATCGTGACTGTCAGTCTTCAGCAGTGGACGTCCTATGGCTGAAATAACGATGATGATGATGATGATGACACTCACCCTTGGGGTCGACGACCTTGACCTGCTGGCTGGCAGTACTAGGCGGGGACAGGCCGGCCTCGTTCTGTGCGGTGACGCGGAACTCGTACTGGCGGCCCTCGATCAGGTTGGCACAGTTCAGCATGTTGGGCAGGCAGAGCACAGCGTTCACGCGCTGCCACGTGCTTGCGCCGACCTCGCGTTTGTCCACCCAGTAGCCTGTAGAAGGAGGATAGTTTAAATTATTGCAGTAGACTGAGAGCAAATAAAACTAAACTAAACGCTACAGTATTCTAGGGGAGTGATCGTAATGTAAAGAGAACGACAAAAGGTAACAAAGAAAGTAATTGTAGAAAGGGATGTATTTTGGCCAACTGAAGCATAAACATCCAACAGGAATTAAGTCATATTGTCGAATGAGAACATGTGAATCATGTTCTCATTGTAGTTTGCAGATATTTCAGGGTTCAATAAAATTATAGATATTTTTTGACGTATGCAACTGCTTTCCTTACATCAACATTTAATGCTGCCAAACGTGAGGGAGATACATATATTTTTGAATTCAATAATTTGTTGACTCTGTTCATTTTTAAATTTTTGAGAAAACATAAATACATATTAGTTAAAAAGGTCCGGTCTTTGTGGAAATCCTTGGGAGAAGAGACCTTTGTCCAGCAGACCTTTGTCCGTCTTTCGGCTGAAACGAACGAACGAACGATATAATTAAAAAATGAATCTCAAATTGGCATTGGGATTATAAGTTTATTATCATTTTGTTGAATATTTAGAGCATTATAACGTACCTTGTATCCTAGCCCCTCCGTCGCTCTCAGGCTTGGCCCATTCCAGGTGCACGAAGTCTCCTCCGACCTCCAGGATTTTCGGAATGCCGGGCGCTGATGGTGGGTCGTATGGTGCCTTCGCCTGTAATATGAGAGATGTTTAGTCTGGGACTCAATTTGATTGCTCTAGAGATTTAATGGTAGACATTATTTTAGGATTGAGCTTTCAAACTTTCTTAAATTGGACTTTAAAGATGACTACTGATCTTATATTAAAGCATCATATGCTTGTAAACATCGGTTTATAACCTTGATAAAATTTTGGGTGTAAGTATAGCTTATTTGGGGCTGATTTTACCATCGTTGGATAAATTTTAACAGAAGAATAAACTTGTCATTTTGACATTATTTCCCATACTGAAACTGTCAATGTGCCAAACTTATTCTTCAATTAAAAGTTATCCGACGATGATAAATTCAGCCCTATTATTTTTGAAAGAATGAATTAAAGTGATGACGATTTCAATCAAGTTTTAAGTACTCATTAATTGCTGTATATTTGTTAAACCTTTGCATTAGAAAAAATGAAATCAGAAAGGTTAAGAGAATATCTCATATAAGTATCATTCTACAAGTTTACCAAAGGAGTAAAAAACACTCTTTCAGACTATACTAACCCTAAAATTATCACTTCACGGGATTTATTGCAACAATATCTTTTTTAACGGTAAATAAGACATTTACCCTCCCGACGTTTCGGCTCGGTTGCACGAGTCATGGTCGCGGGCAGACTGAAGAGATGAGATAGTAAAAATGCAACATAATAGTTTAAAATATTATATACTAACCCTGATAGGATTGACTCCATCCAGCGCGGGTCCCACACCATTGTCATTGGCGGCGTGAACCCTGAAGTTGTACTCCTGTCCTTCCACCAGTCCTTGTACTGTGAACTTGGTGTCCCGTACAGAGGACGCGATGGTGATCCAGGCCGTTCCTAGGGGAAAACAAGTAAATAAATATTAATATTAGAGATTGACACATACTTAAACATTTTAATATATTAATAATAAACATTTTATTGGGCGGCGCAGGAATGGTATTTGTGGAAATCCTTGGGGAAGGCCTTTGTAGAGCAGTGGACGTCATTCGGCTGAAACGAACCAACAAACGAAATATTAAATTCCTGTATCCCACGTAAAGACCTTGACATTTATCATGTTTAGATGATTAATCTCTTCTATAGTAAAGTGATTTCCCTATAGGTACACTAAGGGCTGCATGTGCCCAAGAATTTCATGATGGTTGATAGACTAACCACCACCCTATTACCTTTTTTGTGGTAGACAAAAGTTAGTGTCTCATCTCTACACTGTAACATCCGTTTGCACACAAATAGTTAACTCTTTTCCAATGCACATAGTTCTGTGGCTGTGTCTAATCATTGTTGGAAGTGGTTGCCTAATGACTTTACTAAATATAAGTAACATAAGAGCTAAAACAACATGTTGAATGTTTTTACTGGCTTCGACCCTAAAATACGTATTTAAGGTTCAAACTATGGCGACAATCTTGCGGGGGGCCGGGCAGGCCTGTCACCATCACGGAGAACGAGTCTGATGTCTCGCTTGACTTGTTCTTGCTTGTGATGTAATACCTGAGGTATCGTTCCTCTCAATGACGTAGTGAGTGACGGGCGAGCCACCGTTAACATCATCATCATCATATCAGCCAGAGGACGTCCACTGCTGAACATAGGCTTCCCCCAATGCTTTCCATGTTGCCCGGTTGGTAGCGGCCTGCGTCCAGCGCCTTCCTGCTACCTTTACGATGTCGTCGGTCCACCTTGTGGGTGGACGTCCCACGCTGCGTTTTCCGGTACGCGGCCACCACTCCAGAACATTGCTGCCCCATCGGCCGTCAGTTCTGCGTGGTTCTTGCTTGTGATATAATTACCTGAGGTGTCATTCCTCTCGATGACGTAGTGAGTGACGGGCGAGCCGCCGTCGTACGCGGGCGGCTTCCACGCCAGCGTGCAGGAGTGGCGGCTGACGTCACTGGCCTCCAGCGGGCCTTGCGGCGGGCCGGGCAGGCCTGTCACCGTCACGGTGAACGAGTCGGATGTCTCGCCGGAGTTGTTCTTGATTGTGAGCTTGTATGTGCCTGGAATTGAGGATGAGTTAGTGATGTTTAAACTTTCATCGATGAGGTCCTAAATCTCTCGAATGAAATTATTACACACTGCTATGCTCAACAAATATTTGAATTCTTAAAAAATAAAACTTATTTTGAGAACAATTGGAGTACTTCTCCAACTGTTCTCCAATATTTTACTTCAATTTTACACAATTCTATTTTCTTTTTTGTGTATCACAGAAGATCCTTTTTATTCAGGGAGTAAGTCAGTTGCTAAAAGCTTTTTTGTAAACGTAATATAGCCTTGCTCTTGTTAACAATTTCACCCAAGGGGTGCAGATGCAAAACTTGCTTGCATATCATTATTTTTCGAAATAAATTCTGAATGCTACATTTATGATTTTGGCGTTTTCAATGTAGATTGACTTACCCATGTCATCCTTGCTGATATCCTTGATGAAGATGAGCATGTAGTCATCAAAGACTGTGTACTTCAGCCTTGGCGACTCGGACACTTTGTGGCCGTCTTTAGTAAGTGTGACGTCAACGGGCTGGTCTCCAGTGTAGAGGATCTTGATCTTGGTGTTTTCGTGTTCTGGTAGGTGCATGTCGCCTGGCATTCTGGTGATGCGTGGCGGGCCTGGGGAAAGAGTTATGTTTAGAAAACTGGAGAAACACAACACTGATTGTCGAGAAATAAAAAAATTCAGGCAGGCTATTCTGGCAAATAATGGCCTAATTTACTTAGTTATCAGACGATTCTTGCAAAAACTTTGACACCAGTGGGTCTAGACAAAGTGCACATTTTAATCGCAAACCAGTCGAAAAGTGGTCGAAAAGCCTTTTTTTTTGTATGGAGTTTTGACGGATTCGATTTTCGATTCGATTAAAAAGTGCACTTTGTCTAGACCCACAGGGCTGTATTAAAACAGAAAAGAATGTCAAACTGTTCCGGAATATAACAGCTCGTTGATATTTTTGACAAATTTAATAACATGTCGTTGGTGAGACTACAACGCGTTGTCAAAATACACTTTTTAACATAATTACAAGTATATTGTTTGTAACATCACTAATTTCCGATCTTGATGTGTGGTAGCATGTCGCTGTTGAAAGTTAAAACTACTTGATAGTTTTACCTTTTTACTTATTATATTTGATACTCACTTCCGATCTTGAGGTGTCCAGTGCTGTAAATGAAGCCAATGTTATTGGACGCCTCGCACGTGTAGTCACCCTCGTCATCATCCTTGGCTTCGAGGATGTTCAGCTTCAGCGTACCCTCGCGGGATTCCGCGATGAACCTGGTGGAACAGACAGTTAATATCATCATCTTAAGGTTTTTTAGTCATCATCAGTACCAGAGGTAAATGGAGGATTCGGTGTATACTTCCCACGAAGGATAGACGGGTTGGGAAAGCCTAATGTGTTCACATATTTCTCCCTTAGTCGAGTCTTACGACATCCACGGGGAGAGGTTGTATATGTTTGAGGATAGAATTATCAAAATTGCACAATCAATAAACTATACAAAAATATGCAGCAGCTGGATATAAAAATGGGAGTACTGTTCTCTGGTATTTTTTGGGGGAAACCCGCGTCCATCTATGCAGACTGCAGTAGTTTGAAATAATGTCAATGTAGAACTGCACATGACATCACATAATATTTTTTTTATGCGAAATAGCACATGAGCAGTCAACGTCAAAAGGTTCGTCACACCTGAAGTAGCAAAAAAGTTAGCAACACGTCTTTATTACAATTGGAACAAGGTTGTTTTGTCAACTTTTTGGCCACTTTGGGTGCCACAAACTATTTAACGCTGTCTGTACAACAGATGCCTCAATGTTTACTTGATATGCCGTTGCCTGTACATACCTGGTTCCCAGCACCAACTCCCTGCCGTTCTTCATCCAGCGCCCGGTAGGCGATGGGTTGCCAGTGGCCACACATTCTATGGTGTAAGGCCTGCCGAGCGGCGCGGCCATGTGTGGTGGCACTTGCTTCACCCATTCCGGTTTGGTTCCGCCGATCTCTTCGCCCGTGCGGACTGGGCTTGTGCAGGTTGAAGGTTCGGATTTGCCTGTGAAATAGATTGATTTTATGTAAGATGGTTTTGACATTTAATAGTGGCCCATTTGATAAGAATGAAGAACTTTAAACTGAATGATACCCTACAAAAGTTTACGTTAGCGAGTCCATTAAAATTATTCTAGTCTACTATTGAAAAATTCGAATTATTTTGAGATTTGATTCGAATTGCCAATATTTTTGATCCCATCTACATCATGTTAAAAATAATGCTTGACCACCAAAGTAGAATAGCAACAAACAGCAAAGTTTTTTGAGATTTGATAGTAATAGTAGTCTGAATGAGATATTTAATCTGGATAGATTTGTGTATGGGTGATTTTTCAAGCATTAGACATCTTTTTACCGAAGATTTTTCATTTTCCCCTACTGAAACTGTTAATGTGCCAAGTTTATTCTTCGGGCAAAATGTATCCAACGATTGAAAAATCAGCCCTAAGAATACATATTTTATGATTTCAATTGTATTTACCTGCGGCGTTAACAGCGATGATGCGGAACTCATAGTCCTGTTTCTCGCCGAGATTGAGCGCGGTGAATGTCGTGTCTTGCACGTTGTAGTCGTTGCACTTCACCCATACTGAGCTTCCTACGTCGCGCTTCTCGATGATGTAGCCGGTCACGCGGGAGCCTGGGAATGTGGAATGAATAGTTTTAACGCAATTGCAGTACGCTGCACGAGATTGGAATTTGTTTTAGTTCTCATGAAAATGTAATCATAGTCATATGAGGTACGGACACTAGAAAGTCAAAATTGGTCGTTTTGGCTTTTACAATTTCGTTTTAAATATTTTAGTCCAGTAAGATGACAATCATAAGCCACAATTTAATAACGACTTTTCCAAGTAGATTTTAAACTTAGTAAAAATTTCCCCCTTGAACTTCTATGAGCTGAGTATAATCTAGAATTATGTTATCTGTGGTATAAGCATCATCGTCATTTCAGCCAGAAGGTGTCCAGCTAAAGGCCAATGATTTCAAAAATTAGCCGGTTATGAAGCGCGCTATATCCGGTGCCTTCCTGCAACCTTCATAAAGTCATCTTGCCGGTACAAGTAACATTTTTGATGACGAGGTGAGAATATGTCACGTTGCGAGTGAGTGACGTACCTCCATCAGTGTGCGGCGGGTCCCACGACAAGTCGATGTAGTTGCGGCCCACGCGGAGCACGCGGGGGGCACGGGGGGCCCCGGGGGGCCCGCAGCGCGGCTTGACCTTGAACTTCTGCGAGCTGGCCGAGTACTTGCTGAGGCCGGCCGCGTTCTGAGCGCGCACGCGGAACTCGTACTCGTGACCCGCTTCGAGGTTGTATGCCTGGTGGAATGGGATAGTTTTAAAATCGTATGACATGACACTACAATTTGCTGCCTTCTTTTTTTGGAAATACCTACATATTCTGAGAAAGCATATTGCGAAAGCGAATAGAACAACTGCGAGCTAAAGACACACTGGTCTTTTTCGACCACCCAGGTCACAAACATTTGTTACAACACATAATATGTATACTAATACAACTGTTTTGGCGCGGGGATCGAACCCGCAATTTCTGGCATTGTAATCTAGTGGTAGTAGACACAATATGCTGAGTGGACTCCCATTGCAATGGACATCGCAATCGCAACAGGGCGGCCCTTCACAGTCACCATAGCTCACTTTTTTCTTTTTCTTATTTCGTGTATTCTTGACCTACTGTTATGTATTTAGTATAGCAACCGCTACATATAGATGACCCACGCTGAACTGTCCCACCAATCTCAATGACAGGGGGGGCGCTACCATCGTTCAACTATATGGTTTCCAACATGGTAAAAATCGGAACCAGCTATCCGGTATTGACGGTGGCGCCCCACTGTCAATGTCATGCATAGGACAGTTCAGTATTTTGGAACTATAACATATTAGTGACAGCTAGCTGGCTCAGCGAACTTTGACATAAACTGACATAAAGTGTCAATTGCGGAAAATAGCGGAGCCGTATTCCTCCCTCACTCCCGTCTAGTATTGTTTGAAATGTCTTTCTTTTTATGCTAGCTTATTACCTGGTAGTTGCAGTCCTTGACAAGGTAATCGGCACTGTTCCAGACACCGTCTTGGACGTCCCGGAACTCGATCTTGTATCCTTGAATGCGCGCACCGCCGTCGGAACGCGGTCTGTCCCACACGACGGTAGCGGTGGAACCGTCCCATTCGGTCACGCGTGGCGCGCCCGGCGGGTCGGGAATCGTGAACGGGAACTGTGGGACGGGACAATGTTATAATAGTTGATATCAATTCTAAGGTTTTGAGAGAAAGCTGAAATTACATTTAGGTTTACAAAGCTTGTTTATCATCATCAACAGGTCATTTCTAGTATCCTTTGCAGGAACAAGACCATCTTTAATTTTACCCAAGGCAAATGGAGAATTTTGAGTTTAATGAAGAGTCGCCTCTTACGACATCCACTAAAAGATTTGGGGTTCTACTTGGACGGAACCCCACGACAAGACTATTGTTCGTATTGGAACAAACAATGTTGACTAATATTAATTTTATTAGGGCTTTGGTCAACAGCTGGCCCAGAAATTCTTGAGACCAACAATTATAGTTCCGAGGGCCGAGTGTGAGTTTTATTGAGCGCGTTCAAAAAATATATGAAAATTTTAATTCTTGAAAGTTTCCGCTAGGGGCGCTGTACATTCCGTCATACATTTAATGTATTTTTTTTACGCACTCATGAGCGCGTTGAATGTAAACACACACAGCCCTCTGGCATAGAGGTTGTTAATCATCCACGATTTTAAACTCTAATTTTTCAGCATAAGGTTCATAATCCTAAACCAAATCAATCATACACACCTTGGCAGTGATATAGTCGTCCATCGTCAGCGGGTCGGACACTCCGTACTGGTTCTCGGCGCGAACGCGGAACGTGTACTTGCGGTTCGGTTCCAAGCCCATCACGTTGTAGTGGCAGTTGCGGACGAATGATGAGATCTTCACCCAGATCTGTGGGTAGAATAGGTGATTGTAGTACTGTTTTGTGAAAAAATATGCAAACGTTTTTTCAAGTTAATCCGTAATTAGGAAGTAAAGTAATATAAGTGATTCTTAATCCCGTCTTCACAAGCATTAAGCTAACAATTTATTGTGACTGAGACTGTGCAATTGTGCATTGGTGATGTTAACTGTAATCAATGTATTGATGTTTTGTATAAAATATGCTAAGGTTTTTTCAAGTTAAATCTTAACTAAGATAAGGGACAAATAAATGGGTTTTAGCCGTATCTTTACAGCTTATATTGATTGTGTGTTGAATAAGGCTGTGCATAGTGATGTCAGTTGTAATCAATGTATCTTTTTTTCTTTGCAAATTCAAAAAACCCTGCTATTTTTAGAAGCTGGTTGATAAAATATAATTGAAAAGAACGCAAAGGTTTAACAAGAATGCAGTTGAAGTGGAAAATAGTTTAAGTTTTATCATAGATATTATTGTAAGATCGCAAGCACATCAGACTTAATTTTTATTGCAAAATCACACCTATTGCTCACAAAAGATGAAACAAAGTTAAGCTTGTAACTAAATGTGTTGTGTTGATTGCTGCGCCTTTAAATAAAAACACAAAAGAGATTTGTAAGCCTTCATTATTTGATTTCTTTTTCGCATATCATGTAACGTCTACTTACACCACTGCTCTCCATCTTCTCTACCACGTAATTGGTGATGGGGGAGCCACCATCATCCATGGGCGGCTTCCAGCTCAATGTGCACGTGTCTGGGGTGATGTCGTAGGCTTCGAGCGGTCCCACTGGTGGGGACGGCCTGTCTACTACTAGCACCTGTGGGGATGAGAAAACGTGTTAACATTAACAAATTCAAGTCCTCATTCATAAGGTCATTTAAATACAAGACCACCTTTTGGTTTTCTACTACACTTCATCAGGTAGTTTCGTTTTCATTTCCCGATAGTTTCTAATTTATTTTCTAATTTACCAAAGGCATGGACGGTTTTATTTTCACTCTTAGAGGTTCAGGAATGTACTAGTTACAACTATACTGTAAGTTTGAACGCATTCAAAGGCTTACAATTAAGATTAGTAAGCTAAAACAGTAAACCTTTAATACTCATGATTGAACAATCTTTCAGTACGCGGCAGAACTGATAGCAGAGCCATAGGGCTCTGAAAGTTTACTAACAAAGATTCGAACTTAAAACATAGATTTATGGATCCAAGCTTAAAATTGGTCTTGATTGAATTTAGACATTTCAATTTAGTCCCTGTCAAAATTTAGCCCAAATAAAATTATTGTTATTTGTATAATACTCACTCTGCAAGTAGCACTATCCGATCCCTCGCTGTTGGTCAGCTGTATGGTGTAGGAGCCGGTGTCGGATCGCTTGGCCGACGTGTTGACGAACACGGTATCCAGGTCGGACGTCACGAATCGGATGCGGTTGTCCGGGAAAACCTCGTCGTTGTTCACCATCCAGGACACCTGGATAGCAAAAATGATTAGTCGACAATTCGATGAGTCAGTAAAAAAACCAAAATTCCTTTATTTGCATGGACTATTAAAAATAAAAGACTAATGGAAAAAACAACGTTGATCGATTGGTAGCGGCCTGCGTCCAGCGCTTCTCTGCTACCTTTACGATGTCGTCGGTCCACCTAGTAGGTGGACGTCCCACGCTGCGTTTTCCGGTACGCGGCCTCCATTCCAGAACCTACCAATGGATCAACGTGGAAAGCATTGGGGGAGGCCTATGTTCAGCAATGGACGTCCTATGGCTGAAATGGTGTGATGATGATGAAAAAAACAACTAAAGTTTTGCTCTTATTGAGTCTTCATGTCTCCTAATCTTTTTGCCCTACCAGCGCTTAGAGACCAACATTTGGCAAGTGTTGAAAAGAAGCGACGATGAGCTATGTTGTTGGTTTTAAATAATATTTTTTTCGATTAGGTTATTTTATGTTAGTCCGGTTTAGTCACAGACGTGACACCAGGGTTGTGACAAATGTACTGCACAAATATCATTATTTACTTCAAATAGGGTACAAAATAGTGTAACTACAGCTTAGTTAAAGGACCTTAACTTACTTGGCCATTACAGATCCAAAATTTTTGCGTACAATTTAAAACTTGATTTTGATATTCGATAATGAACCCTGATCTTTACTACAAAGAAATTAAAGAATTATAGAGTCTCACCTTCGGCCTGGGGTTGCCAGTAAACGGCACGGTGATCTTGATCTCCTCGCCAGCAATAACCGTGATGTCCCGAAGACTGAGGTCGCTGGTGATCTTCGGCGAGTTGGGAGCCCTACAGGCGCGGATAGCATCCGAACTCTGCGAGTAAGGACCCTGGCCTGCAGCATTAATGGCTGCCACTCGGAACTCATACTCGTGGTTCTCAATCAGTCCCGTGACCTTGTACGTCGTGTCTGGAATGTGAGCGTGGGACGCCTTCGTCCACTTGTCTTCGGTTATCAACCTCTTCTCGACTACATAGCCAGTGATAGGCGAGCCGCCGTCATGACGGGGCTTCGTCCAGGTAATCGTGATGGAAGATTCCGTCGTTTCGACAGCCCTAGGCGCGCCGGGCGCTCCTGGCGGGTCGAATGGATGCCTGGCTTTGATAGGCTCAGTCGTCTGAGCCGGGTCGGACTGACCGTACTGGTTCTCAGCCATAACCCTGAACTCATAATCCCTGCCTACATTCAAGTTCTTCACGCGTAAGAACGGTGTCGTGACATATCCTGACACCTTCGTCCAGTTTGGCGTTCTCGCTTCGCGTTTCTCGACGACGTAGTTGGTGATCTCACCGCCTCCGTTGTCCTTGGGCGGGTTCCAGTACAGCNTGGGTGATTTTTCAAGCATTAGACATCTTTTTACCGAAGATTTTTCATTTTCCCCTACTGAAACTGTTAATGTGCCAAGTTTATTCTTCGGGCAAAATGTATCCAACGATTGAAAAATCAGCCCTAAGAATACATATTTTATGATTTCAATTGTATTTACCTGCGGCGTTAACAGCGATGATGCGGAACTCATAGTCCTGCTTCTCGCCGAGGTTGAGCGCGGTGAATGTCGTGTCTTGCACGTTGTAGTCGTTGCACTTCACCCATACTGAGCTGCCTACATCACGCTTCTCGATGATGTAGCCGGTCACGCGGGAGCCTGGAAATGTGGTTGGGATGTTTTTAACGCAATCGCAGTACGCACTGTGTAAACTTGGAAACTAGTATAAGTGTAATGTCTCATCCTAACTAATATTATAAATGCGAAAGTAACTCTGTCTGTCTGTCTGTCTGTCTGTCTGTCTGTCTGTCTGTCTGTTACGCTTTCCCGCTTAAACCTCGCAACCGATTTTGATGAAATTTGGCATAGAGATAGTTTGAGTCCCGGGAAAGAACATAGGATAGTTTTTATCCCGGTTTTTGAAACAGGGACGCGCGCGATAAAGTTTTTCTGTGACAGACAAAATTCCACGCGGGCGAAGCCGCGGGCGGAAAGCTAGTTTCTAATAACTAAAAGAAAGACACCAGTAAGTTAACACCCGCCACGTCTTGATTACAAACTTTCCCAGTAAATTTTCAAGTTTAAAAGTAGGGGATTATATTTCTGGCAGGGAAGCTTAACAGCTGAGTATCCATCGTCATTTAAACCGCAGGACGTCCACACTGTTGAACGTAGGCCTCCCTCAATGACTTCCAGATTGACGGTTGATAGTGGCATGCGTCCAGCTCCTCTCTATAACCTTAATAAGATCATCTGTAAGGTGGATGGTTGAACGTCCCATACTGTGCATGCCGGTACAAATGTAATTGATAATGATAATGATGAGCTGGGTAATATTGGGCATGCCTCACGTTAGACGTAAGCAGGTGACATTATGTCACGTTACAAGTGAGTAACGTACCTCCATCAGTGTGCGGCGGGTCCCACGACAAGTCGATGTAGTTGCGGCCCACGCGGAGCACGCGGGGGGCACGGGGGGCCCCGGGGGGCCCGCAGCGCGGCTTGACCTTGAACTTCTGCGAGCTGGCAGAATATTTACTGAGTCCGGCCGCGTTCTGAGCGCGCACGCGGAACTCGTACTCGTGACCCGCTTCGAGGTTGTATGCCTGGTGGAATGGGACATGTTTTAAAATCGTAGTACATACAGCCCGTATTAATTGACACTAGAACTACTTGCTTGCTTTTTTTGAAAAACCGTTAATTGTGAAAAATATAAAACGTTAAAATAGCGGTATCGTTATAGCCAATGAGATGCTGTCATAGTGACATTGACGTATTGTCAATGTCACATGAGAATCAAACGTCAGAATAGAGGGACGCGCGGAGACGACTCCGCGCGCTTTTGTGCTAAGTGATGAATTGTATCTAAAATAAGGCAATATAATGTATAAGATGAGTATCCAGTGTTTTATTTATGAGAATAGATCGACCGGCCTCTAATAGTACACTAATTACCACTGTTTTGGTGCGGGGATCGAACCCGCAATTTCTGGCATTGTAATCTAGTGGTAGTAGACACAATATGCTGAGTGGACTCCCATTGCAATGGACATCGCAATCGCAACAGGGCGGCCCTTAACAGTCACAGCTCACTTTTCTTCTTTTTTTTTCGTGTATTCTTGACCTACTGTTATGTATTTAGTATAGCAACCGCTACATATAGATGACCCACGCTGAACTGTCCCACCAATCACAATGACAGGGGGGCGCTACCATCGTTCAACTATATGGTTTCCAACATGGTAAAAATCGGAACCAGCTATCCGGTATTGACGGTGGCGCCCCACTGTCATGTCATGCATAGGACAGTTCAGTATTTTGGAACTATAACATATTAGTGACAGCTAGCTGGCTCAGCGAACTTTGACATAAACTGACATAAAGTGTCAATTGCGGAAAATAGCGGAGCCGTATTCCTCCCTCACTCCCGTCTAGTATTGTTTGAAATGTCTTTCTTTTTATGCTAGCTTATTACCTGGTAGTTGCAGTCCTTGACAAGGTAATCGGCACTGTTCCAGACACCGTCTTGCACGTCTCGGAACTCAATCTTGTATCCCTGTATACGCGCACCGCCGTCGGAACGCGGTCTGTCCCACACGACGGTAGCGGTGGAACCGTCCCATTCGGTGACACGTGGCGCGCCCGGCGGGTCGGGAATCGTGAATGGGAACTGCAAGATGGAATAGAGTTATTCATCAGTCTAGAGACAAATATAAAGTTGATAACAGTCAAGTAGATCAATATTAAAATAGACTTGAAATGCCGACATTATATTTAGGTGTAAAATGCTTATTTATCATCATCATCAGGTCATTTCTAGTCTGCTTTGCAGGAACAAGACCATCTCTAATTTTACCCTAGGCAAATAGAGTTTTGAGTTTGATGAAGAGTCGCATCTTACGACATCCACGAGAAGAAGTCTGTCAAAGTAGAACCCCCACCCACACGACAAGCCTATTGTTCCTATTGGAACAAACAATGTTAACTAATATTAATTTTATTAGGGCTTTGGCCAACAGTTGGCCCAGAAATTCTTGAGACCAACAATTATAGTTTTGAGGGCTGAGTGTGAGTTTTAGTGAGCGCGTTCAAAAAATATATGAAAATTTTAATTCTTGAAAGTTTCCGCTAGGGGCGCTGTACATTCCGTCATACATTTAATGTCATTTTTTTACGCACTCGTGAGCGCTCGTGAACTCATACTCAGCCCTCTGGCATAGAGGTTGTTAATCATCCACGATATTGAACTCTAATTTTCCAGCATAAGGTTCATAATCCTAACCCAAATCAATCATACACACCTTGGCAGTGATATAGTCGTCCATAGTCAGCGGGTCGGACACTCCGTACTGGTTCTCGGCGCGAACGCGGAACGTGTACTTGCGGTTCGGTTCCAAGCCCATCACGTTGTAGTGGCAGTTGCGGACGAATGATGAGATCTTCACCCAGATCTGTGGATTTATACAACATTGATAATATTGTCAAACGATTCAGAAACGTCAAGTGGTAAAAATCTGAAGTAATAATGTCAATGTCATAGCTAGGAAGGTTCAGTGTTGTCCAACTATAAATCTATCGAGAGATAGTGCAAGGCGATTAATTATATTCCCGTCTTGTGTAAAATAAAACATACTTTTGGTAATATGCAGCACAACTTTTTTAGTAGCAACAATTTTGTGATACTTAGTTACATTTTCGTTGAGCTTTTGCCTCGATTTGTCTCCAATTCAAGTATACTTTATTAACAACTAGCGGCCGCCCGCGACTTCGTACGCGTGACCCCGTTTTACCCTTAGGGGTGAAGTTTCGAGTTTTTTAGGGTTTACCCGGAAATTATTCAAACTTTTCTCGCTGTAAAAACCATCCTTGGACTTCAACAAACATTTAAAAAAAAGAATTGGTAAAATTGGTCCAGGCGTTGTTGAGTTATGCGCTTACCAACACATTTTGCGATTCATTTTTATATTATAGATAACACTGGGAACCAGATTTGCATGTCGCTAAGATGCAAAATTATGGGTTTCAATTTTTGAAATCAACATGAAAAGTTGTAATGAAAAGATTTACTTTATTTTTGCAAGAAAACCTTAAAACTCAAGTTAATTTATTTACTTCCACTGGGTCATCTCTTTACATCTTTATACTTTCGAGTATGTCGTCATCAACATAAATGGGCAGTAATATTAGAATAGTTTATATTCATAGTATTACTAGCGGCCACCCGCGACTTCGTACGCGTGGATCCTGTTTTATCCCCTTTTCCCGAATTTTCTTTGCTATAAACCTCACGGAGCCCAAGACCTTTCCAACGAATGCAAAACCGTGGAAATCGGTTCGTGCGTTCTGGAGTTATAGCGTCAGGGAGGAAACCCGACTTATTTTTATATAGTAGATAATACGACTACTTACACCACTGCTCTCCATCTTCTCCACCACATAATTGGTGATGGGGGAGCCACCATCATCCATGGGCGGCTTCCAACTCAATGTGCACGTGTCTGGAGTGATGTCGTAGGCTTCGAGCGGTCCCACCGGTGGGGACGGCCTGTCTACTACTAGCACCTGTGGGGATGAGATAACGCGTTTTGTAACGTCCACTCATTAACACATATTCAAAGTCCTCATCATTAAGGTTATTTAAATACAAAACCACCATTGTGGTTTCCAACTAGACAATATCAGGTGGTTTAGTCAACTGGAGAAGCACCATCTATTACTAGAGGCAAATGCAGGATTTAACCTACACTCCAAACGGGTAGAAAGGCCTTATTTTTTACTAGCTCACCCGGCGAACTTTGTTCCGCCTTTAAATGGCAACAAATACGCAGACTTTTTTTTTAATTTCGAACGGGATAAAAAGTATCCTATGTCCTTCTCCTGGCTCTAAACTACCTCCCTGACAATTTTCAGCTAAATCAGTTCAGCCGTTCTTGAGTTATAAGTGGAGTAACTAACACGACTTTCTTTTATATAATAGATTATCAGGCCTCCCTAACTCGTTAATATTCTAATGCATATTTAGGTGCGTTTGCGGTCAAATACCTGCCTTGTCGTACATAAAAAATTAATCAGTGGCCTTTTACGAGACCCACAAGTTGGGAGAAGTCTTATTCACAGCCAAGTTCAGTACGAGGCAGTTGCCTTGTAGCAAATAAAAATGAAAACAACTTCATCAATAATTATACACTTATAATAGATTCAAGCCCGAAAGTGAACCAAATTGGATTGAATATAGTTCAGAACGTCGTTTCAATTCAGTCCTTTCTCATTTAACTCAGCTAAAGTTATCATGTAACGGGACTATTCCCACCTCTCTTTCCCACCTGAGAGAATCTACAGCTTGACCGCCAATAAAAACCCAACCAGTGAAGGTCAAGTTTGTCCCAGGGGAAAGTTAAACTGTCATTGGACCCGCAACGAAATAATCAGAAGAACATAGGAGGAGTTCGAAGTTACTATAATGTAATACTCACTCTGCAAGTAGCACTGTCAGACCCCTCGCTGTTGGTCAGCTGTATGGTGTACGAGCCGGTGTCGGATCGCTTGGCCGACGTGTTGACGAACACCGTATCCAGGTCGGACGTCACGAACCGGATGCGGTTGTCCGGGAAAACCTCGTCGTTGTTCACCATCCAGGACACCTGGATAGCAAAAATGATTAGTTGACAATTCGATGAGTCAGTAAAAAAACAAAAATTCCTAATATAAAATACTAATGAAAGACTAATGAAAAAAAAACTTTGAAGTTTTGTTCTTATGGAGCCTTCACATGTTTCATAATATTTTTGCCAAGACCAACATTTGGCAAGTGTTGAGAAGAAGCGACGATGAGCTTGTTATTGGTGCTAAATAATTTTGTTTTCGATTAGGTTATTTTATTTTAGTCCGATTGAGTCATAGAAGTGACACTAGTTATGAGTTACAGAAAATACTATACAAATATCATTATTTGCTTCAACTAGGGTACATAAGCTAACAGCTTAGTTAAAGGACCTTATTAATATCCAGAAGGATAGTATAGCCAATACAACTCCAAGACTTTAACGTACAATTGAAAATTAGTTAACTTGATTTTATCAAATAAACCCTGATATCCACTTCAAAGAAATTAAAGAATTAAAGAGTCTCACCTTCGGCCTGGGGTTGCCAGTAAACGGCACGGTGATCTTGATCTCCTCGCCAGCAATAACCGTGATGTCCCGAAGACTGAGGTCGCTGGTGATCTTCGGCGAGTTGGGAGCCCTACACGCGCGGATAGCGTCCGAACTCTGCGAGTAAGGACCCTGGCCTGCAGCGTTAATGGCCGCCACTCGGAATTCGTACTCGTGGTTCTCGATCAGTCCCGTCACCTTGTACGTCGTGTCTGGAATGTGAGCGTGGGACGCCTTCGTCCACTTGTCTTCGGTTATCAACCTCTTTTCGACCACATAGCCCGTGATAGGCGAGCCGCCGTCATGACGGGGCTTCGTCCAGGTAATCGTGATGGAGGATTCTGTCGTTTCGACAGCCCTAGGCGCGCCGGGCGCTCCTGGCGGGTCGAATGGATGCCTGGCTTTAATAGGCTCAGTTGTCTGAGCCGGGTCGGACTGACCGTACTGGTTCTCAGCCATAACCCTGAACTCATAATCCCTGCCTACATTCAAGTTCTTCACGCGTAGGAACGGTGTCGTAACATATCCTGACACCTTCGTCCAGTTGGCCGTTCTCGCTTCGCGTTTCTCGACGACGTAGTTGGTGATCTCACCGCCTCCGTTGTCTTTGGGAGGGTTCCANCCGCAGTACATGTACAATCCGGAAGTGGTCAAGCAAGTGACAGAGAAGCTGACGCCGTCGCTGCGGTACCGGTGGTTCGACTTCAGCCGGGACCAGCCGCCAGAGGAGCCGGACCTCGTGCGCCTTCACCGCTTCGTGACCAGGGAGGCGGAGGCGTGCGGGAAGTACGCAGACCCCGAGCTCGTCGGCGGCGCCGAGCAGCAGCAGCAGCGCGCGGCGCCACGCAACCGGCCGCAGCGCGCCTACAACAGTCGGAGTGACAGCGAAAAGTGCGACAACAGAAGCGAAAAGTGTCCAGTGTGCAGTTTACCGAACCATAGCGCCGACAAGTGTAGAAAATTTGTGCGTGCGAACAACAGTGAACGATGGAGCATAGCGAAAGCGGATCGACTGTGTTTCCGTTGGGTTCCAGTACAGCGTGAGCGCTTCACCCTCGAACTCGTCGGCGCGAAGGTTCTCTGGTTTCGCTGGCCTGTCCAATACGCGGACGTTGATCGTGGCCGTATCGAATCCGGACGGGTTGCGCAGTTGCAGACGGTATTGACCAGCGTCTGTTCGCTTAGCGTTCTTGACGACAAGCGACGCGGATTCGGGTGTAATCTTCTGGAATATTCTCGAATCTCCATCGACGTCCAACAGGTTGTCATCAGCGAACCAAGACGCAGTGGGTTGAGGGAAGCCAGTATACGGCACGTGGATGGAGAAGTCCTCTCCAGCGCGTACGGTGATGTCCCTGACTCCACCGAGGTCCATGCAAGGCTTGTTAGGTTGTTCAGCAATGACAATATCGGCAGTAGGCTTGCTCGGGTCGGATCTTCCGACGTCGTTGACGGCGATGACCCTGAACTGGTACTCTGCGCCTTCCTTGAGCTTGGGAATGGTGTGAACGAGGCTCGGAACAGGCACGTCGTTGACGTCCTTCCAGTCTTTATCACCCTTGCCCTTCTGTTGGATGATGTAGCCCTTGATCTTGGCTCCGCCATCGCTCTTGGGCGGCCTCCATGATAACGTAACAGAATCCTTGGTGACTCTGTCCGGTTTCGGCGCCTCTGGCGGGCTGGGTTTAAGTCTCTGAGTTTGAGCCGTGATAGGTTCAGTTGGTTTACTCGGTTTACCAGGTCCGGCCTCGTTGACAGCGATGACGCGGAACTCGTATTTGTTGCCCTCGCGTAAGTCAGATACCGTGTAGCAGGTGTTAGGTGTGGGGTAGTTGTTAACTTTGACCCATTCGCCACCACGTTCGCGTTTTTCGACGTAGTATCCAGTGATGGGTTTGCCGCCACAGTTCGCTGGGGGCTCCCATTCCAATGAGCAGCTGTTCGAGCTGTATCCAGCAATCTTGGGCGTATCGGGCGCATCTGGCGGGTCGAACGGTGACTTGGCCACCGTCGGCTTGCTCTCCAAGGGATCTGACACTCCGTAAAGGTTTTCAGCGCGTACCCTGAACACGTATTTCTTTCCTTCGGTCAAGTTCTTCACAGTGAACGAGCACTTGGGACAGAATCCGGCGACCGTTCGCCAGTCGTTGACGCCGAATTCGGCGACTTCGACGACGTAGCCGGTGATTTCGCTGCCGCCGTCGTCCGTAGGCGGGTGCCAGGTCAGACTGATCGCGTCGTGGGTGACGGGAGTGCAAATAAGAGGTCCTTTAGGCACTCCAGGTTTGTCGACGACGATGACCTCGATATCGGCCGAGTCTTTGCCGTGTTCGTTCTGCGCCGTGATCGTGTATTTTCCAGCGTCATCTCTGGTCGATTTCTCGATGCTGAGCTTGGTTTCGTCGTTTTTGGTCTCAGCAGACAGCCTGTGTGATGGTACCAAAGGAATAGATCCCTTGGTCCACGAAATCTTCGGCGTGGGAGCGCCGGTGATTGGAATGTTAATGTTGATGGGTTCGCCCGCGCGGACCTTGATCTTGCGGCCGATGAGGTGATCCAGCCACAATTTAGGCTTCTCCTTCATAGGTTTAGCCACGAAGACGTTGGAAGCGTCGGAAGGTTGACCGGGGCCGGCGGCGTTGACCGCGGACACCCTGTATTCATACTGGTGGCCTTCCTGGACCCTGTCATCCTCATACTCGTTGTTCCTAACGGGATCCTTGTTCAGTTTTATCCAGCGGCCAGTGGCCTTGTCGCGCCTTTCGACGTCGTAACCGATAATGTTCGACCCACCGTTCGAGATGGGTGAAGACCACCTGATCTTGATGTGGTCCTTGTCGGCAGACACCAGCTCAGGCTTGCCTGGTTTTCCAGGTACCGTGTACTGGTTCTTGGCGATGATCGGCTTGTCAGTGACCAAAGGCTCGGATCGTCCTTGCAAGTTCTCAGCGAACACTCTGAATTCGTATTTGGTTCCCTCGGTAAGTCGCGGAACAGTCGCGTGGTTGAATTTAGGATTGATGTATGTAACAGCTGGTACCCAGCCGCCTCCGTGCGTCAAGTCACGCTTTTCGATGACGTACGCTGTCAGTTCGCTGCCACCATTGTCTTTGGGTGGTTTCCATGACAACGTGACGGATTGAGCTGTAATCTCCTCGTATTCGAATGGCGGTTGAGGTGCTCCGGGTACGTCAAGAACGATCAGTTCAAAGCTGCCTTCATCAGTGCCTGAATCGTTCTTCAATTTCAAGTTGTATTTGCCAGCGTCTGACCGCTTGCAGTTCACCGTGTGGATAATCGTATGGTGTCCAACAGATGTCACTGTCGTCCTTTCGTTTGCGACCACTGGTCTTCCATCGCAAGTCCATGTGACCTCAGGAATAGGCTCTCCAAGGAAGTCGACGTCCAAGTGGAAAATAAGTCCAGCCTTGATTCTGATCTCTTTGAGTGGCGTAAGAATCTTAGGCGCCACGAATCTGTCCTTAGCTGTGATGATGTCTGAGGGTTCACTGGGCTCGGATTGGCCAGCCTGGTTGACGGCGATTACCCTGAATTCGTAATCTTGGCCTTCAGTCAGATCCGGAACCGTAGCTTTAGTCTGTTTAGGTGGTACGTGAACAGCGTTCACCCAGTACGGGCTTCCCTTCTCCTTCTTCTGGATGATGTATCCCGTAATCGGAGCTCCACCGTCCGATTTGGGCGGAGTCCATTGCAAGTCCACGTGATCCTTGCTCCAGTCAGTCGCTTCCGGTTTGCCGGGAGCGGACGGTTCGTCGAATTCGTTTTTAGCGACAATCGCTCTGTCTAACTCTAGCGGCTCTGATTGGCCGATCGCGTTGACAGCGCTCACTCGGAACAAGTATTCCTTCATGTGGATAAGTCTCGTCACTTGGTGCGATAAGAACGTACTCATGCCAGCGTCGGACCACGTTCCGCGGGACAGATCCATCTTCTCGATGACGTAGTGCAAGATCGGTGATCCACCATCGTCCAAAGGCACCTTCCATGATAGCGAGCACGATTCCTTGGTGACGTCGGACACCACCAAAGGCTTCTCGGGCCTCGAAGGCTTGTCCAGCACCGTCACTTGGGCAGTAGCGGAGCAAACTCCGAGGTCGTTCTTGAGGGTCAACTTGTAAACGCCTCCGTCCGATCGGACCGAGAATGGAATGTCTAAAATAACCCTGTTGTGGAGAACCTGGATATCGATGCGGTCCGATGGATGTACGACCTTTCCGTTGATCTGCCACTCGACGGTCGGCTTCGGCGAAGCTTCGATGGGTATCTCGTACTGGATCCTCTGTCCAGCCTTGACAGTTTTGTCTGCGAGCAGAGTTTTGTCGAAGTGTGGGGCGCAGAACCTGGCCTTGGCGATTTGAGGAGTGGAGGCATCGCTGGGTTCGCCGTTTCCGGCCTTGTTGACCGCGATGACCCTGAATTCGTACTCCTCGCCTTCTGTCAGGCCTGAGACGGTGCCCTTGGTCTGGTTTCCGGGCACTGTAGCCGCCACCTCCCAAGGTCCGTACCTCTTCTTGGCCTCGATGATGTATCCAGTGATAGGAGATCCTCCGTCCTTCTTCGGCGGCACCCATTCAAGATCCATGTGGTCTTTGTCCCAGTCCTTGACGACGGGCGTTCCTGGTTTGTCTGGGGTTCCGTAGGGGTCCTTCGCCGTGACGGGCTCGTGGCCGATGANCTTCCGTTGCCTGAACCCCAGGAGAGGGGGGCATAAGTGTGAAGACCGTCAGTGTGGAGAGGACGGCTGTGAGAGGACCCACCACCCATTACTGCACTTCAAGAAACTCGAAGTGCCAGCCAGCCGGAGTGAAACAGTGACAGCAGCAAACTCATCTGGAAAGTCAACCGTAAGTTTCCTCAAAATTCTACCAGTGACAGTGGTGGGCCCCAAGGCCAATATAGACACATTCGCACTATTAGATGACGGCTCTACAGTCACNTCCGATGAGCGGCTGGGACTCTCCCTGCTTATTAACCGCGCGGACTCTGAAGTTGTAGTCGTGGCCCTCGATGAGATGGTCGATGCGGATGCTGCAGGCCTGGACCTCTCCAGCTGGGATCCAGCGCATGTTCTCTTGGTCCATTTTCTCGACGACGTAGTGTGAGATTTCGGAGCCGCCGTCGTCTTTGGGCGGTTTCCAGCGGAGTGTGCATCCGGACTTGGTGATATCATCGGCGCGGAGTGGTCCTTCTGGTGGTAACGGTACATCTAGGACTAAGATCTTGACGGTGGCTGTGTCCAAACCATTGATGTTCTTAGCTTTAAGGGTGTATGTTCCACTGTCAGCGCGCTTGGCATCCACAACGCGTAGGCGCGTCGAGTGCGCGTCTCCTGAGACCTTGACGCGGTCGGTGTTCATGACGACGTTGTCTGCGTGCTGCCACTCCTTGGTGGGTGTGGGCTCGCCTGCAACTGGCACGTCCAGCTCGAAGTTCTGGCCGGCTTTGACCTGGAAGAGAATAATTAATTAAATAAAACAGTTTATTCGGCACACACATAAAAGGGCGCTAGAAAGGTTCCCAGCTGCTAAGCTGTCATACTGTCACGATGAATACTATGATCCTGCTTTCCGGCATGATATTTAGTGACTTACCTACATAGATTTAAAAATGGGTGATGAATACAGTATTTTGTCAATTAGATGCTTCATTATTTTAAAAATCCACCACAATTTATTACAATTTACTGATTGACTATCATTGTTGTCGCTTTCCTTGATGTTTGAAAGTATTTTTGAGGAATTTTAACATCAAAGTTTAGTTTCCCTTCCACAAGGTTTGTTGTAAGATCTTAAGTTTATCTTGGACCTATGTATAAAGCTTCATAACCCACCTTGATGTCGAACATAAAGTTCCTGTCGATCTTGGGCGGCAGGTTCCTGGCGCGCGCCAGTTTTCTCCAGCTGTAATTTTAACACCTGTCTACACAAATAGACTAAATGTATGACCAAACGCACCTGAGCGCATTCCTCCCAATCGGGCGCGAATATACGCTTCTCGATGACATATGAACGCGTCGCCATCTTTCATCCAGCGTCGAATCAATCCAAAACAGACTCTAAATGAAATCCAACTAGGTTTAACCTACCTTGATGTCGAACATAAAGTTCCTGTCGATCTTGGGCGGCAGGTTCTTGGCGCGCGCCACGTGCGGCGAGGTGCCGTCGCTCGGCTCTCCTGGGCCGGCTTTGTTGATGGCACGCACGCGGAACTCGTAAGTATTGCCTTCGATCAGGTCGGGGACCTTGCCGGTTGTTACGTCGCCTTCCACCTGTGGGTAGGAAAAGAGAGTGAATAAATGTGTCATCACCTTTATTATCAGGCTTTTGAAATGCTGGATAGGTTTCCAACTCAAACTCAAAATTCCTTATTGTATACTAAGTGTAAAAAAGGTCCTGTAAAAGTAATGACTAGAGAGCTTAGGGAATCGCTGACCACTGCCTGCTTTTACAGTGTTCAGGAATTACTGGAGAAAACATTTGCATGTCAATGTATTTTAGCAGAATAGAACACTATGTATTTACAACACTATCTGTAATAAACTATTCTTTGCTAATGTCTTTGTCTACATTTTATAACGGTTTCCTCCAAAAGAACGCCCGAGCGATTTACTTTGAGTCGTTTGCATATAGTGGCTTTCCAGTTTCCACAACCAGAACCGGTCCCCAGTTCACCCAATAGGGGGTTCGAACAGAGGAAAAGCAAGTGGATGCTAGAAATGTTGCGTAATATTGACAACTGCTAAGCCTGTTCGTTGGTTCCCGTGTCAGGTTTTACAGGATCAGGTTTTATGTCAGGATTTGAGAAATGTCGGCTTTATTAGAATAACCCATCACCGGATGAATTATGTTAGTGTTAATGAAGATAAGACATCTTTTTCAGCAGTTTAACACTAGAGTACNTTTTTTGCCATCCATAGGATTAGCAAACTGAAGTGGAAAAAGGCAGGGCACATAGTACGCAGAACTGACGGCCGATGGGGCAGGAAGGTTCTGGAGTGGAGGCCACGTACCGAAAAGCGCAGCGTAGGACGTCCACCCACAAGGTCGACCGACGACCTCATAAAGGCAGGAAGACGCTGGATGCAGGCCGCCACCAACCGGCCATTGTGGAAATCATTGGGAGAGGCCTATGTTCAGCAGTGGACTTCCTATGGCTGAAATGATGATGATCATCCATCACCACCATCAGCCTTTCATCAGGATAGCTAGCGAATGACTTTGATCCGTTTGCATTCAGTAGCTACCAGCAACCTTAGATCACCAGCCCACTAGGTGGAACAGCCCTATCCTACTCACACAATGTCTCTCATTCTGAAGTCACCACTGGAGGTCGTATTTCCAATGATCCAATGTAGTTTATTAACCAAATTGAAACTAATAATATAAGAAATGAGGCTTGAGTAGTGATAGGTGGTCTACCCCATTTAGAAATAACTCTGCATACAAATGACATAGACTTGTAATTATTCCTTAAGATGTCGTGATGGGCGCGCCTCCATCTAAATCAACCCAAAATAGACTCTAAATAAATAGCCATAAGAACCTTAGCGCATTCCTCCCAGTCTGGCGCGAATCTGTCCTTCTTCTCGATGACGTATCCCGTGATGGGAGCGCCGCCATCTTTCTCCGGCCTGGTCCATTCCAACTCCACGAAGTCGCGGTCGAAGTCTTTGATCTTGGGCGTTCCGGCACAGAATAAGTAATAGTACAGGTACAGAAGGATTACTCCGCAAGACTATTTAAATAAATGCGAGTCTTGCTACGACGCGATACAGTGGAATTCAGCTCGCACAGCTCTAAGTACCTACAATTTTATTCACCTACAAGTTTTGTCTCTTTCTATCGCGTGCCTCTGAACTCTTCTTACGCTGTTAGGGTTGCTGTCTAGTAGTGTCTAGTAAAAAAATAATTAATCTACTTATTTGTAATGAGGCTTAGATTAATAATCTAAGTAATGAGGTACGTATGTAGGTAAGTACGCATTGATTATGGAAAACCTTGGGAGAGGCCTTTGTCCAGCAGTGGACGTTATTTTTGGCTGAAACGAACGAACGCATTCTGAGCAGTAGACATGGTAGGTTGGGTTCCTATACTATCCTAAGAATTATTGATTACCTACATGGCTAACATACCTTTCAGCATCTTTGGGAAGCGAAAAAAAAGATAAATCCGGTAGTAGATTACTTTTCGAATTTAAACACCCGAACGCCGCACAATAATATTTCTTTCTCTTTATGTCCATTTTTAAATAATACTTCGGTCATAGAATTAGGTACTACAACGCACGCCAGCGTCCTGACGGGCGCGCGCGTGACACTCGACTGATATAATACCCGCCGGCGGGGCGCTTCGCTGTAGGTAATTATCGGATGTACCGCGCGGAGTGAGCCAGGCCTGGTTCCGGGCTTGTTTTAACACCTAATTATTCCAAAATAGCCTCTAAATAAATAGCCATACGAACCTTAGCGCATTCCTCCCAGTCTGGCGCAAATCTGTCCTTCTCGATGACGTATCCCGTAATGGGAGCGCCGCCATCTTTCTCCGGCCTGGTCCATTCCAGCTCCACGAAGTCGCGGTCGAAGTCTTTGATCTTGGGCTTTTTTAACATCTAATCAAACCAAAATAGACTCTAAGTAGATAGCCATACGAACCTTAGCGCATTCCTCCCAGTCTGGCGCGAATCTGTCCTTCTTCTCGATAACATATCCCGTGATGGGTGCGCCGCCATCTTTCTCTGGCCTGGTCCATTCCAGCTCCACGAAGTCGCGGTCGAAGTCCTTGATCTTGGGCGTTCCGGGCTTGCCGGCGACGTCGAATGGATTCTTCGCTTCGGTGGAGTGCGGAGTTGTGAGAGGCTCAGATTTGCCTTGTCTGGGGGTAAAATAAAAGTATATCAAAAAATTTTATGTGGTTTTGTTGTTTATCATGTTAAAAACTATCTTATTATGAGCATACTTCGTTCATACTCACAAAACTGGTTAAATAACTAAGTTTTATAACGTGTTATGTTACAAAGTCCCATTACAAATACTCTCAAATTATATTCAATAGTTTGAATTAATCGAAGGGCGCCTTCAAATTAGAGCCATAAGGTAGCGCTGCAGTGGCGCTAATAGATTTCATAAAATATCCAGCTTAGCTTTGAAGTTTTAGCTTATTTTTAACGTACCGAAAATTACTGAAACTTAAAGAACAGTCGACGACACCTCAGGCTACACATTTTCATTGCAAAATAGTTCCCATTATACCTACATAAGATGTCGCGGTGTTTAGCTTGAAATGCCGTCGTCTGTACCAATAAACTTACATAACTAATTCCAATTTTAACTGACTTGTTAACAGCTCGGGCCATGAACTTGTACTTGTGTCCGGGCGTGAGTCCATCCACCGCGAGACTGGTCTGCGGGCCGTCGGTCTCTCCCGCGGTCACCCATCGTCCCGTGGCCTCCCAATAAGGGATCCCGATCACATCCCCAAGCAGGCTCTGGATTGGAACCCCCAAGGAAAACGCAAAAGTGGTCGCCCCAAGCAAACTTGGCGGCGCACTGTGGCAGACGAGGCGAAGAAGATCGGCAAGACTTGAAGCGAGATCAAACGCGAAGCTCATGACCGAACGCGATGTAAGACTGTTGCGGACGCCCTTTGCCCCGTCTAGGGGAAATAGGACCTTAAGTCAAGTAATTATAACTACAACATATAACTGACCTGTTAACAGCTCGGACCCTGAACTTGTACTTGTGTCCTGGGGTAAGACCATCAACCGCAAGGCTGGTCTGCGGGCCGTCAGTCTCTCCCGCGGTCACCCATCGTCCCGTGGCCTCATCCTTTACTAATCGTAACTATAACTACAACAACTACGACTGACCTGTTAACAGCTCGGACCCTGAACTTATACTTGTGTCATGATCGCCGCAAGTGGAACTGGATTGGCCACACTCTTCGAAGGGATCCCGATCACATCCCCAAGCAGGCTCTGGATTGGAACCCCCAAGGAAAACACAAACGTGGTCGCCCCAAGCAAACTTGGCGGCGCACTGTGGCAGACGAGGCGAAGAAGATCGGCAAGACTTGAAGCGACATCAAACGCGAAGCTCATGACCGAACGCGATGTAAGACTGTTGCGGACGCCCTTTGCCCCGTCTAGGGGACATAGGACCTTAAGTCAAGTAAGTCAAGTAATTATAACTACAACATATAACTGACCTGTTAACAGCTCGGACCCTGAACTTGTACTTGTGTCCTGGGGTAAGACCATCAACCGCGAGGCTGGTCTGCGGGCCGTCGGTCTCTCCCGCGGTCACCCATCGTCCCGTGGCCTCATCCATACGCTCTACGATATATTTGTCGATGGGCTGGCCACCGTCGTCGGCCGGCGGGTTCCAGGAAAGTTTGGCTCCGTGGGCGTGGACGTCAGACACCTGAGATGGAAGACAATGATTGTTAAAGTGCTTGACTCCTAAAGATGAGGATAGGAATAATTTTCTTGCAGTTCTTGGTTGTTAGTTTTAAGAATTTGTGATGGATTATTTTTATATCTACAATACTGTGTTCCACTTTTAAGAGATAATATACTTTAAGATCTTTATTTTTACATTTGAAGTTAATAGACTGAAATATACAGGGTGTTAGGTAAAGGGGTATATGAGCCGACACTAGCCCATGTTAACATGGTCATATAAATGGTATAGTGAAGTCAGAAAATTGGTATCTTCATTTTAATTATTTTAATTTTCATACAAATCGGATTTTATAAAATTTATTTTGTATGAGAATTAATTAAAAAAATAAAATGATGATATCAAATTTCTGACTTCACCATACCATTTATATGCCCATGTTAACATGTGCTAGTGTCGGCTCATATACCCATTTACCCAACACCCTGTATAGAGCTGAGTTAAATGTGTTTGAGCTGTCAGCACGGATATCCCAACATTTTATTAGCTTAAAACTTATCGAAAACTAACCAATAATTAAGTTCCTTTATATGAGCAGTAACAAGATTTCATTGGAGGCCAAATTGTAGACCTTATACTACACTAAAGTTGCAGAGTGGGAAACCAACATTTATACCTTGATTTTTTAGAATCCAGCAGAGATGTAAACAAACACTTTCATACACAATTACACCATAATCACTTACGTGTTCATANACAGTCACACTCATAGACGAAGACCTGGCTAAGCGCGCGGGCGCTACAGGACCCATAGACCCATTGAGCATAGAAGCTATAGCGGGGGCCCGAGTCACGCGTACCGACTCGCGACGAGTGAAACTTGTGCTACGAGGGCAAGACGAAGAGCACTCCCTGCGAGGCCGCACTATCAAGAACTTACGACTGGCGGCCCAGCACATAGACNCTACGCTGAATATTGTGTGCGGATTGGGTTGTCGTACAGGGGTACTACATGGTAAAATAAATCTCGGAGGCGAAAGCAGGATAATACTTATCATGCAATACAACGTTATGCTATAAATAAACACTGAGTAAATATTTTGTTTATAATAAATAAGCTGAGATCTTTTTAATTGTATTATTAAGTCTTAAAATCACATTAAAATGTATTACCAGACGGATGTCATTTAAAAAATCTGATTTAGCGAGGATCTAGACATGTTTTTCTTTGTGAAACACCGCCTATAATACACAGGCACGTGTGGGTTTGCTTATGGCATCAAGCAGTCTTACGCCCGTATTCACAAACATTACTATGAGGTCTCACAGTGTGCGTGGACGCACAGGGTCACACACGAACCAACAACGCTGTGCGTTTGATGCATAGCGTTGCTGCTTCACTTTTACAAGTATCATAAGGACGACGCCGCGAACCGCCAGTCTGCTTGTGACCACGGCTGCAGCATCGCAGCCGAAACGTCAAGCCGTGAGTACATAATGTAACTCATTAATAAACATCGCATAAAGACCCGTGTCTTACTATTTTTACAAGTATCGTTTGTGAATACGGGCACAGAATAATAATAAGTACTACGTACAGANTTTCAATCTCAGGGCCCTGGTAATTATTTACGACCAAAGTGCTCGGGAAGACGAATCCAACGAACTCAAACTCTATAAGTTTATGCCGTTTCGGTTGGGAGTTCCTATGGCCACCTCCTGACTTCATCATCAGGACCCTGAACATCATCTAGCACTTAAGTGCTTGAAAAGACAAATCCAACAAACCCAAATTCGATGAGTTTCCACCGTTTCGTTTAGGAGTTCCTATGGCCACCTCCCGAATCCATCATCAACCCAGCTAAATGGTTGGCGATATAGCCAACAACCTGTTTAGAACTCTTTTAAGGATTCCTCCACAATCACCCCCATTCTCATACAACAACATTTCGAGATGAATTAATGTAAGCAAATCGGATCCGCTGGGTGAATTTGATGGGCGAGGTTGAAGATCTCTACTTACACTTGGCCTGCGGATGAATATGGAGAAAACAAAGCTTATGTCCAATGCCCATATTGCGCCCTACCCAGTTTCGGTTAGGAGCTCAATTCTCGAGATTGTTGACCCAGCTTAATCGTTTGTCCGAGGTAGACATTACCTCGGACAAACGATTAAGCTGGGTAGGTCCAATTTCGAGAAAGAGGTGAATCGTCGAATCCAACTCGGCTGGGCAGCGTTTGGGAAACGACGCAACATCTTTTCGTCCAAAATACCTCAGTGCCTGAAGACTAAGGTCTACAGCCAATGTGTGTTACCAGTCATGACTTATGGTTCGGAAACGTGGCCGCTCACTATAGGCCTTATACAGAAGCTCAAATTGCACAGCGTGCTATGGAGAAGGCTATGCTCGGTGTTTCTTCACAAGATCGAATCAGAAATGAGGAGATCCGTAAACGAACTAAAGTCGCTGACATACTAGCCCGACGGATACAAGCTGAAGTGGCAATGGGCAGGGCACATAGTACGCAGAACTGACTGCCGATGGGGCAGGGCAGCAAGGTTCTGGAGTGACATGCAATAAATAATTTGAATTTGAATTTGGAGTGGAGGCCGCGTACCGGAAAACGCAGCGTGGAACATCCACCCACAAGGTGGACCGATAACATCATAAAGGTAGCAGGAAGGCGCTGGACGCAGGTCGCTACCAACCAGGCAACATGGAAAACATTGGGGGGCCTATGTTCAGCAGTGGACGTCCTTTGGCTGAGATGATGATGATGACTTACACTTGCAAGGGATATTTGCATTTAGCTGCTCTTTAAAACTCAGCGATATGGTGTTTCAGAATCAGCGTCTCGTATAAAACTCACTGGCCGACTAGCGAATTCACTTACGCATGCGGCATGACGCGTCATTGTGCAGGCACAGTGTAGGTGTGAGTGTTGTGCGACGACGAAGTGCGGGTGCGTTCAATCAAAACTTCGTACCAACATGATGCAATAAACATATATGACTATGACTATGACTTCGCTTGTTTTGCATCCATGTTGCATTCAATAGATATTTTGGTTTATGATTTTATGATAAAATTTTTGGGGTAAAAATATTCGAAAAAACCGGATTTCAAAGTAAAAATCCGGATTTTTTTATAGCCTCAAAATCCGGATTTTTCAGATATTTTCGAATTTCGAATAATCCGGATTGCAATCTCTAGTTACAAAGTCCCATTACAAAGACTTTCAGATTATGCTCAGAAGTTTGAATTAATCTAAGGGCGCCTTCAAATTAGAGCCATAAGGTAGCGCTGCAGTGGCGCTAATAGATTTCATAAAATTTCTAGCTTAGCTTGAAAGTTTTAGCTTATTTTTAAAGTACCGAAAATTACTGAAACTTAACGAACAGTCGACGACGCATCAGACTACACATTTTCATTACAAAATAGTTCCCATTATACCTACATAAGATGTCGCGGTGTTTAGCTTGAAATGCCGTCGTCTGTACCAATAAACTTACATAACTAATTCCAACTTTAACTGACCTGTTAACAGCGCGGACCCTGAACTTGTACTTGTGTCCGGGCGTGAGACCATCTACCGCGAGACTGGTCTGCGGGCCGTCGGTCTCTCCCGCGGTCACCCATCTTCCCGTGGACTCATCCTTTACTAATTATCGTAACTTTAACTACATCTACAACTGACCTGTTAACAGCTCGGACCCTGAACTTATACTTATGTCATGATCGCCGCACGTGGAACTGGATTGGCCACACTCTCCGAAGGGATCCCGATCACATCCCCAAGCAGGCTCTGGATTGGAACCCCCAAGGAAAACACAAACGTGGTCGCCCCAAGCAAACTTGGCAGCGCACTGTGGCAGACGAGGCGAAGAAGATCGGCAAGACTTGAAGCGACATCAAACGCGAAGCTCATGACCGAACGCGATGTAAGACTGTTGCGGACGCCCTTTGCCCCATCTAGGGGAAATAGGACCTTAAGTCAAGTAATTATAACTACAACATATAACTGACCTGTTAACAGCTCGGACCCTGAACTTGTACTTGTGTCCAGGGGTAAGACCATCAACCGCGAGGCTGGTCTGCGGGCCGTCAGTCTCTCCCGCGGTCACCCATCGTCCCGTGGCCTCGTCCATACGCTCGACAATGTATTTGTCGATGGGCTGGCCGCCGTCGTCAGCTGGCGGGTTCCAAGAGAGCTTGGCTCCGTGGGCGTGGACGTCAGACACCTGAGATGGAAGACAATGATTGTTAAAGTGCTTGACTCCTAAAGATAAGGATAGGAATAATTTTCTTGCAGTTCTTGGTTGTTACTTTTAAGAAATTTGTGATGGATTATTTTTTATATCTACATTACTGTGTTCCACCTTTAAGAGATAATACATATACTTTAAGAACTTTATTTATACATTTGAAGTTAATAGACTGAAATATATAGAGCTGAGTTAAATGTGTGTGAGCTGTCAGCACGGATATCCTAACATTTTATTAGCTTAAATCTTATCGAAAACTAAACAATAACTAAGTTCCTTTATATGAGTTGCAACAAGATTTTATTGGAGGCCAAATTGTAGACCTTATACTACACTAAAGTTGCAGAGTGGGAAACCAACATTTAGTTCCAACAAAATTGTTTCATGTTGGTGTCAGTCACTATCCCAAAAGTGTAAAAATAATTTTAATTCAGGAATAAACTGGAGAACAATTATTTTTGCTACTGGTTTTCAAATGATTTACATTGACTGTGGGACTGACACAGATAAAACATTGGCTATTCTCACACACGCCATAAACAAAAAGAAACAAAACGAACTTTTAAGGCGGTTATCACACTGCGCCGGGCTCCGCCGCGGAGCGTGGGGCGACAGATTTTTCATTGTATGCAAGTACCTCAGTTTGTATAGAAAACACGCGCGGCACTTCACACTGACAACGCGTCCGCGCGCATGATTTTTTATATGAAAGCGCGGCGCAGTGTGATAACCGCCTAAGACTTACAACGTTTACACAAGTTAAAAGAGGAAATATACCTTGAGAAAACTGGCAACAAACATACAAATACAAGCCATAAAAAGAAAAAAACGTACCTTGAGCGGTCCTCCAGGCGGGCTAGGAACGCTCAGCACAATAACTTCCACTTCAGCCACGTCCTTCCCATTGCTGTTTTCAGCAGTAATAGTATAGCGGCCGCTGTCAGCTCGCGTAGCCGCTTTGCAGTTCAGTTTGGTGTTGTAGTCCGAGTGTTGAACCTTCATCTCGCCGCCGGACTTGACCTCGCGCTTGGCCAGGAACCATTTTGTTTCTGGCATGGGCTCACCGGTCACCTGAGAGTTTGGTGAAGAGTATATTAGGAAATGTTCGTAAGACAGTAATTTAAACATTAAATGAATTAACTGGATAGCATTAAAACTGAAATGTAATGTGCTTAAACCTGTATATGATTCTAAAGTGAATCACTGAGAATGTTGAGCTTTTCTTTCAATATATTTTTTTCTGTCTTAATACTGCCGAAGTCTATTAGTATAAGAAACTATAGTTTATATTCAACTATTCAGAACAAGCCGTTATGTATTTCTGAACTGGTGGTATTGCCATTCGGCAACGCTAAAGAAATAAATAGAATAGTCCTGTAATAGTCTCTCAAGCATATTTTTCCCAATTTTTTTTATTGTTTGGTGTATTCAAGTCCCACAAGGTAGACCTACGAACTCATAAAGGTAGCAGAAGGCGCTGGATGTAGGCCGGTACTAACCGGGCGATGTGCCTATGTTCAGCATTGGACGTCCTATGGCTGAAATTATGAAGTGATGGTTACCTGCCCAAAAATGGTAGTCCAAACTTCGCTTACCTTGACGTCGAAGCCGAACTTCTGTCCGACCTTGAGCTTGATGTCGATGAGGTTGGTCCTGTCGATCTTCGGCGCCAAGTTTCTGGGCTTGGCTACGATGGGGTGAGTGCTGTCGCTCGGCTCGCCCGGGCCTGCCTTGTTTACCGCGCGAACCCTGTGCGGATGGTAATAGGTTATAAAATGCCGTGACATAATAGAATATGACTATTAGGTTGATTCGGAAAAGATATGATTTCATGGAGAAAAGTTGTAAGGTAAAAAAGGTAGCTTCAAACATGGCTTTCAAATGGAAATCACGTCTTGGCAACTAGTGAACACTCTTCTGTTTGGTTGACCAAAAACCTTTGAAGACAGCTTGCAGAGCTGATAAGAAAATGGGGGCTTATATCCAGAAGACTACTGGCCAGAAGACGTTGTGTTCGCTGGCCTCCTACTTGGTAGATCGCTCTGGGAAAGTCATGGGAAGCACCTACCTACCTGAACCGGTCGTTGCGGAAACCCTCAGAGGTCTTTGCTCTTAAGTCTGTCCCTCGATGAGGTCGGGCACGGTAGCAGTAGTCTGGCCGGCAGGCACCTCCACAGCCTTCTCCCAGTTGCCGAACTTGTCCTTCTTCTCTGCCAAGAAGCTGTAAGCTACCTACTTGGAATCACATAGTTTTTGTCTCAGTCAGTCACCTACCTGACCTCGTAAGTCTGTCCCTCGATGAGGTCGGGCACTGTAGCAGTAGTCTGGCCGGCGGGCACTTCTACAGCCTTCTCCCAGTTGCCGAACTTGTCCTTCTTTTCGACGATGTAGCCAGTGACTGGCTCCACTTGAGATCCTGTGATCCACGTGGTTTTCTGTCTTATTCAGTTACCTACCTGAACTCGTAAGTCTGTCCCTCGATGAGGTCGGGCACTGTAGCAGTTGTCTGACCGGCGGGCACTTCTACAGCCTTCTCCCAGTTGTCGACCTTGTCCTTTTTCTCCACCACATAGCATGCAAGCAGCTTAGCTTTTAACCACGTGGTCTCTGCCTTTTTGAGTCACCTACCTGAACTCGTAAGTCTGTCCCTGATGAGGTCGGGCACCGTAGCAGTTGTCTGACCGGCAGGCACCTCCACAGCCTTCTCCCAGTTGCCGAACTTGTCCTTCTTCCCCACGATGTAGCTAGTAAGCAGTTCCACTTGTAACCACGTGGTCTCTGCCCTTTTGGGTCACCTACCTGAACTCGTAAGTCTGTCCCTCGATGAGGTCGGGCACGGTAGCGGTTGTCTGATTAGCAGGCACCTCTACGGCTTTCTCCCAGTTGCCGAACTTGTCCTTCTTCTCCACGATGTAGCTAGTGAGTGGCTCCACTTGAGATTCTGTGATCCACGTGGTTTTCTGTCTTATTCAGTTACCTACCTGAACTCGTAAGTCTGTCCCTCGATGAGGTCGGGCACTGTAGCAGTTGTCTGACCGGCGGGCACTTCTACAGCCTTCTCCCAGTTGCCGAACTTGTCCTTCTTCTCTACCAAGAAGCTGTAAGCTAACCACTTGGAACTATATGGTTTTTGTCTCAGTCAGTCACCTACCTGAACTCGTAAGTCTGTCCCTCGATGAGGTCGGGCACGGTAGCAGTTGTCTGGCCGGCAGGCACCTCCACAGCCTTCTCCCAGTTGCCGACCTTGTCCTTTTTCTCCACCACATAGCATGCAAGCAGCTTAGCTTTTAACCACGTGGTCTCTGCCCTTTTGGGTCACCTACCTGAACTCGTAAGTCTGTCCCTCGATGAGGTCGGGCACTGTAGCAGTTGTCTGACCGGCGGGCACTTCTACAGCCTTCTCCCAGTTGCCAAACTTGTCCTTCTTTTCGACGATGTAGCCAGTGATGGGTGCGCCACCATCGGTACGCGGCGGGCTCCATTTGAGATCCACGTGGTCTTTGTCCCAGTCTGTCACGCTTGGCGTGCCTGGCGCACCTGTGAGAGAATGCTTGTGTCAATATAGAAGCCACGATAGCCGAACGGTGAAGGGGTCGGACTCGAGATTAGACTATTTTGGTGAGCCCACATAACACGAGCATTTTTAGCTTACCACGAGGGGCTAACGGGATAATCTTTTTTTACATAAAATAAATAATATATACTATGAGTTATGTGTGTTGAGATTGCAACTAGGGATATACATGAACAATNGTAGTTCCAACAAAATTGTTTCATGTTGGTCTCAGTCACTATCTCAAAAGTGTAAAAATATTTTGAATCTAGATAGAAACTGGTAAAGAATTACTTTTGAAATTGGTTTTCAATTGATTTCATTACACTGTGAGACTGACATAAATAAGAATTACTGACACTGGCTATGCTCACACAACCCATAAACAAAAAGAAACAAAACAAATCTTTAAGACTAAGCACAAAATCAACTCAGTTTAATCCAGTATTTTGGCACTTATGAACGTCAAAAATAATGAAAAAAGGTAGCTTTTAAGGGGCACTTTACATGTCTTCTTATCTTTTTTGCCCTACTACCGGCGCTTACATAAGTTAATAGAGGAAATGTACCTTGAGAAAACTGACAACAAACATACAAATACAAGCCATAAAAAGAAAAAAACTAACCTTGAGCGGTCCTCCAGGCGGGCTAGGTACACTAAGCACAATAACTTCCACTTCAGCCACATCCTTCCCATTGCTGTTCTCAGCAGTAATAGTATAGCGGCCGCTGTCTGCGCGCGTCGCTGCTTTGCAGTTCAGTTTGGTGTTGTAGTCCGAGTGTTGAACCTTCATCTCGCCGCCGGACTTGACCTCGCGTTTGGCCAGGAACCATTTTGTTTCTGGCATGGGCTCACCGGTCACCTGATATTTGAAAATGTTGTTCGTAAATTAAGTCGTAGGAAAGTTTGAGGTTATTGATTAAAACCTACTACAGTGTGACATTGTTTGCAATAGGTAAAGTGTTAATATTTAAAATCAATGAGCTGAATAGCATTAAAACTGAACCAAAATTTGCTTCATTTTGATTAAGAATAAGAAGACCGTACTATATTTTTTTTTAAAAGCTTATTTACAAAATTACTGAAAGCTTTCAATTGCTAATATTCCGAACATGTATTCCATTTTGTTACAGCTCAACATCATTTTTATTGCAAATCTAACCAGAACCATTCAAAAGGTATTTTTTCTGGTAGTCAGTAGCCACATTCGATGCTTTACTAAGCAGTAATGCTAATGAAACAAATTTACGAGTTCTGGTTCTAACAAACATATCGCGGGCGTCAATGAGGGCGTATAAGCAATACTACGGGTATTGCTTATACGAACTTATAGCTTATATCTTCAATAATAATATTTATTCCGTGCCTAATAATAATATGTCCATGTGACAACTTCTTGTCCAAATATGGTATGTCCCAGTTTGCTCACCTTGACATCGAAGCCGAACTTCTGTCCGACCTTGAGCTTGATGTCGATGAGGTTGGTCCTGTCGATCTTCGGCGCCAAGTTCCTGGGCTTGGCTACGATGGGGTGAGTGCTGTCGCTCGGCTCGCCCGGGCCTGCCTTGTTTACCGCGCGAACCCTGTGTGGATGGTAATAGGTTATAAAATGCCGTAGCATAATAGAATATGTATTGGATTTGATTCGGAAAAGATATGATTTCATGGAGCAAAGTTGTAAGGTAAAAAAGGTAGCTTCCAGCTTGGCTTTCGAATGAAAACCACGTCTTGGCAATTAGTGAAGAACGCTCTCCTGTATGGTTGACCAAAAACCTTTGAAGACAGCTTGCAGAGCTGATAAGAAAATGGGGGCTTATATCCAGAAGACCGACGACTACTGGCCAGAAGACTGTTCGCTGGCCTCCCACTTAGTAGATCGCTCTGAAAGTCATGGGAAGCACCTAGATGCGGGCAGCGCAGAACCGGTTGTTGGGGAAGCCCTCAGAGGGCTTTGCTCTTTTGGTTTGAACCTACCTGAACTCGTAAGTCTGTCCCTCGATGAGGTCGGGCACGGTAGCAGTTGTCTGACCGGCGGGCACTTCTACAGCCTTCTCCCAGTTGCCGAACTTGTCCTTCTTTTCGACGATGTATCCGGTGATGGGTGCGCCACCATCGGTACGCGGCGGGCTCCACTTGAGATCCACGTGGTCTTTGTCCCAGTCAGTCACGCTTGGCGTGCCTGGCGCACCTGTGAGAGAATGCTTGTGTCAATATAGAAGCCACGATAGCCGAACGGTGGTCGGACTGGCCGACTCAAGATTGGACTATTGTGGTGAGCCCATTCATAACACAAGCATATTTAGCTTACCACGAGGGGCTAACGGGATAATCTTTTTTTACATAAAATAAATAATATATACTATGAGTTATGTGTGTTGAGATTGCAACTAGGGATATACATGTGTGAACAATCCAGCACCCCGAGACAAAATAACGTTTGTAAAAGAATCGATATCGTAAAGAGGACGGCACATCAAGCTGGAATCAGTGGTATATTGAGTAGAGTCAACGGTATAACAGCTCTTACAATAAAATGTAATCTGATGTGCTGTCGACGGAAAAACCAGAGCAAAGTATTTTTAATATTGAAAATATCACGAATGTTATTCTCTAGAGGTGCTCTCAAGTGTCCTTGTAATTAGTTTCACATGTGCTTAATGTTCAAATGAAATGCTTGTAGTGTTTTTAAATAATTCAAAGTGACACCTACAAGTATCGCCTAAACAACTTCTTTCACAAAGAACACACACTTAAGTTTATGCATCATAAACTTGTAACCAGTTACATACCAGGCTCGTCGAACGGATTCTTGGCTATGATGCTCTCCTCCCCAGTCAGAGGCTCCGATTCTCCCTCCGAGTTCACAGCGGACACGCGGAACTTATACTCCTTGCCAGGAGTTAAACCGGTCACGTCACACTCTGTGAATAAACGTCATCATTGTCAAGTCATTCACTCCACTGCAGGACTCTCTATTTTACATGGAGAATTTGGAATACACTAACTTTATTACATACATTTGTTCGAAAAATGGGTTAAAAAAACTAATTACTATCTCTCTAAAGAACTATGTTTGCATTCACTAGTTGCCGCCACTGGTGAGTGATAGGAGGACCTAACCGGTGGTACCACTGGCAAGTGAAAGTCCAGACTCTACAGTGGCGCCACCCTAGGGAGTGTAAAATAAAAATCCTGCTACCGCTACATAATAGTCGGGTACTCAGCAATTAACCACTAAGAGTTGGTCTTTAACGCCATATTTTCAAATACAAATATGCACAAAATAAAAGTCTTTATTTGTGAAACATTGGCCAAAATTGGGACATGTTGCAGTGGTATCACTATGTTCCTCTTAAAAAGCATTTTCAGACCTATCTATCCCTTTCACGCATAGTGAGCTATTACGAGTAGCATGAGCGACAGCGATAGAAATACGTAGATTAAGGCTGAGTTGCACCATCTTACTATAACTTTAAAAAACTTCAAAAATTTGTCAAATCCATACAAAATACACCGGTTAAAGAAAGTTTGTGAAACTTAGCCTTAGACTGCTCAGACCAATGGTAGTGCAAATAGACAGAAGTTTACTTACTAGGCTCATCAGAGCGCGCACAAGGCACCCAGCAGCCAGATTCCGTATCCAGCTTGTCGATCTGGTAGTACTCGATGGGAGTGCCGCCGTCGTCCTTCGGCCGCTTCCACTTGAGGGTGGCACCCTCTTTGTGGACGTCCGAGATCTGAGAAAAAAGCAATAGTCAATATAGTGTATAGCCCGACCAGGAACATAAAAACCCTCGCCATGTTGCGGAAAACTAATGGTACTAATTTCTTTTAATGGCAACAGTAACTGAAAACTTCATTGACATGCCACCTTGCATGTCAGTCTATTGTTGTCAAAGTGTAAACAAACTTTATTTTAAATGTGTGCAATTGATTTTGTGAATTAAATTGCTAAAATATTTTTATAGTCGTAAAAGAAAAGTGGTTCACAATGTGTTAATGTATTTGTCGAAGAGAAATACTAAGGGTTCGGACAATATTTTCATTGATTAATGTTTCCGACAAAGGTTGTCAAATTGACTGACATGTTTATCGTATAGTACAGTCCACTATGAAAATTAGCTGTAGTCTGTTTCAATTACCTATTTTAAAGTTTTTTGTCACTTTCTAAGTTTTGTGTTTTATGGAATTGGGAAAGAAGTACCGAGTTTGAAGCGTTAATGAGCAAACATTGCAGTTGAATGTTCTGAATTTGATTATTGATGAATAATAAAATAAATCCTACTAGCTAGATTGGTGGTTTCATTTAATTTATTTAAACCAGGTTACCTTTAATAATATTTTTTTTGTTAATTTATGAAAATATCAGATTAGCCCCTAATCCTGAATCCTGATACATAAATTTAGCCTATTTTAATTTCACACATGTACGACTGTACTCAGTGTTGCACTTTTAAATTCAATTGACGCGCCTCTATGACAGGGTTTTTATGTTCCTGGTCAGGCTATATGTAATTAAAATTCGTAACATCATCATCATCAGTAGGCCTGGGATGCGCGCTACGATAAGCGGTTATCGCGCCATTTTATCGATGTCTAAAATTATCGATAAGAGTAAATCACGGCACGCTTCCTAGCCCGGCAGGTCATTCAGTCTCCATTGCAGCAGCACAACCCTTTTTACTTACTTACTAGAGGAAATTGGATAATTTGGCCTACACTTTCGTTCGTTGATTTTTTAAGCTGACTAAATAATTTTATGATATAGATCGCGCAAAGAAAATTGATAAAACACAAAATCAGTCAGAATACTTCAGTCAAAGTGACAAGCGTATACAAATACTTTGCTTAATATTGATCGCCTTAACTCTTGCTGCGCGACCTATAGCGATCTTTTAACGAATAATTTTTTAAAGTTAGAAGTCATAAAAGTAATTTATTTTCCGTAAATAGGCTTTTACATGTCTCTGTGTAACTTTAACTCCACCATAGCGTTGGGACATGTGGGCCGGTGCTGAGAAGGAAAGAAGATCGTTGCTTCTCACTCACCTGTAACGGTCCCTCAGGCTTCATAGGCTTGTCAGTGACAACCACGTTGATGTTGACGACGTCTTTGCCGCTGGAGTTGACAGCTGTCACGGTGTACTCGCCGGAATCGTCGCGGCGTACCGGCCGGATCACCAGCTTCGTGAAGTAGTCTGGATTGTCGATGGATACGGCCTTGGATGCGCGGAGGGGCATGTTTTGGTATCTGTGGAAAAATAAGGTTAAGTTTTTATTTCTATAACAAACTTAAGACCAAATCACACAGTAGGTGTGCTGGTAAGATAAGTTGCACTGGATATATTATGTCTGGGTGAATAAATAATGTTAAGAGTGTCACTTACTGAGTCACTCAAATGAGTAATCGAACAATAGGTCGTCCAAGAGATATTCCAAGGATAGATGTCTAGTGACAATGTTGGGTACTCGAAGGTACCCAAAGGATGATGGAGCGTGCTATCTTCGGAGCTTCCCTGCTTTGAATCAGAAATGAGGATATCCGCAGGAGAAGGATAAAGTAACCCAAATAGCCTGCAGAATTGCTAAAATCAAGTGGCAGTGGGCGGGGCACATAGCTCTCAGAGCTGATGGCCGATGGGGCAGTAAAGTTCTCGAGTGGTGACCACGGGTCGGAAGACGTAGTGTTGGGCAGGCCCCGCCACTAGGTGGACTGATGATCTGGTGAAGGTTGCGGGAAGAGCCTGGACCGCATCCAGGCTCTTCCCGCAACCTTCACCAGCGCAGGACCAGTAGTTATGGAAATCCTTGGGGGAGGCCTTGGTCCAGCAGTAGACGTCATTTGGTTGAAACGAACTAATGAACGAAATGCTTGCTTTGTCTACCACATACCTCCATTCCACAGCCGGGGCTGGTTCTCCAGTAATAGCAGCCTCCAGCTTAAGCGTAGATCCAGCAGAAATGGTGACATCCCTGAGGCGTCTCCTGTCTATCCAGGTCCAGGATAGCATGAGGAGTTCCTTTGTTAATCTACTACATACCTCCATTCCACAGCCGGGGCCGGCTCTCCAGTGATAGAGGCTTCCAGCTTGAGCGTAGACCAGGCCAGAGATGGTGACATCCCCAAGGTGTCCTGTCGATCTAGGTCCAGGATAGCATGAGGACTTCCTTCGTCAGTCTACCACGTACCTCCATTCCACAGCCGGGGCTGGTTCTCCAGTAATAGCAGCCTCCAGCTTAAGCGTAGACCCGGCAGAGATGGTGACATCCCTAAGGTGTCTCCTGTCGATCTTGGGCGCCAGGAAGCGAGGCTTCGCGACGAAGTTCTTGCTGGCATCCGAAGGCTTGCTCTGGCCGGCTTTGTTGATGGCGATCACGCGGAACTGGTATTCGTTTCCTTCGATCAGCCTGGGGATGAGAGGATATACGTTAGTGGATCTATTAAAATTGATAACTTTGTGCTGATTTGTTGGACGTTGATTTATTTAAATGACCATAAAATATTGAACACATTTTTTCCTTTCTATATTTTGGATCGACTGGTTTAGTTTAAGTAAGTAATCAAATCATCATCAAGCTTTGACTTGGCTTTCTCGCAGAAAAACCATGAGCATTATCAAGAAACTGGGGAACAGTCTATTGCACAGCGTTCATAATCTCGAGGGCTGTATTTACCCGTTAAAAGTAAGTGTCTCTAAGTAAATAAATTATTATTTGACTTAATTTCACGACGATGCCGCTATGGAGCCGATGTTGTTTTAGCCTCCTTCCAAGATAGGCGCCTCCCATTTAAGATCTAAGAGGTTGTTCGATCACTCGCCCTACTAGTTAACTGACAAAGGTGACTGAGTTTCATCCGCCACATCTCAACACCAGTGTGGTGGTAGGGCAAGCTGTATTTGGGACGAGTATAAGCGCCCTAAGTATGACGAAAGCTTTGACTTTGACTCACCCGTTGACAGTAGCGAAGGGTGTAGGCGTGTGTGTCTCCACCGCCTTCTCCCACAGCGGGCTGTATTTGTCCTTCTTTTCAACGATGTAGCCGATGATAGGCGAGCCTCCGTCCGAGATAGGCGCCTCCCACTTGAGGTCCACATGGTTGGCAGACCAGTCTTCTGGCACTGGCGCGGTTGGCGCGTCTGGCACCGCTGTAAAGTTATTGTGCGTTTAGTTTACTCTTATAATATGCTGGTATTTAGTTGACTGTCGAAGAAGAAAGCGAAAACCTCAGAAGAAGTTTTTCACATCAATTTTAATGTCAAAAACGAAATTTCCAATTTTGTAATGGCCAATAGGCCGCTGTCCAGTATTAGGTTAGAAATTAAAAGATGTCAATTTGGAGCTGAACGTCAAATAAGCGTTGCGCGCGCAGCCTCTGCACACGCTTATTATGGGATATAAATGCAAGTTATATGCGATTCCCTTATGTGTTTTGCTATTGATGTACGTTTCTCAATAAAATAAAGTTCTGAACTTAGATTTGCCATAATAAGTATAAAGTCATCACTTACTGAACGGATCCTTCGCGACAATAGCACCGAAGGTCTCCAGCGGTTCGGACTCGCCTTCCTTGTTCAGCGCCTTGACGCGGAACTTGTATTCGTGGCCTGGGATCAGCCCGTCCACCTAAAAATAAATATACACGATCAGTCATGTGGTTCTGGCAGAGTAGAATAGGACCACCTCCACGCTTCCCGTCTATGTCGTAATAGGGGACTAAGGGAAGACAGTTTGAAAACAAGGGTTTCGCAATCCGTCTGACCAGCATGGAAAGTCCTTCCTTTAGCAGCTTTTGCCTTTGGTAAATTGATGAAGGTCATCCTGCATCCTGCCTTATGATGACGATGATGATACCATTTTATCTTATTTCTACACTTTTATTATACGAGTTGTTCTGATATAAAGAAAACAGGGTAGTTGACAAAACTCGGCTCTTTAACAACCTAATTTAATATTTAGAAGTAGACCTAAAAGAGTGCCTTTTCTTTTTTCAGAAGATCTTTTAAGCTCTGAAACTTAATTTTAAAAATTTGTAAATACAAATTACTAATAATTTCGTTAACCCCTCGTGATAAGCAAAATATGTTTTTTTTAAAGATTATTAGTAATTTGATATTTCACAAATAACTAATAATCCCGTTAGCCCCTCATACTAAGCTAAATATGCTTGTGTCACGAGTGAGCTTACCACTATAGTCGAGCGGCGGTTTGTATTACGAGTGGGTACACCACAATAGTCGAGCGGCGGCGGGGATCGAACCCGCGTTCCTCGGATTACAAGTCGGCCAGTCTGACACTTTCACCGTTCGGCTGTCGACGCTTTCATTCGATTCTTCAAACTCACCTCCATCTCGGGAACGTTGCCCAACGTCTTCCCGACAGGCACCCAGTTGCCGGTCTCGGTATCGTACTTCTCGACGAGGTAGGCCTCGATGGGCTCGCCGCCGTTGTCCTTAGGCCGCTTCCAGTTGAGCTTGCAGCCGTCCTTGTGGATGTCTGATACCTCGAGAGGGCCTTCCGGCTTCTCGGGCTTGGCTGTGATTCGCCTATTGTCGGTATTTTGACGAACACAAACGGTTTTGCATCACCCAAAGGGGAGTGATTGCTGTAGACTCGTTGTTCGTCCACACTTGACCGCGAGTAGAGCGACTCCTATCTAGCATAGACCTATAAGATTCTTCAAACTCACCTCCATCTCAGTAACGTGGTCGTCACCTACGATTATAGATACCGTGCGGCTTTTTGGGACTCCTTACTAATGACACCAGAGCTTCTCGGCCTTGGCTGTACTCTGCCTATTGTCGATTTTTTGACGAACACTAAGAGATTTTCATCGCGCAAAGGGTGATTGTTGTAGGCTCGTTGTACGTCCGCATTTAACCGGCTCGTCTAGCATAGACCTACCTTAAGATTCTACAAATTCACCTCCATCTCAGTAACGATGTCGTCACCTACGGTTATAGATACCGTGCGGCATTTTGGGACTCCTTAAGTGACACCAAAGCCTACGCTGCGCAGTCTAAGGTTCTATAAGACAAAGATATAAAGCCATTCCAAACTTACCTCCATCTCGGGAACGTTGCCCAACGTCTTCCCGACAGGCACCCAGTTGCCGGTCTCGGTATCGTACTTCTCGACGAGGTAGGCCTCGATGGGCTCGCCGCCGTCGTCCTTAGGCCGCTTCCAGTTGAGCTTGCAGCCGTCTTTGTGGATGTCTGACACCTCGAGAGGGCCTTCCGGCTTCTCGGGCTTGGCTGTACTCTGCCTATTGTCGATTTTTTGACGAACACTAAGAGATTTTCATCGCGCAAAGGGTGATTGTTGTAGGCTCGTTGTACATCCATACTTAATCGGCTCGTCTAGCATAGAACTACCTTAAGCTTCTACAAACTCACCTCCATCTCAATAACGTGCTTGTCACCTACGATTATAGATACCGTGCGGCATTTTGGGGCTCCTTATTAGTGACACCAAAGCTTACGCTACGTAGTCTTAGGTTCTAAGACAAAGATACAAAGCTGTTCCAAACTCTTACCTCCATCTCGGGAACGTTGCCCAACGTCTTCCCGACAGGCACCCAGTTGCCGGTCTCGGTATCGTACTTCTCGACGAGGTAGGCCTCGATGGGCTCGCCGCCGTCGTCCTTAGGCCGCTTCCAGTTGAGCTTGCAGCCGTCTTTGTGGATGTCTGATACTTCGAGAGGGCCTTCCGGCTTCTCGGGCTTTTGCTTCGGTTTTTTGACGAACACAAAGGGATTTGCATCGCGCAAAGGGTGATTGTTGTAGGCTCGTTGTACATCCGGATTTAACCGGCTCGTCTAGCACAGACCTACCTTAAGATTCTACAAATTCACCTCCATCTCAGTAACGTTGTCGTCACCTACGATTATAGATACCGTGCGGCATTTTGGGACTCCATAAGTGACACCAAAGCTTACGCTACGTAGTCTTAGGTTATAAGACAAAGATAGAAAGCTATTCCAAACTCACCTCCATCTCGGGAACGTTGCCCAACGTCTTCCCGACAGGCACCCAGTTGCCGGTCTCGGTATCGTACTTCTCGACGAGGTAAGCCTCGATGGGCTCGCCGCCGTCGTCCTTAGGCCGCTTCCAGTTGAGCTTGCAGCCGTCTTTGTGGATGTCTGACACCTCGAGAGGGCCTTCCGGCTTCTCGGCCTTGGCTGTACTCTGCCTATTGTCGATTTTTTGACGAACACTAAGAGATTTTCATCGCGCAAAGGGTGATTGTTGTAGGCTCGTTGTACGTCCGCACTTAACCGGCTCGTCTAGCATAGACCTACCTTAATATTCTACAAATTCACCTCCATCTCAATAACGTGCTTGTCACCTACGATTATAGATACCGTGCGGCATTTTCGGGCTCCTTAGTAGTGACATCAAAGCCGACGCTGCGTAAAGTCTTAGGTTCTATAAGATAATGATACAAAGCCATTCCAAACTCTTACTTCCATCTNCCGAGTTCACAGCGGACACGCGGAACTTATACTCCTTGCCAGGAGTTAAGCCGGTCACGTCACACTCTGCAATTACACAATCACGTTAGATAGTGTTCTATTTAATAAAGAAGTAATTAAAAGCACTTTGCTTTATTTTAGAGCTCTACTATGACATAAATAGCAAGAAACTAGGAGGGTTGCTTGTTAACGACATATTTACAAGTATATCTCTTTCACTTATAGCGAGTAATTAGCATGAGAAACAATGACAAATTGTGTCTAATTCTACATTTCTTTCTCATCACTGCAATTTCGTATAACCGGAATCTAAAGTTTAGCCACCAATGAAACCACAAATTAGTAGTCCCAGGGCTTACTGCTTTACTTGCAACGAGTTTAATCATAATATTATAACTTGTTGGCGCTTTGGAATATCTGTGTGCTTTCAAGCAGCTTATTATAAATAAATAAATAAATAAATATGAGGTCGAAATATAACATCGACTTCCTTTCATAACAAGGCGGGAGACTAATGACTGAAAAGGTATAAACCTTTAAGAACGAAATATTATAAACCAGGGACAAACAAAATATAAACTAGATGCAGTCGATGCAGAATCCGTTTATTCGAACAGAGAATAGAAGTCTACTTACTAGGCTCATCAGAGCGCGCGCAAGGCACCCAGCAGCCAGACTCCGTATCCAGCTTGTCGACCTGGTAGTACTCGATGGGGGTACCGCCGTCGTCCTTCGGTCTCTTCCACTTGAGGGTAGCGCCTTCTTTGTGGACGTCCGAGATCTGAGAGAAAATGTACATTGTAATGTAGAAAAATAATACATGGCGAATTAATACGAAACCATGACATCATCAGAGCATTGAGTCTCAATGAGGGCTATCGTTTTAGCGCTCACCAGTTAGCGCCACTGTAAGGTCCTGTCACTTGCTAGTAGCGAAGACAGTGGCACCAACTGGTGAGCGCGAAAGTGGTAGGAGGACTATCGCATTTGCACTCATCAAGATGGCGCCACTGTAGAGTAAGGTCCTGTCAATCGCCAGGGGTGCCAACTGTTAAGTATAAAAACGATAGCCCTCATTGCAGGAGCACAACCCTCTCTAGTTTACCAAAGGCAAATGGATGATTTAATTTTTGGCCTAGACTTTAGTTCGCTGACATTCGAATAAATAAGTTTGAGAAAGAATAATATTTTAGTTCAGGATAGCTTGAGGTACAGATAAAAAGTCATAAGAGTAATTTATTTTCTGCTATTACAAGGCCCTTTTATAAGTCTCAGTAATACTCAGTATTAACTTTAACCCCACCTTAGCGTCGGGAAAATAAGGGTTGATTTTTCAATCGTCAGATATCTTTTGACAGAAGAATAACCTTGTCATTATGACATATTTCCCATACTATAGTTCCAAAATAGTGAACTGTCCTATCGATGACATTGACAGTGGGGCGCCACCGTCAATACCGGATCGCTGGTTCCGATTTTTGCCATATTGGAAACCATATAGTTGAAAGATGGTAGCGCCCCCGTGTCATTGAGTTTGGTGGGACAGTTCAGCGTGGGTCATCTATAGCAATCTTTTACTTTCATGTTCCAGTACAATTTCAACCCTACTACAGCTTCTGGAGAGTGTCCCAGTGCTGAGAAGGAAAGAAGATCGTTGCTCCTCACTCACCTGTAACGGTCCTTCAGGCTTCATGGGCTTGTCAGTGACAACCACGTTGATGTTGACGACGTCTTTGCCGCTGGAGTTGACAGCTGTCACGGTGTACTCGCCGGAATCGTCGCGGCGCACTGGTCTGATCACCAGCTTCGTGAAGTAGTCTGGATTGTCGATGGATACGGCCTTGGATGCGCGGAGAGGCATGTTTTGGTATCTGTTGAAAAATAAGGTTAAGTTTTTATTTCTATAACAAACTTGAGACCAAATCACACGGCAACTGTGTTGGTAAGATAAGTTGCACTGAATATATTATGTCCGGCTGAATTAATAATGTTCAGAGTGTCACGCACTGACTCACTCAAATGACTAATCATATAATACGACATCCAAGAGATAGTCCAAGGATAGATGTCTAGTGACAATGTACGTGTTTGATCAGAAATGAGGATATCCGCAGGAGAAATAAAGTGACCGACATAACCTGCAGAATTACTTAAATCAAGTGGCAGTGGGCGGGGCACGTAGGTAGCTCGCACAGCTGTTGGCCGATGGGGCAGTAAAGTTCTCGAGTGGCGACCACGAGCCGGAAGACGTAGTGTTGGGCAGGCCCCGCCACTAGGTGGACTGATGATCTGGTGAAGGTTGCGGGAAGAGCCTGGATCCGGGCAGTGCAGGACCAGTAGTTATGGAAATCCTTGGGGAAGGCCTTTGTCCAGCAGTAGACGTCATTTGGCTGAAACGAACGAATGAACGATTGCTTTATCTACCACGTACCTCCATTCCACAGCCGGGGCTGGTTCTCCAGTAATAGCAGCCTCCAGCTTAAGCGTAGACCCGGCAGAGATGGTGAGATCCCTGGGGCGTCTCCTGTCGATCTAGGTCCAGGATAGCATGAGGACTTCCTTCGTCAGTCTACCACGTACCTCCATTCCACGGCAGGGGCCGGCTCTCTAGTGATGGAGGCTTCCAGCTTGAGCGTAGATCCAGCAGAGATGGTGACATGCCTGGGGCGTCTTCTGTCGATCTAGGTCCAGGATAGCATGAGGACTTCCTTCGTCAGTCTACCACGTACCTCCATTCCACAGCCGGGGCTGGTTCTCCAGTAATAGCAGCCTCCAGCTTAAGCGTAGACCCGGCAGAGATGGTGACATGCCTGAGGCGTCTCCTGTCTATCCAGGTCCAGGATAGCATGAGGACTTCCTTCGTCAGTCTACCACGTACCTCCATTCCACAGCCGGGGCTGGTTCTCCAGTAATAGCAGCCTCCAGCTTAAGCGTAGATCCAGCAGAAATGGTGACATCCCTGAGGCGTCTCCTGTCTATCCAGGTCCAGGATAGCATGAGGAGTTCCTTTGTTAATCTACTACATACCTCCATTCCACAGCCGGGGCCGGCTCTCCAGTGATAGAGGCTTCCAGCTTGAGCGTAGACCAGGCCAGAGATGGTGACATCCCCAAGGTGTCCTGTCGATCTAGGTCCAGGATAGCATGAGGACTTCCTTCGTCAGTCTACCACGTACCTCCATTCCACAGCCGGGGCTGGTTCTCCAGTAATAGCAGCCTCCAGCTTAAGCGTAGACCCGGCAGAGATGATGGCATCCTTGAGGCGTCTCCTGTCGATCTAGGTCCAGGATAGTATGAGGACTTCCTTCGTCAGTCTACCACGTACCTCCATTCCACAGCCGGGGCTGGTTCTCCAGTAATAGCAGCCTCCAGCTTAAGCGTAGACCCGGCAGAGATGGTGACATCCCTAAGGTGTCTCCTGTCGATCTTGGGCGCCAGGAAGCGAGGCTTCGCGACGAAGTTCTTGCTGGCATCCGAAGGCTTGCTCTGGCCGGCTTTGTTGATGGCGATCACGCGGAACTGGTATTCGTTTCCTTCGATCAGCCTGGGGAGGAGAGGATATACGTTAGTGGATCTATTAAAATTGATAACTTTGTGCTGATTTGTTGGACGTTGATTTATTTAAATGACCATAAAATATTGAACACATTTTTTCCTTTCTATATTTTGGATCGACTGGTTTAGTTTAAGTAAGTAATCAAATCATCATCAAGCTTTGACTTGGCTTTCTCGCAGAAAAACCATGAGCATTATCAAGAAACTGGGGAACAGTCTATTGCACAGCGTTCATAATCTCGAGGGCTGTATTTACCCGTTAAAAGTAAGTGTCTCTAAGTAAATAAATTATTATTTGACTTAATTTCACGACGATGCCGCTATGGAGCCGATGTTGTTTTAGCCTCCTTCCAAGATAGGCGCCTCCCATTTAAGATCTAAGAGGTTGTTCGATCACTCGCCCTACTAGTTAACTGACAAAGGTGACTGAGTTTCATCCGCCACATCTCAACACCAGTGTGGTGGTAGGGCAAGCTGTATTTGGGACGAGTATAAGCGCCCTAAGTATGACAAAAGCTTTGACTTTGACTCACCCGTTGACAGTAGCGAAGGGTGTAGGCGTGTGTGTCTCCACCGCCTTCTCCCATAGCGGGCTGTATTTGTCCTTCTTTTCAACAATGTAGCCGATGATAGGCGAGCCTCCGTCTGAGATAGGCGCCTCCCACTTGAGGTCCACATGGTTGGCCGACCAGTCTTCTGGCACTGGCGCGGTTGGCGCGTCTGGCACCGCTGTAAAGTTATTATACGTTTAGATTTAACCCTATAATTAGCTGGTCTACTATCGAAGAAGAAAGCGAAGAGCTCACAAGAAGTTTCTCAATCACCTAATAACATATTTATACATTCTGCGCCAACAAATTATGGCAGAATACGTAGAACTTTTTCATTACAATAATTAATCTAACCATATTCTTTGAAATATTTTAGTTATAACGTCAAAAATGTGAATGTCAAAATATGTTTGTAAATTATGGCCAATCAGCCAATGGGCCGCTGTCCAGTGTCAAGTTAGAAATGACAACTTGGAAGTAAATCTCAAATAAATGCGTACGCCCAGCCCCTGCATGCGCTTGTTATGGGAAATATAAATGCAAGTTGTTAGCGATTGTCAAAGGCCCAGAACAGACGGTGAAACGCAACTGCAACGAAACTGCAACTAGTTACTTTTGAGTTGCATCTAAGTTTCTGCCATAGCGTCCGTTGAGAGACCACACATGACACGACCAGTTTGAAACTTTCAGTTTCAGTTTCATTCATCAGAATCATCAGAAAGTTGCAGTTTCGTTGCAGTTGAGTTTCACCGTCTGTTCTGGGCCTTAAGGTTCAGTCAAACCAACGCGATCACACGCGATCAGCCGGCGTGCAGCGATGGCGATCAGACTTAAATGCATTGATCGCCATCGCTGCACGCTGGTTGATCGCGTTGGTTTTGAACCTTTGTGCGTTTTTCTATTGGTAAGTATACCTTTCTCGATAAAATAAAGTTATGAAATTAGATCTATCGTAATAATGTTATAGTCATCACTTACTGAACGGATCCTTCGCGACAATAGCACCGAAGGTCTCCAGCGGTTCGGACTCGCCTTCCTTGTTCAGCGCCTTGACGCGGAACTTGTATTCGTGGCCTGGGATCAGCCCGTCCACCTAAAAACGACATACATATTCAGTTGTGTGGATTCAAAAGTAGACCTTAAAATGCAGGAGTACGGTCTAAAATTTTTTGCAATTTTTTCTCGGAACATTGACGATAATTTAAATCAACGACGGTTTGCGCGGGACTGCGAGCAAAATAGTGCATTTTGGGTCATGTTTCACTGCTTGCGGTGTATCCAGGAAACCTAATTCTAATGCCCCTAGGGGACAAAAAAATGTCTTGTGCAACTCTGAATCTACATGTTGCAGCAACGTTACCAAACTGGCCTGAACTATTGCTCAACATTCTATGACCTGGGACGAGTTTCGTGCTGACGCTCTGTCCCCAGGAACATCAAGTTGGTCAGGGTTGTTGTTCCATTTAACCCCTAGTGTATTTGGGGTCTATGTTTCTTCATTACGATTTGAATGCACGCAGAAAGATTTAATAAATGCTACTGACAACGCCATTCTTGTAGCAGGGCTGACACTGTGTTGGTTTGTTGTCGACACGACAAGAAGAAAGTTTCTTCAAACTCACCTCCATCTCGGGAACGTTGCCCAACGTCTTCCCGACAGGCACCCAGTTGCCGGTCTCGGTATCGTACTTCTCGACGAGGTAGGCCTCGATGGGCTCGCCGCCGTCGTCCTTAGGCCGCTTCCAGTTGAGCTTGCAGCCGTCCTTGTGGATGTCTGACACCTCGAGAGGGCCTTCCGGCTTCTCGGGCTTGGCTGTTGGAAAAGAAGAATGAAAAATTATTAATTTGGTACTTTAATAGTACACCTTTGGGACGATGGGTTGTCAGGTATTTAGGTAATTATGATAGCAAAAATCTTTAAATACATTATTTTTTGGTACCTCCCAAGCTATATTTATTTACGAAGGTACAATGAAAAACAATTTCTATAGAAGACTGCAAATACCATTTACAGTGGAGCATTAAACAGTCGAAAGCACATCAGAAAATGCATTTTCGTGCCAATAATATGGCAACTACAACTACATAGGAGGCCACACTGTTTAGTTTAATATGAAATCATCTACATTAGATGGTTAACTTTCTGCTATTTAATTATCTCATTTAATTATATTGTTAGGTCGTCTGACACAATGATATCGTAATTTTATAATCAATAATGTTACAGTGATAGCAAAAACTTTATCGATATTTCAAGAGTAAGTTTGTTTCAAAGATATACTCACATGTAACAATGATCTCCAACTCGGCCTTGTCCTCGCCATATCTGTTGGTGGCGTGGATCTTGTAAGTGCCGGAGTCCTTGCGACGCGGGCTCGAGTGCTGGTACTTGCTCAAGTATGGCACGTTCACCACTGGAACAAAATTATATGGTTCAGATATGGTACATTCATTATTGAATTAAAATCTGTTGATGAAACATGCTGTAAATTAGCCAGGTCAAGAGTCAGGGGACCGTTGCATTTGGAGGAGCATCGATGACTAATAATCTTGACTAAGGGGCAGGTCCACTCTCAAGGTGGACCGACGACTTCCTAAAGGTAGCAGGAAGGCGCTGTACGCAGGCCGCTATCAACTGGTCAACATGGAGATCATTAGGGGAGGCCTATGTTCAGCAGTGGACGTCCTATGGCTGAAACGATGATGATGAAGGGGCAGACGGTATTGACAAGTGCTGCGTAGGGTATCCCCAATAATGTAGAGTCATTAGTCAAAGATCTCAGCAATATGCATTGCGAGAAAGCCCTTTATCTATGAAACTATTCCCACGTCTTTGTTCAACCAATCCTAAGTGGTCGAGTTTAAAAAAAATATCTGACATTTCCTGACCAGTGAAAACTAGGTTTAATTCATGACACTTTGACGTCAATCCTTCTCAGCACCAGCCCACGTTGTCTCGAAGTGGTGGTAGGACAAGCTATATTTGGGACGTGTATAAGTTCCCTAGAAAGTGCCTATGTACTATATAAACTATTTCATTGTATTTCAAACGCTGATAATGATGAGACTTACGCTTCAAGCCGTTGCCGCTGCTGACACTCTTGCCGTTGAGGCTCCAAGCGACATCTGGCGCGGGTTCACCCGACACTTTGACGTCAAGCGCGATTGGTTCACCCTCGCGCAAAGGTGATGATGATGATGATGGTGATGAGACTTACGCTTCAAGCCGTTGCCGCTGCTGACGCTCTTGCCGTTGAGACTCCAAGCGACATCTGGCGCAGGTTCACCCGACACCTTGACGTCAAGCGCGATGGGTTCGCCCTCGCGGACTTTGATGGTGCGTAGGTTGCGACGGTCGATCTTCGGAGCCACTGGGGAAGGAAATATAAATGTAAATAATGGGAGAACAAAAAAAAGAGGAATGATGATGGATTCGAAATCTTGATACTGCGTGGGTTTATTTTGTTGATTTCTAATATTACTGGTTTCATAGCTGAATCGACTGATCCAATCAATTCATTGAATAAGAACGAAAAAACGTTACCGTGATTTTTCCCCATACATGGGAATGCTGAAATAGTTTTTAAAACATATCACCCGCTCACTACCTTTATTAGGTGTGCTAACTTCACCGTTAGGCAGCGTTTCCACAAGAGATGTGCGAGGATGCGTAGCGAATGATGTGTTTGTAAAGAACCAATAGAATCGCATAATTTACTCATCGCATCTCTCTGGTGGAAACACAGCCTTAAAGCAATTCCATTTGCCAAACAAAAGACCACTTTACCCGTTTACATTACGATATAAATAAAATATTCTACTCACGTTTCCTGGGCTTGCAGACGACAGACTTGCTGGCGTCTGATGGCTCGCCAGGGCCGGCCTCGTTGATGGCCTTCACTCGGAACTCGTATTCCGTTCCCTCGTCCAAGTTCGGCACTGTAGCCTTCTCGTTGTCGTGGGGGCCGACCTGACGAGAAACACACATTTTAACGGCCAATTTAGTGGTGATATACGTCTTTATCTTTGGGGATACTTATGAGATCACTCCCAAGTTGAAATTACGAAATTGCGTTGCGAAATACCTTTATTCAACAAGTAGAATTTAATTGATAAGCTCTTGCAGTACTATACTATCTGTAGCTTTAGCTGGGTTCCAGTCTCAGGAGTAGCAGATTAGTTGAAATGATTATTAGTTGCAATACTGCGATCTTTGGCAGTCTTCGCAAGAGGCTTCCATCCATCAAAGCCCTCTAGACTCGTAGTGCCCTTATGGGGCCATAACGAATTCGCTTTTACTCTTCGTCATCCCGAATCATTCTAGTGACTTTTTTGGAGTGTTGTTACTGAATGACTACTATCTACAGTACCTTAAAAGTACCCAACAAACTAATTAATCCAGTGCTAAAGATAATCGACTTAAAATACTATAAAGAAGTATTAGTAGTATGTATTACTCACCTCGCAGGCCTTCACCCATTTCGGCGAGCCAACTTCTCTCTTCTCAATGATGTAGCCGGTAATGGGAGCGCCGCCGTCGTTGATGGGCTTATCCCATTTAAGGTCAACATGGTCGCGGTCCCAGTCAACCACTTCTGGTGTTCCGGGTTTGCCCGGTTCGTCTGCGAAAGACGATAAATTGGTAACAATTTGGAATTGGAAATCATAAGTGTTACAGCTACAGTTTGGCCTCCTATGAAATCCGTAAATATTGAGTTATCTCAGTGGAGAGCTGATTTTCGGCTAATTCATTGCCGAAATACATCTATCAGTAATAAGAAGAATATAGGAGAAGCTCGAAGTTTAGGAACGACTTTCTGCCAGTGTTAAGTGGATGACCGATGAGAAACAAAGGCATACCTACATAACTTTCAAGTAAAAACCGACATCAACAGCTATACATGATTATAAGCGATACATCACCAGGTCCCGATTTATATTCTTTAAAAAATTTTTATGCGATAAGATTACACAATATTTAATGCACATATATAACACCACTAAATGCCGCTAGCACAATTCAAACCCCCAGTTGTATTGTTTCATTTTCCAAAGGCAATCTTGTGATTTATTTCTAATATCTCACAAAAATTACTAAGTATCAACACTCACCGAACGGATTCTTGGCAATAATCGAGTGGTCTGCGTCCAAGGGTTCCGAAACGCCCTCGTTATTGACCGCAGACACTCTGAACTTGTACTCATGTCCTGGAACCAGGTTCTCCACCTCGGCCTTCGGGTCCTTGGTCTTCATGCACGGCATCCAGCGACCGGTCTCGGTATCAAGCTTCTCGACCAAGTAGTGGTCGATGGGCGCACCACCATCGTCTAGGGGCGGGTTCCATTTGAGCGTGCAGCCTTCTTTGTGGACGTCTGAGATCTGGGAAAGGATTGAAGGGTAAGTGCTTTTTGAGTCTTATTGTATTAGGTATATGTATTAGGTATAGGGTCGAAAATGATTCAGCTTGTATTTTGCGAAGAAGGCAAATCTTTAATATTTATTTTTTTGGATTCCCTATCACCGATTTCGTATCTTTGGATCTATTAGTCACTATAACTTGTGCTCGCATCTCGCTAAACAGCTGACAAAATGACGATTTGAGACATTACACAAAGTTTGAGATATCGAGGCAGTAATATTTTGGATTCTCAATAAACTTTTACGCCACAGAAGTAGTACAACCTGGACAACGGAGAATTGTATTCCTCGGAAATACCAATGTTACTTCTTTGAAGGATCACAGAGAACTAAGACTACACTCGACATCAAATAAATCGCACCTCCCGCGACAAGCACTTTCAAACGTATGCATCCCCACTTCCCACCAATATTTGCACCATTTAAAAGCCTAGTTCTAAAATGTGTCTTTAGAAGGATCCAGAGTCACTTCTTAAAAAAATAGGTAGTTACGCTTGAGCCAACTTTTATGGCTATAAAACTGTTAAGTTGGGATTAACCCTATCCATCTGTTAAAGAGGACACGTGTGATCATTATTTGGTTTTATAACCATAAAATTTGGTCTAATTGATCCCAGAGGTGAGCCCAAAGTGAGGTCTTTTTTCAAGTCACATTTATGGTATATGTTAATCATTTATTAAGAAAGTAAATGTGTTTTTCCTTAAGCATTTTTATTGGGCTTTCAAATAACACCAATATTGTTGGGGTATCATGATTGTGTCAGAAGAAAATCTTTAAAGTTCGCATCGCGGAAGGTGCGGTTTATTTGATGTTGAATGTAGTTCATTTGGAAAGACGCTGTTAGCTGTCGGGAATATTACCTTCAGTGGTCCCTCAGGCTTAGCTGGTACATCGAGCACGTTGACCTGTATGGTGGCCTCATCGCGTCCACTGCTGTTCTCAGCCTTGAGTTCGTAAGTACCGCTGTGCTTGCGGCTGCAGACTACGACCGATAGCTTGATCTTGTAGTCTTATAAGATAAGTCGCAGCCAAATGCTAGTCATCATCATTTCAGCCACAGGACGTCCACTGCTGAACATAGTCCTCACCCAATATTTCCAGTTTGGCTGGTGTAAGCAGCCCGCATCCAATGCCTTCCTGTAATCCTTTCTCTCCACAATAAACGGTCTTGCGCTGCCCGCATCCAGGCTCCTCCCGCGACCTTTATCAGATCGTCGGTCCACCTAGTAGAAGGCCTACCCACGCTACGTCTTCCAGCCCTGTGCCCTGTACACCATGTGTGGCTGGAAGTCTTACGCTGCGCTTGCTTGACTTACTTGACTTAAGGTCCTATGTCCCCTAGATGGGGGCAGAGAGCGTCCACAACAGTCCTCCATCGCGTTCGGTCTTGAGCTTCGCGCTTGATTTCGCTCCAAGTCTACGCTGCGCTTGCTGCTAAATGTAAAAGCTATAACTAAGTATTACCTTGAGTGGTCCCTCAGGCTTGGCTGGTACATCGAGCACGTTGACCTGTATGGTGGCCTCATCACGTCCACTGCTGTTCTCAGCCTTCAGTACGTAAGTACCGCTGTGCTTGCGGCTGCAGACCACGACCGATAGCTTGATTTTGTAGTCTTCGGTGTCGATGGTCAGGTCATCGCGACTTGAGAGACGCTCTTTGTTGTGGAACCTGAGAGATTAGGATAATAAGGTAAAAGTTTTAAGTAAAATTGCTACTGATATCTATATTTATAGTGGTAGCTAAGGTTGTATACTGTGTACAAGCTTATAAAATATATTTTTATGTCCACAAACCAATGGCAGTTCACGTGTGGAGGTAAGCCACAAAACTAGCTTTGTGCCTTCTTCTATGGAAAGGCTTACGTTCCCTTGGACTTACATTGAAATGTTCAAAGTCTAGTTTCCAAGATAATTATAATATTGGATTCCCGTTTTATCGTAACTTAATGATGCCGTCTAGTTTTTACCGTAACTTTAGGATATAATCTAAATAATCCCTTGAATGAAATCCTGCAGCATGTAGAAAAAAAATTACAAAAATCAATTCAGTAGATCACCTTCCTCTATAATTTTAAATGCAATATTAATTTATTTATTTATTTATTTATTTAATGAAAGAAACATACAGCTTTTATATTACATATAGGTACAGGAAAAAGTTTAGTTTATTCATAAGCCAAAAAAGTTTCCAATGTTAATTTGTCAATAGCGAAGACATATTATAAAAAGTTTCGCAGTAATTTAACTAGGTAATTTCGTTCNCGTACCTACATTACAGTACTCATAATGATGTATTAAATGTATCCTATAGTCTATGCACTGCAAGATGGTGCAGGTGACATGACTAGAGATAGGTTAAATTTTAATCCAATTAGTAAATGGCCTGTTGTCGTCGCAAAATACGCAATAGAACGCAGAACTGACGGCCAATGAGGCATCAAGGTTTTAGAGTGGAGGCTGTGGACCGACGACCTCATAAAGGTAGCAGGAAGGCGCTGGATGCAGGCTACTACCAACCGGGCGATGTGGACATCATTGGGAGAGGCCTATGTTCAGCAGTGGACGTCCTATAGCTGCAATGATGATAATGACTGGTTTACACTGGCTTGCGACACTTCGCGCGTGTCGTGAGCGTTGTCTGTATGTCGTGTTCATTGCCCGAGCGCACTTTGTATGTAGATTGTCTCCTGCTCCTATCTATTTTGCGCTCGCACACTCACTGCTGCCGCCCGTCGCACAGTCGCGACAGCAATATAATTACGCGATAAGGAAAGGTAGCTTGGGGTCATTGGACAAAATTCTACGTGCTCCGAGACCAGACTTTACCTGCGCAGCTCCTCGGCCTCGGGGTTGTCGTCCATGAGCCGCTGGTGCTGCTCCAGCTCTCAAACATCCTCCATCATCATCATCCATCAAACATCCTCCAGCGACGCATCGTGTTCCGAGGGTGTCCCTAGCTACGGAGCCTGACCTGCGCAGCTCCTCGGCCTCGGGGTTGTCGTCCATGAGCCGCTGGTGCTGCTCCAGCTCTCGCACTATCATCCATCAAACATCCTCCAGCGACGCATCGTGTTCCGAGGGTGTCCCTAGCTATGGAGCCTGACCTGCGCAGCTCCTCGGCCTCGGGGTTGTCGTCCATGAGCCGCTGGTGCTGCTCCAGCTCGCGCACGATCATGTCGGCGCGCTTGTCGGCGCTCGGGCCGGCGGGCGCGTCGCAGACATCCTCCAGCAACGCATTATGTTCGGAATTTGTTCGGCGGAGGCGGAGGGTGTCTGTAAGTGTTAATACGAGATGCTACAGTCACTGGTGAAAAATTAAAGACGTCGGTTCGCGCTGCGACAGAGACAAGCGACGGAGACAAAAGACCGAGACCGTAACTAGACTTGAGGCAATGTTTATGCGTCAGTTCGCGATCGAATCTGAGACCAGAGACAGAGATGTAAGTCAAGTAACGGTCGCGGTATTACGTCTCGGTGTCTTGTCTCATTCGCTTGTCTCTGTCACGACGCGAACCACCATACCTTTAGGCTAAGAACTCACGATTTTCACCCGCGACCGCGGCGGTTGTGGAATTGCGGTTTTATTTCATTACAAAAGCTGTGGGCCCGCAACCGCCGCGGGCCATGAGTTCTTAGCCTTAGGCTTACCAAGTTAAGTTTCTACTTGTAACATTGTAATTATTAAAATTAAAAACCAAAATATTTGGTCATACAGTCTCATTGCACATCGATTTTCCCTGGTAAAGATAATAATACGCGTCCGATAACGTAACTCAATAGCTACAATGTTGTTATAGGGTTCGTGTCTTTGTGTCTTACTCGCGCGATAAGTCAATGAGTTCCTGAGGGGATCCTGTTACGGGTAAATACTGAATTTCTCTAACCCATTGTAGTTAAGGCTCAATTCCTAAAACACAAGATGAATTGGAGGGTCACGAGAAATGCAATTAGGGTTGAGTTCAATCGTAGTTAATAAAATTTTAATAACGTAGAGACGAAAAAGAAGACGGTCATTTCCATATTTCCGGATGTACTCGTATTAATTCCTCACTCTCTCTCACTAGTCGAGTCGCTTGAATGAGCTACAGTACAGAAAGAGAGTGAACAGAAACGGCAATAATGTAGCAACCTCGATATTACGATTGTGCGATCACGATTTCGTGTCATATGAAAAGGTATATGTTAGTTAGAGCAGTGGAATAATGCTTTAGAGCACAAGCAAAATTATTGTTTTAATTCAATATAACGCCTGACTAATTATGCGCTAACCGTACAGCGTCGGTTTCATAGTTCATACTTCAATTCCTATAATTATTTGTGTTATTTTGCTAGATTGGTTTATTCCAAACACATGCCTATGTTTCCCTAAAAGTAAACTAAATTAAAATAAACATAAACATACCTGAACAAACATCCAGTTCAATATCGTTATCCATAACACACAACTAAAACTGTCCCATTAGTGATAGGATAATAACTGCGCAAATGAATCTAAAGTTTACCGCCCATTTAATTACTTTGTTATTTATGATATAGGGAAAAATATGTATTTTTATGCGAGCAACAAGGACGAAGGTAGACAGAGCACTGGCGATCTGATTCATGCACGATCATAATTAAACTGGCGCTAACTTCATTAGAGCTCGTTAGGCCGTACTCTGCCATAAGCTCTGGTAGCCCTCGGTGTAATTACATAATTGCTACTTGAGATAATAGCCCTAAATCGATACAAGTACATGCATATTGCAAAGATAAATAACAGGGCGTTAAAAATTACGCCTCCAGTCGTGGTGATGAAGTAATGAAATAAATATAGCAAGTTTAAAATAAACTGGCCCGCATCATCATCATCATCACCTATCATTGTGTTTAAGGTGATTCACGGCACTACGCCAGCTTACCGACATTGAACTTAAACGTTTTGATCAGCCATAACAATATGACACGAAATACGAATACAACGGACACAGAACAGTAGCGGCAAAATACTCTCACAGAGACAAAACCCGAGAAAAGTGGGGAAGAGGTGAGTCCATCTCAGTATGAGCGTGTATGGAAGTGCGCACATTACACCGATTTGGTATCGGCTGACTCCTCATTCAAATTGTAAGCCGACCAAAATACTGCCCGACTAAAAGCGCTCCTGCACACGACGCCGCCACCGCGCCGCCGCCGCGCCGTCGCCGCGCCCCTACACTGTTCATAATACGCACCGAGTAAAGCCCGCCGCCGCGCCATCACAGCATAATTTCGCCAGCGGCGCGGCAGCGAGCTTCACGCGGCACGTATAAACAGTGCAAAGGAGCGGCGACGGCGCGGCNTCATCTCTAATAATTATATGGTTCAGGTATGGTACATTCATTATTGAATTAAAATCTGAATGATGATCATCTGTTGATGAAACATGCTGTAAGTTAGCCAGGTCAAGAGACAGGGGACCGTTGCATTTGGCGTAGCACCGCTGACTAAGGGACAGAGCCACCCACAAGGTGGACCGACGACTTCCTAAAGGTAGCAGGAAGGCGCTGTACGCAGGCCGCTATCAACTGGTCAACATGAAGATCATTGGGGGAGGCCTATGTTCAGCAGTGGACGTCCTATGGCTGAAACGATGATGATGAAGGGGCAGACGGTCTTGACGAGTGCTGCGTAGGGTATCCCCAATAATGTAGAGTCATTAGTCAAAGATCTCAGCAATATGCATTGCGAGAAAGCCCTTTATCTATGAAACTATTCCCACGTCTTTGTTCAACCAATCCTAAGTGGTCGAGTTTAAAAAAAATATCTGACATTTCCTGACCAGTGAAAACTAGGTTTAATTCATGACACTTTGACGTCAATCCTTCTCAGCACCAGCCCACGTTGTTACGAAGTGGTGGTAGGGCAAGCTATATTTGGGACGTGTATAAGTTCCCTAGAAAGTGCCTATGTACTAAATAAACTATTTCATTGTATTTCAATCGCTGATAATGATGAGACTTACGCTTCAGGCCGTTGCCGCTGCTGACGCTCTTGCCGTTGAGACTCCAAGCGACGTCAGGCGCGGGTTCACCAGACACCTTGACGTCAAGCGCGATAGGTTCGCCCTCGCGTACAAGTGATGATGATGATGGTGATGAGACTTACGCTTCAGGCCGTTGCCGCTGCTGACGCTCTTGCCGTTGAGGCTCCAAGCGACATCTGGCGCGGGCTCGCCCGAAACTTTGACGTCACCGCGATAGTTCACCTCGCGCAAAGATGATGATGATGATGATGGTGATGAGACTTACGCTTCAGCCCGTTGCCGCTGCTGACGCTCTTGCCGTTGAGACTCCAAGCGACATCTGGCGCGGGCTCTCCCGAAACATTAACGTCAAGCGCGATTGGTTCACCCTCGCGCAAAGGTGATGATGATGATGATGGTGATGAGACTTACGCTTCAAGCCGTTGCCGCTGCTGACGCTCTTGCCGTTGAGACTCCAAGCGACGTCAGGCGCGGGTTCAGCAGACACCTTGACGTCAAGCGCGATTGGTTCGATGATGGTGATGACACTTACGCTTCAGCCCGTTGCCGCTGCTGACGCTCTTGCCGTTGAGGCTCCAAGCGACATCTGGCGCGGGTTCACCCGACACCTTGACGTCAAGCGCGATAGGTTCACCCTCGCGCAAAGGTGATGATGATTATGATGATGGTGATGAGACTTACGCTTCAAGCCGTTGCCGCTGCTGACGCTCTTGCCGTTGAGGCTCCAAGCGACGTCTGGCGCGGGTTCACCCGACACTTTGACGTCAAGCGCAATTGGTTCACCCTCGCGGACTTTGATGGTGCGTAGGTTGCGACGGTCGATCTTCGGAGCCACTGGGGAAGGAAATATAAAGGTAAATAAAGGGACAATAAGTAAAATAAAGAGGTATGGACACAGTCTCGATACTGAGCGAGCAAGCAAGAACCTTGTGCCCCAGTCGATGAAGCACTATCGTGCCCTGAGTGCCCGAGCAACTGCACACAGGAGGATTTATGCTGCTGACAACGCCACTCTTGTAGCGGAGTTTTGGGCTGACACTGTGTAGGTTTGCTGTCGACACGATAAGAAGAAGCAAGAACTTTGTTGAATCTCTGATCCATGTCCTTGCAGTTTTTCCCGAACTTGAAACGTTTATGAGATTTATTCCAATATCATTGAGCCGTCTCATGTCTCACCAACTTTAGTAGCTAATGTTTTTGAGTCTTTCGACGTTGCGTTTATATTGCTTACAGCGGTAGTTTTTAAAACTGTAGCAAATCCATTTGCCAAACAAAAGGCAACCTTACCCGTTTACATTACGATATCAATAAAATATTATACTCACGTTTCCTGGGCTTGCAGACGACAGACTTGCTGGCGTCTGACGGCTCGCCAGGGCCGGCCTCGTTGATGGCCTTCACGCGGAACTCGTATTCCGTTCCCTCGTCTAAGTTCGGCACTGTTGCCTTTTCGTTGTCGTGGGGGCCGACCTGATGAAGAAACATAGATTTTAACGGCCATTTCAATGTAGGTATTTAGTTCCGAATCTGCGGAGGAACACTATCAGGCGTACTGAAAAGTGTAAAGTGAGCGACAAGTTATATTACAAAATGTGTGTCGCGGAATTTCTTATTCGACAAGTAGAAATAATCTAGCTGTGAATAGCTGACGATTAGTTGATAAATGGACCTATCCTGTTAGGTTTTCAAGCCCTTTACTTACGGTCTCCTCGATTCATTATTGACGAGTTTTCAGAGAGCAAAAGTAGACTGTTTTGTTCACAGTGCCCATGACCTTAACAGCTTCACCAGACGGACTAGTGCTAAATACAATCAAGTTAAAAAGCATAAAAGAAGTATTATCTCACCTCGCAGGCCTTCACCCATTTCGGCGAGCCAACCTCCCTCTTCTCAATGATGTAGCCGGTAATGGGAGCGCCGCCGTCGTTGATGGGCTTGTTCCACTTCAGGTCTACATGTTACTAAACCGTAAACGTAATTATATTGCTGTCGCGACTGTGCGACGGGCGCCCGCAGTGAGTGTGCGAGCGCGACAGCAACATAATTACGCGCTCGCACACTCACTGCGGGCGCCCGTCGCACAGTCGCGACAGCAATATAATTACGCGCGAGCGATAAGGATGGGTAGCTTGGGGTCATTGGACAAAATTCTACGTGCTCACGGACCAGGCTTTAGCTCCAGTTCATCACCTCCGGATAGCCTGGATAGAGGAGCTTGGAAGAGACTCCATTCACCTCAGCGGGCTGCACCCAATAAGAGGTATCGTTTTAGCGCTCACCAGTTTGCGCCACTGTAGAGTAAGGTCCTGTCACTTGCTAGTAGCGAAGACAGTGGCACCAACTGGTGAGTGCTAAAGTGGTAGGAGGACTATCGCATTCGCACTCATCAAGATGGCGCCACTGTAGAGTAAGGTCTTGTCAATCGCCAGGGGTGCCAACTGTTAAGTATAAAAACGATAGCCCTCATTGCCGGTGTCGCGGTCTTTCTTCTCGACGATTTGAGTTCTCCTATTTCAAATCCAGGTGTTCCTTGCTCCAGCTCTTGACTCTGGACAGTCTAGATATAGGAACTAAGAGGACTCCACTCACCTCGCAGGCTTTCACCCATTTCGGCGAGCCGACCTCCCTCTTCTCAATGATGTAGCCGGTGATGGGAGCGCCACCGTCGTTGATGGGCTTGTCCCACTTGAGATCCACGTGGTCGCGGTCCCAGTCAACCACTTCCGGTGTTCCGGGTTTGCCCGGTTCGTCTGCGAAAGACGGTAAATTGGTAAAAATTTGAAATTGGAAATTACAATCGCTTGGAGTCTTATAGCTACAGTTGGAACACACAGAAATCCGTAATGATTGAGTTATCTCAGTGGAGAGCTGATTTTCGGCTAATTCATTGCCGAAAGACAGCTATCAGTAATAAGAAGAATATAGGAGAACCTCGAAGTTTAGGAACGACTTTCTGCCAGTGTTAAGTGGATGGCCGATGAGAAACAAAGGCATACCTACATAACTTTCAAGTAAAAACAGACATCAGCAGCTATACTATACATGATTATAAGCGATACATCACCAGGTTCCGATTTATATTCTTTAAAATTTTGAAAAAATATTATTTTTTTTATGCGATAAGAGTACACAATATTTAATGCACATATATAACACCACTAAATGCCGCTAGCAGAATTCAAACCCCCAGTTGTATTGTTTCATTTTCCAAAGGCAATCTTGTGATTTATTTCTAATATCTCACAAAAATTACTAAGTATCAACACTCACCGAACGGATTCTTGGCAATGATCGAGTGGTCTGCGTCCAAGGGTTCCGAAACGCCCTCGTTATTGACCGCAGACACTCTGAACTTGTATTCGTGACCTGGCACCAGGTTCTCCACCTCGGCCTTCGGGTCCTTGGTCTTCATGCAGGGCATCCAGCGGCCGGTCTCGGTATCGAGTTTTTCGACCAGGTAGTGGTCGATGGGCGCGCCACCATCGTCTAGGGGCGGGTTCCATTTGAGCGTGCAGCCTTCTTTGTGGACGTCTGAGATCTGGGGAAGGATTGAAGGGTAAGTGGTATTGCATTTTGGACCTTAGTACGTTCAGGATTGAAAATAATACAGCTTGTACTGCTCATTAAGGAAGACAATGTAGTCTTTTATATTTAGTTTATTGGATTCACTGCTTTCGTATCTTTGAATCTTGCAGTACACACGGACGAAGTCGCGGGTAAAATGTAGTCACAATTAATTAGTTGATAAGATAAGGGCTACCTTTGCTTTTTTATTATTTACTATATTTTGACGTTCATAAGTGCCACTTGTGGTCTAAATTGAATAAATATTTTTGATTTTGATTTTGAAAAATAGGCTGAGTGAGTCAATTATTTCCAGTTTGGCTGTGGAAGCAGCCCGCATCCAGTGTCTTCCTGCAACATTTTTCTGTCTACCATGTGGCTGGAAATCTTACGCTGCGCTTGCTGCTAAAGGTAAAAGCTATAACTAAGTATTACCTTCAGTGGTCCCTCAGGTTTGGCAGGTACATCGAGCACGTTGACCTGTATGGTGGCCTCATCGCGTCCACTGCTGTTCTCAGCCTTGAGCACGTAAGTACCGCTGTGCTTGCGGCTGCAGACCACGACCGATAGCTTGATCTTGTAGTCTTATAAGATAAGTCGCAGCCAAATGCTAGTCATCATCATTTCAGCCACAGGACGTCCACTGCTGAACATAGTCCTCGCCCAATGATTTCCAGTTTGGCTGTGGAAGAAGCAGCCCGCATCCAATGCCTTCCTGTAACCTTTCTCTCCACAATGAACGGTCTTGCACTGCCCGCATTCAGGCTCCTCCCGCGATCTTTACCAGATCGTCGGTCCACCTAGTAGGAGGCCTACCCACGCTACGTCTTCCAGCCCTGTGCCCTGTACACCATGTGGCTGGAAGTCTTACGCTGCGCTTGCTTGACTTACTTGACTTAAGGTCCTATGTCCCCTAGATGGGGCAGAGGGCGTCCACAACAGTCCTCCATCGCGTTCGGTCTTGAGCTTCGCGCTTGATCTCGCTCCAAGTCTACGCTGCGCTTGCTGCTAAAGGGAGAAGCTATAATTAAGTATTACCTTGAGCGGTCCCTCAGGCTTGGCAGGTACATCGAGCACGTTGACCTGTATGGTAGCCTCATCACGTCCACTGCTGTTCTCAGCCTTCAGGACGTAAGTACCGCTGTGCTTGCGGCTGCAGACTACGACCGATAGCTTGATTTTGTAGTCTTCGGTGTCGATGGTCAGGTCATCGCGACTTGAGAGACGCTCTTTGTTGTGGAACCTGAGAGATTGGGATAATAAGGTAAGTTTTAAGTAAAATTTCTACTGATATCTATGTTTATAGTGGTAGCTAAGGTGGTATACTGTGTACAAGCTTATAAAATATATTTTTATGTCTACATTTAAACCAATGGCAGTTCACGTGTGGAGGTAAGCCACAAAACTAGCTTTGTGCCTTCTTCTATGGAAAGGCTTACGTTCCCTTGGACTTACATTGAAATGTTCAAAGTCTAGTTTCCAAGATAATTATAATATTAGGTTCCCGTTTTATCGTAACTTATTGATGCCGTCTAGTTTTCACCGTAACTTTAGGATATAATCTAAATAATCCCTTGAATGAAATCCTGCAGCATGTAGAAAAAAAATTACAAAAATCAATTCAGTAGATCAACTTCCTCTATAATTTTAAATGCAATATTAATCGTTACTTTATCCTGTAAAGACTGATTGAAACACAAAACTCACCAAGTCTTGGTTGGTGGAGGTTCACCAGAAACCTTGATGTCCAACCGAATGTTCTGGCCGGCCTTGATGGTGATGTCTCGCATGTTGGTGCGGTCTATCTTAGGCGGCGCTGCAAGGAACAAAAACATATAGTAAAAATGTGTTTTATTGGACTTGGAGCAAAATGGATCAGCTAAAAATTGACAATGGTATTCTGTTTTATGAAACTTTATGAGTAGAATTATATTATTCTTGACATCTCTACTCATTTAGACAGATGCTCTGAGAAACACCTTTATTTCTTAGACAGGGCAGACTGCAGATATTATGTCGGCCGATAGTTTGGTCGGGCTAATCAGTATGAACATGTGTGAAAGTCCGCACATTACACCGACTTGGTATCGTCGAATCCTCATACACATTATAAGTCGGTCAAACTATCGGCCGACTTAAAGTCTGTAATCTGTGAGGTATCTTAACTAGAGCTATATCGGCAGAGAGCGCACGACGAGATATCACACGCGCAAATGGGTTTGGAAATGGATGCCTTACACTAAAGATACAGGTTCAAATCCATGGAGGTATTATAGCTGAGTTACTTACCAAACCTGTCCTTAGCCAGCAGATTCTCTGAAGCTGCGGACGGCTTGCCTGGGCCTGCCTTGTTGACTGCCTTCACACGGAACTGGTAGGTCTTGCCTTCGATCAAGTCTGGCACGCGGGCCTCTGTCTTGTTGCCGGGTACCTGAGAGGGAAAGGTTTGAATTTAACAAGAGGTTTAAAGGGGAAGAGGGTGGTCTGAATAGGGTCCGCTTCAGTCCACCCTCTTAAGTTAAGAGAGAGGTGTGTTCTGTTATATCTTTATTTTTAGTAAACTTGACAATAAGGTGAAATAAAACTGAGTTTGCTGCTAAAGTGCTAAGTAAGCCAGTGCTTTTACTAAGCTACAGGGACCAAGTATTCACCAGTATGTTATTTTTTAGCTGGAGGTGACTGATAAGAAATTTTATAGTTCAAAAAAAATTTTTATACCAGTTCCTCATCATCATCATCATCAGTTAATTTCCACTACAGGAATACGGCCCTCTTTAATTTGCCAGACGCAAATAGAGGATTTGACCGACACTCCTCAAGCTCCAGAGCTGGCTATACGGGTTTAGGAGGCCTGATGTTTACATATTTGTCTCTTAATCACCCCTTTACGACATGGTCTTATTCTCTGAATCATACTGCTAATTCTATACCATTTAGGGCTGATTTTTCAATCGTCGGACTTTAATAAACCGAAGAATAAATTTGGCACATTGACAGTTTCACAATGGGAAGTGTGTCAAAATGACAAGTTTATTCTTCAGTTATAACATATTGTGTTAAATTTCCACTTACCTCAGCAGCCTTCACCCACTTGCCGGTGTCGCGGTCCTTCTTCTCGACGATATAGCCGGTAATAGGAGCGCCGCCATCGTTGGCTGGCTTCTCCCATTTGAGGTCCACGTGCTCCTTGGACCAGTCCTTGAACTCGGGCTTGCCGGGCGGGTCGGGCTCGCCTGTGATAGAGAAAAATGTTTAAGATCAAAGAAATAAGGACTGTTTTCGTTTGAGTTTAGGTGTTTTAAAGATCAGAATCATCAGGTCATTTAGCCTCCACTGCAGAAAGAGGGCCCTCTTTCTGCAGTGGAGGCTAATTTACCAGAGGCAAAAGGGAAGATTTTTCCGCCACTCCCCATGCTGGCCAGACATGTTGGATAGACCTGGCCATATTAACCCATGGCCAGTGAGAGAGAATCCCTAGACGTTTCTTACGATATCCACGGTGAGTGGAAATCCTATTATACTCTGCCAGAACCCCACGGATAGAAATCATGGCAATATCATTCAAAAAAAGAAAAAATGCTCAGAGCTTTTGATCTCCCGCTATTTTCACCTATCGGTTGAAAGAAAGAAGAAAGAAAGAAAAATGGTTTATTTGGTTCAAACAAACTATCTGTTTGCTATCTTTATTCTAGAAATCGTCGGCCCATCGGGCGTTTTACGCTGAGTTTGCCAATAAATCTGTCACTCACCATAAGGATTCTTAGCAGTTGTAGCAGTATCAGTGACAAGCGGTTCACTCTCGCCCTCCGGGTTGACAGCCTTCACTCGGAACATATAATCCTTGCCCTCGTTCAAGCCCGTAACGTCAGCTTCGGGAGTCTTGGTGGTGCACACAGGCACCCAGCGACCGGACTCGGTGTCCATTCGTTCGACCACGTAGCTTTCGACCGGTTCGCCTCCGTCGTCTTCCGGCGGCTCCCATTTGAGCTTGCAGCCGTCTGCTTTGACGTCGGATACCTGGGGGTAAAGATAAATTAGCGATGTTGTCGAAAACTTTGAACACGCAAAACGTAGTACACGCCACTGGCAATACAAAGACTTCTTACTTAGACATTAGTGAGGCACTTCAAACTAGACCACTGGCTTAGTTTTTCCCATACATTCTGACAGTTGACAAAGTCAAATACTGCACGGATTACCACTGTAACTTCAAATCACATAACAAAATGACCAAGTGTGTTCTTATAATTATCTCTTCAAAATTGAATCTGAAACCACGATAGCCGAACGGTTAAAGGGACGAATATTGTGGCACACCCACTCGTGACACAAGTATATTTAACTTAGTACGAGGGGCTAACAGGACTGTTAATAATTTGTGCAATACAATTTACTAATAATCTTTTTAAAAACAAAATGTTTTCTTGACTTTCTTTCCGATATCTTTTACATTCTGCGTCAAAGCCTTCCTAAATATTGACCTTTTGGAAGGCAAGAGTGAAAAGAAAAAAGCAATCTATTTCCCTGCTTCTAAGAAAACCCAGTGTTTAATTAAAAATAATATCAATTTAATACACACCTTGAGCGGTCCCTTCGGCTTAGCCGGCTTGCTGACCACTTGCACTTCAATCTCGACCGTGTCAGTTCCGCTGTCGTTCTTAGCAGTGACGACGTATTTGCCGCTGTCAGCGCGCGTCAGCTTTTGCAGCGCGAACGATGTGTGGTAGTCCTGGGGATAGAAAAGACGGTTAATACTTAATATGTGTGAAATAACGAGCTTTTGAGGTCTTGAATACGTATGATATGCCGCTCCATTCGTGTAAATTGGCAATAAAATATAGCAAAAAGAAGTAGGTTCAAAAGACGTTGATTGTCCGAAAGACAAGGCTACGATTAACTTATCGTAGAGCATATTACAATTACAATTACATAGTAGTCACAATGCTATTTTTTATGTACTCGTAGTTTCAATTCCGATACCCTTTTCGACATGGAGTGTTTTGTTAATCTTCTGAGGAACAGTCAACTTATTTCCGATTTCGAGTCGTTCATCAGGCATGAATAAGTGGCTGTCAGTCATGTCTCTCGCTCTATTGACCATGATTCTCCAACTTGTTAACATAAGATAACCTTGGAATTGCGTTACGGGACTATTCCCACCTCTGGTTCCCACCGCCGCAACTCCTGTGTAGCCAGGATCTACAGCTTGACCGCCAATAAAAACCCAACCAGTGAAGGTCAAGTTTGTCCCGGGGGAAAGTTTAACTGTCATTGAACCCGCAACGAAATTAAACAGAAGAAAATAGCAGAAATTCGAAGTAAGGGTAAAGTTGAAATTGCGTTTCTGATGAGTATTTTATTGTCGACTTATTTACCTTGTTCTCAATCTTGAGTCGCTCCTCAGGCTTGAGCGGCTGTCCGTTGAAGGTCCAGGTGATGGTGGGCTCTGGTTCTCCCTTGACATCTGCCTACATCTTGAGAGGCTGGCCGACCTTGACCTTGCGATTCGGACTAGCACAGTATGACGTCACTCACCTTGTTCTCAATCTTGAGTCGCTCCTCAGGCTTGAGCGGCTGTCCGTTGAAGGTCCAGGTGATGGCGGGTTCTGGTTCTCCCTTGACATCCGCTTCCATCTTCAGAGGCTGGCCGACCTTGACCTTGCGTTTCTGCAAGTTCTTGCGGTCGATCTTCGGGGCCACTGTGGAGGAAATAATATTTAAACATACGATAAGAGAAATCGGATCTACGGAAACTAAGTACCATACGAATAGTTCTACGATTACTTCGGACCGTATTTTCACGGATACGGATCGGATATGGATCGATCGTAGGGTTTTTTTTTATCGAAATCTACGCTGAAGTTGCGGACAAAAGCTAGACGCAAAAAGTAGTAAAGTAGTAGTCGCAATGGCCGTGCATATATTTTGTAGAGCTGATGGTCGTTAAGGTAGAAAAGTTCTCGAGTGGCGATCATCAGAAAACTAGATAGTTGGTGTCGGTGGCCTGACAATCTTATGAAAATCACGGGAAACACGTGGATACAGGCAGCGCAAGACCGGTCGTTGCGGAAATCCTTAGAAAACCATTGTATAGCAGTATACGTCCTTAAGGCGATTAGAGTCCTCAATGACCTTGGGCGTTTGACCTTCACGCCGCGAGCAACACCCGCGTACCCCGCACCAAAAACTCCGATTTGACACCGATCAAAAATACACGGGCATAGGTAGATACAGAATAGAAGCTCTTTCTTCATACATTACTGCCTATTATTTTAAACTTAANCGCCGCCGCGCCGTCGCCGCGCCCCTACACTGTTCATAATACGCACCGAGTAAAGCCCGCCGCCGCGCCATCACAGCATAATTTCGCCAGCGGCGCGGCAGCGAGCTTCACGCGGCACGTATAAACAGTGCAAAGGAGCGGCGACGGCGCGGCGGCGGCGCGGTGGCGGCGTCGTGTGCAGGAGCGCAAAGACTAGAGAGTGCATTTCTGTACACTCCCTGATAATCTCTAGCGCGTCGTTCGGCGCATAGCACAGCAGCAAGTTCGGTGTCGTACGGTGCGACGTTACAAAGCGAATGTATAGGGTTGCATATTGCACGCGTAAGTGGACCTCTCATCTGAGACTATCAGCGTGGGTGAATGCACTCTGACGATAATGTAATACGGATATAATCAGCGCCTATAACCTATGATAAGGATAAATTCCATCCTATTACATTATAATGGCACGAAGTTGATGGCCACCTGTCGCGCCGTGTCGCAGCTTAAAGGTACGGCGCGCTCTGTGGCCTCTCTCCTTCTCCGTTGTCTATGGTCCTCACTAGTTCATGGTTCTCTATTGTCTATGGTGCTCACTAGTGATGCTACTCACTGTAGGAGAGCTGCCGCGACGGCATGAAGTTGATGGCCACCCGCCTGGCTGCGCCATGACGCAGCGTGAACGTTCTGTGGCCGCTCTCCTTCTTCCTGGTTCTCCGTTGTTTATGTTTCTCACTAGTTCATGTCACTTACTATATGAGAGCTGCCGCGACGGCATGAAGTTGATGGCCACCTGCCTGGCCGCGCCGTGGCGCAGCGTGAACGCTCTGTGGCCGCTCTCCTTCTTCCTGGTTCTCCGTTGTCTATGGTCCTCACTAGTAATGTTACTCACTGTAGGAGAGCTGCCGCGACGGCATGAAGTTGATGGCCACCTGCCTGGCCGCGCCGTGTCGCAGCGTGAAGGTGCGGCGCGCACTCGGTGGCCGCTCTATTTCTTCCTCGTTCTCCATTGTCTATGAATTTAAAAAGTATTTGGTAGTAAAATTATAAAAGAGAGTAAGATCAGCTGCATTCCACCTTGTGGACATACAATACTCATTCATTTTTGTCATAATAAAATACAAATTAAATTATGAACTAATGTACACTGTGAAATGCAATAAAGAATTGAGTATTGAGCATTGTTTCACTATGATAACATTTAAATTATTTAAGATTAGATTAGAAAACTAGATGTAAAGATATACTTAAATAGAGTAATATGTATGGTTTCAGGAAAGATGGTAATAAGTATGATAATAAGATGGTAATAAGATGGTAGTAAGTTTAATTTGCAAATCGTCCCTTAGCTAACAACACCGCGTAAGTCATTTTTAGCAACTTTTCAGGAGACGAAAAAAACTGTTTATTTTAAAAAATCGGTGGATTTTTCTTATTGTTACTTATTAAATACTTTATTTAGCGGTTAAGAAATAATTATTTATACTTAATTTGACGATTTACTTTATTTTAACCTATATTTTATGACTTGAGCGGTGTTGACTGATATTTTTGTAGAGTTAGGCGGTGTTGTTTACCGAAATGTAAAGGAATAAGATATTAATAGATGATTTCCAAAGAAAAATTTTATTAAGAATTATTTAAAAAATAATTAAACAATCATTATAACCTATGTATCTTTAACCTAAATCTTAAGAATCACAATGTGTAGATCAAATATTGTGATGGGGGGCCTTCAACGCGAAGCTGGGCAAACGAAACGACAATGAGCTGGAAGTAGGGCAATTTGGATACGGAGAGAGGAACGCACGTGGCTAACTGCTGGCTGGCTTTATGAAGAGGGATGATGAACTCCTTCTTCAGAAAGCCAAAACAGCGAAAGTAGATTTCGTTGCATCCCAATGACGCTATGAAATATGAGATCAACTTCATCTTGTCGACGTAGAAGCATGTTGTCTGTGTGGTCAATTTGGTCAAAACAGGAAGCAATCACCAAATGGTAAGAGGCACATTAAATATAAGTCTGAATCTCGATAGATGTCGACTGATAAAGTCTACACTCCGCCCAGCGTCCATCCAACCCCGAAAGCTTAACTCGAGTTGCAAAATCGTTGCCAATGCCAGGACATTGCAAAAATGTGGAAGAGTACAATGGCAGGTTCTTGGGAATTGTCCAAATGACTGGGTCTAAGGTTTTTAAAACCTGTCGTTTAAGAGAAACAAAAAAGATCTCTGATCTTATCAACAACCTTATAGAAGAGAGACGAAACATGGATCTGCAGTCATCTGAAGATGCTACTCAGTATCGGCGTCTTAACAGATAGATCTCTAAGTCTTTTGACTCGTGACCTACGCATATACTCGTAATACAGACGATTGAGCATAACTAGGGCTCTAAGGTGTTCGTAAGAGATCAGTCTGTCTGTTGGCCAAAGCCAACTGACCAAGCTGAAGACCCAGAGCGTCGGGGCCTGAGATATTGAAAGAGGTTGAGAAGTTCTACGGACAATTATACACGACTGTGTTCACACCTGTTACAAATCTAGCTGAAGACCCAAGAGCTAGATTGACCCGACACAATACCTAAGATATCCCGAACGCCAGTCTACACGAGCTTGAAATAGCTCTAGAACAGCTGATAAACAACAAGACCCCGGGTGATGATAGAATTACGGCTCATCTTTTGAACGGCAAAGCAGGTGAAATGTCGATGCTAAAGGCTCTTTGGAAGCTGTTCTATTCCGTCACCCTCGAGGGAAAAACTCCTACGGCACGGCACAGAAGTGTGGTGATACTCTTCTTAAAAAAACGGCGATAAAACCTTGTTGAAGAATTATAGACCCATCTAACTTCTGAACCATGTCTACAAGCTGTTTTCGAGTACTTATGAAACGTCTAGCTCGCCGACTCGACGCCTTCCAGCCTCCTGATCAAGCTGGTTTCCAGGCTGGCTGACAGGCTTTAGTGTCTTAGATCATATACATACACTGCGGCAGATTATACAGAAGACCGAGGAGTATAATCAGCCACTTTGCCTGGCGTTTGTGGATTATGAGAAAGCCTTCGATTCGATTGAAACCTGGGCAGTTTTTTACGCCGTTTATGTCCTGCTTCTTGTAATTGTGCACATAAAAATTCATCACCTGAACTCGGAATACTTCAAGAATCAATTCCTTCTCCTTCAATAGTGTATTTCACTTGTATAGCTTCCTAAAAGAATTAAAATACAGTATGAAACACCGCCTAAGTTTGAAAAAAAAAATTGTAAACACCGCTTAAGTAAATGAAGATATTTTCTATTATTATTTCCCTGTATATTAATACGCGTAAATCATTAAAAAATACATTATTATATAGCTTACCTCTTAATCTTCTATTAAAACTTCTTTCATAGTACTTTTCGCGATAAAACTCACTTAAAAATATAAAAATTACGGAGCGCGAAGGAACTTTACGAGAAATGTATGGCAGACTAACGACTTGCGCGGTGTCACTAAAATTCAAATTACGGCTTCTTATTGGCTGAAATCTATAACATGTGACCAATGGTTAGACGCGCGATGAGCAGATCTATCCAATGGCATTAAAATGTCAAAACCGCCAAAAATCGACTTAAGCGGTGTTGTTAGCTAAGGGACGAAATGTGACTCATGTGCTTGATATCAACAAATCAAAGTAATTGATAAGAAACACAATTGAGAAATATATCTGCTATTGGAAAAACTTTTTATTAGAGATGAAACGGATAGTTGTTTGGCCGGATACCGGATACCGGATATCCGGCCAGCTGCTAGGCCGGATAGCCGGATATCCGGCGGCCGGATAGTTGGCACATTGTCTCGTTGCATGTCGTGACGAGTTTAGCGCCGCACAGGTGCTTCGAACGCGATCAGTGGGTATATTAGTAGACTACACTAGTCACACTTTTCGAAAATCGAATCCGTCCGAATAGAATGTCAGATTTTGCCACTTGTCTAGGGGGCAGATCAATTCGGGCGATTTCGGTTGCTATCGTGAGTGTGTGATTGAATAACGAAAATTAAATTAGTTTACTTGTTGCGTAATCTGACTGAACTGACTGCATGCATCATGTCATCAGACCATCAGTGAAAAAAATATCGCCTTTTTTATTTGGCAATATTTTGACATTAACAGATATTTACTATTTACCTATGTATTCACAGATATGGATAGATGAAGCATGTGTCAAAAATTGTATGAAGCCGAGCGTGCCACTTTTTAAACGTCATTAGTGTCATTTTAGCGAATTTTAGTGATTGCCGCAACGTAAAAGTAATCATATCATCGTACTGCATTCGCAAAGTCATCGAATGATATCGTATGACTCGATTCGAAAATTAATTAATTCCGATAAAACTGATATTTTATTAAATTTACTTATAGCTAGTCTGACTGTAAATTAAAATAATTTTGTAGCGGTAGACGTTATTCTACATTATTTATTTTTGTTGTGCCTAATGTTTATGAAAGTAATGATCGTTATTCCATTATGTTAAATAGTACTACTAGTAATTCATTCATAAAATAAAGACTATTCACTCAAACTTTTTATTTTTAATAAATGTAAAAAGTAGCGTAGTTTTGCCAATACGTTTTGTTTCATAAAGCTAAGTCAGGTACCTAGTTTTGAAGATTTTTCTAAACGACAAAATTCAATGTGGTAAAAAACGTTGGAAGTGAAATGAAACACAAAAGATTTTTCTTCATAATTATATTATAAGTGCCTGGCTTGTCTTAAAGCACAATACTATTCAAGTATTGTGCTTTAAGACAAGCCCTATAAAATAATCAAAACAAATCAAAAGGTTTGAATAAAATTGTTCTTCCGCCGTCATTTATAAAAAAGGTAATGGCAAAATTATAGAACTTCCTTAGGCGGATGCCTCTACTCTGTCTATTTCAAAAAGTCTGGCACTAGGGGTTTCCCGGGGGCCCGATACAAAACCAAAAACATCTTTATTTTTCTTTTTAAATAAATTAATTCTTACAAATCGTCAAATCTCATTATTTTTTTCACCCTACCAGCGATTCAATACAAAAACTTGTCTGGTGTATGAATACACGGATCTGTGTGTGTCATAATGTTATGAGTAAGTACGGTTCCTTGCGATCGGTATGAGTGCACGTAGAGATGGGTTTCCACCCGGGTAAAAACCCACATGAGGGTAAAAACCCAATAAAAACCCGTTTCATTCCACCCGTGGGTGTTTACACCGGGTGAAAACAAATAATTTTATAATAATTTCAATTGGTATCTTTTCTTTATTTTTATTGAATTTTTCTCATTTAAGTTTATTGATTAATAAGTAATAAATCAAAGGACATCATCCACGTTTCATATATTTTTGGTCCAAAATCAAAAGTGCCGGCCAACAAAAAAAAGTGCTGTATTCTGACAGAATACGTCTGCCTTAGCATTTGTTACTATGGCACCAAAGCTGTAGCTCCACTGTGCGTCGAGTATTTGAGATCTAAAAGTCATCGATTATTCATACATTTTTTGTTCAAAATCAAAAGTGTCGGCCAATAAAAAAAAAAAGTGCTGTGTTCTGACAGAATACGTCCGCCTTAGCATTTGTTACTATGGCACCAAAGCTGTAGCACCACCATGCGTCGAGTATTTGAGATCTAAAATTCATCGACGATTCATACATTTTTTGTTCAAAATCAAAAGTGTCGGCCAATAACAAAAAGTGCTGTCTTCTGACAGAATACGTCCGCCTTAGCATTTGTTACTATGGCACCAAAGCTGTAGCAGGGGATGCCAAAGATGCCAAACTCTCTCTTTGATGACATTACGGTATAAAGTTACAAATAAAAACACCAACTACAAAGTACTTCTGCTTAAAAACTTGAAATCGAACCACCCTTCCGCCACTGTAACGCATTGTAACGTTTTTCAAGACCTCCTCTCCCCCCAGATTGCATTACGTAACACTAGAAAGCCCCCTTAGCAACAAATACCACTTCTCACTTTAAAAAAACGCTATTTTTGTTTTCACCCACCAGAATGGGTGATAATGGGTAAAAACCGGGTTTTTACCCAAATCACCCAGTTTAAACCCAATCGGGTGAAATGGGTTTTTACCCACTACCCATCTCTAAGTGCACGGTGCACCACATACATTACTTTTAATAGTACATCGCAGGATATGTATTAAAAACAATCCTACTTTATACTTCTTCTACTGCTACTTTATTCTTATTAATTAATTGTTACTTGTGCTGTTAATTACAATTCTCAATCCGTAAATAATTTCTTCCTTCTGTCCTCGTAAAATCATCGTAACCGATTGTTGTAATCGGATCACATGAACATCACTCGACCATGTATGTCCATTTGGACATATCGGAATGGCACGCTTTGACGAGCAACTTGCTGCATCTACTCTAATCCATATCTGTGTATGTATTCGTCATTAGAGTGAATAGCCCAGAAAAAGAAATTAGTTTTTTGTAAGGCATTAATATGGCTTTTTTGTAACTTTTTGGACTTTAAATAGAAGCTGTCATTATTATAAGCCATTTTATTGATATTTACCTCAAAGATTAATGTATTTCATTTTATTAATTAGGAAATTGTCGTATATTTTTAATATCCGGTATCCGGCCGGATAGTGAGTTACTATCCGGTATCCGGCCGGATAGTAAATTTAGGCCGGATATCCGGCCTACCGGATAGTTACCGGATATCCGTTTCATCTCTACTTTTTATGATAGATCACATAGAGCTAGAAATACATATTAACAAAAAAAAGTGATAGACCCAGATCTTCAGCATGGTTGAATTGACCTCATTTGGATTGTTAAACCACTTTGTTTGAAAACTACCATACTCCAATTTTTGGGATTTTTTCTCTAGTAATGATTGAAACCTAATAAAATATGTCTGATAAGTATAAAATTATCATAGCAATATCAGATTATAATATTAATTTTCCTTTAGGTCTTACAAGAAATTCATTTTATTAGATACATACCATTACACATAGAAACTAACTGTACAAGGAAGTACTTGGTAGGCTCGTGATTAATAATAAAATGTGGTATGGACTGTTGTATATTTATTCGATTAACTTTCACAAAGAAAAGTTGATTTTTAGTTTCCATTTGGTCAAGTTTGGTCAAAGAAAAAAAATGAATTAAGATTTGTACTTACTGACGACTGTTGTTTATGACTTAATTTATATATGTTTATTACAGGAAAAGAGTGATTGAGAAACGATAAGCGACAACCAAATCTAAAAAAGCTGTTTTTAAAAATATACTCAGAAAAACAACAAACACTTTTTTTTTTTTTCTTCTTGTGGAAATTTGAGTTTTTTGACATTAGTGACATATGTCGGACAAGTCATTGTTTTTTTTTTTGTAGGTTTACGGCTTTGGAGTTCTCCAATAAGCCAAGTCACCAAACTCATCAACGAAATACTGAAAGCTGACTCTCATAAAAAAGGGGTCATTATTTATCAGCACATACACATTACAAATGGGTATTTCGCCGAAACAGTAAATTTTCTGTGTCCAGGCAGACGAACACATGTTTTTTTATATCTATCTGTTTACAACTATTTTTATGGGAAAGTTCATCAAAAGTTTTATTTGTTTTTGCTATTACAATAGCAGAAACTACAAATAATACCGTAGAAAAACTTAATCAAAAGTAGTTTTTCTAATTTCCTTGTTATGTCCATTACTGTTGTTTGCCAAAATGAAGGCTCATTATAACAAATTGAAGGGTAATTTAATTCTAATAGCACTCTCTTTACATTTGAGANGTACTTAAAGTAATATACGATTTATTCAATTTCCAAAACATTTACCTATGTTAAAAATCTGATGTCTAACAACATTCTTCATACACATACCTACCTAAAATGTATATTCGTACTTCATGTTCATTAATATTAAAGTAATAAAAGTAAAAAATTAAATAGTATCAAGATCGTTTATTCCAATTGTATTTGTTGTATTCCCCAGTATTGCTCTCAACAAAGTTTATTTTCCCTATTTGCCATGAGATTCTGGTACACCTTTAGGCAAAATTGACCATTTTTGGCGAAATACCCAAATAGCGTTTAAAAACGCTATGAAAAACGCTAATACAAAAAAACAGATGACTTGTCTTTTTACAAGCTTTATTAATTCTTACAAGAGGAAACAGAAATCAGAATCGAACCCTTGGCCTTGGCTCATTCATTGGCTTGGCCGGGCTTGGGCCTTGGGCGCCTTGGCATAATCTGTCAAGTGTCAGTGATTACTTTTCTCTATGGTGTCATCTAAGGGCTAAGGGTGTCAGTTGTTGTTGGTTGACAAATTTTAAGCGAGTTAAAATCTTCTTTTCGTATTTTTACACGATAAATGTGACTCATATCGTAAAAAGTGTAATAAAATCTCTATCCCATTGGCTTTGTACTATGTAAATAGTTAAAAAAACTTTGTGCCGTACCAAATATAATTGTATTGCCATACTTAGTTGTCAAGTAACAGGTTATTTCCTTTTTTGCTTCCATTCTATTTATAACTGCAAGACTCCCTATCTGTGACTGCAAGGCCCTACTGTTAGCGTTGCATACCCCTATAACTATTTATTACGCCTTAGTATTCCAATCGCCAACGTGTTTCAGCTGAATACTTGAACTTTGCAGACCCTAAATGTATGTGCCGATACGATGGCGTTCCCGCAAAGTTTGTCCGTGGAGCAAGTCCGTCAGATCCTAAGCGAAGTCATAGACGCGCTCGAGAGCCCGGACTACTCGCCCAAGCTGGACGAAGCTAAGGAGGCAGCAGGGAATGAGATGCTGAAGATGATGCAGATTGTGTTCCCGATTGTGGCTCAGATCGAAATGGAAACTATTAAACATCATGGCTTCAGTAATACTAGAGAAGGTGAGTCTTTATAATATTATTTTTAATTTTTAATCTAAGCTAGTTATTCTACAAGATTTTAAACTTTCGCCCTCCATTTCAACTAAGACAGAAAGACACAGGTCTCATTTACAAACATTGTGTTAAGACCCATGTCTTTCTATTTTAGACCCATATGCACTTGAATCTTCAGCTTCTATCTAATTTTTGAGATAGAAGCTAATTTGAAAGTGAACAAATTTATTTTCAAGTATTCCCATGTCTGCAGCAGTAGTAATAAAATAAACTTTACAAAGATAATTACAGGTCTTAAAGTAACATTTTTCATGAAGTGCAAGAGTACTTACAGCTAGAAATCTTGTAAAATAAACTTAATCTTTGAATGTGATTGAAGTACTCTGCATGAGATACAATTTATTATCAACTTCAGCAATTATCAGTTTTCTTTATCTTTATAGGTTTGGTACAGTTCACACAACTGATCCGCAAGATGGAGAGTGTTGACGGCGAGGTGGCCCGACTACACAGCCAGATCCGCAGCCACTATCTGCCTCCAGTATCAATCAGTTCTACTGTGGATACTTCGCTCTAGGTAAATATTGCATTCAATATTTCTATCCAAGGATCACTCCAATCCAATTTCTAGAATGATCAACAATTTATATCAGTGTGATACACTTGTCAACATTCAATATGTAGGTATATGCAACATGCCATGTCATTATTACCCAAGTGACATGCAACAAAATAATTTGAATTTGAAGCTTTACAAGAAGGAGCATCCACATTTTCACGTAATTTAAAAGATGATTAAATATTAACCATTTTTACAAAAAAAAAAAAATACCAAATATTTTTGTGATTATGTTTTCAGTAGTTTTGCCAACTACCCTCCATTTAAGTTGCAATGCACTGTCACTAAAATAACAAAATAAAATGTATTGCTCTGTGCATTGTGGCATTAGTGTGTAGTCTGTAGGAGTCGGAATAATAACTTGCCTTGTAACTTGTAGCATAACCTTATCAACTGTAATATTTTATCAAATAGACAAGAAGATAAGACCTGCATATGGTGAGTCGAGGTTATGTTTAAGAATACGTAATCATTTCATTGTCATCAATTGTTGGAATTTGGTGGTCATGTCTATTTTTGTGTTGTATTATACTTTACAAGAATTTCTTGTAAGAAAAACTTGTGAATTCAATTGCTAGCAACAAAGTTACAAACTACATGATTACTAACAATAGTAAATCTGGAAAAGTGGTCTTGGATTTTAAAACACTTTAAATAAAATAAAATAAAACAACACAATAATAATGTGTTATTCTTTCTGTGTATTTATTTACATATTTTAAATTACAAATAGTCTTAATTTAAGTATGTTTTGTATAAACTAAAACCCTATAAATAGGGTTTCTGCTCGAGCTTTCTCGAACTCGAGAAAACTCGAGAAATTTGGCTTCATTCGAGACGAGAAAAAAATTACCGGAGCTCGAGAATTCTCGAGTTTCGATTTTGAAGCTTTAATATTCTTGAAAGCCTATTTTCTTAGACAAAACTAAGTTTTTAATTATTTAATAGGTTAACGTTGCGTTTAGACTGGCCTAGTCTTTCCTTTTTTTAACTAATTTGATTTGCAAGTAATGATCTTAACCGAAACTAATAATGTTCACCTACGAGTATGCTATATTTCATTATGTTTGTATAACTGACTGATTTAAAGACTGATTTTTTTTGTTAACTATCTGTTAGTTTAGGTACTCGTAAATACGTTTATTCAAGTCGTTATCTTTAAGTTTAAAAATTTATTTAAAAGTTTTTTTTGTTTGTAAATGTAGGTTTATTATCGTAATTTTTCAATTTATTTGGACTTGTGTTCTTTGGAAAACAAGTGATTCAATTGGAGCTCCAGATATTTATGGTTATTAATCCTTAAAGTACACGCGACTTTATGACTTTTGTTCCTTTAGTTAATTACTAAGTTATAATTATCCTACTAATATTATAAATGCGAAAGTTTGTGTGGATGTCTGGATGTTTGTTACTCTTTCACGCAAAAACTACTGAACGGATTTTGTTGAAACTTTACAGTATTATTGATTATAACCCAGACACATTATAACATTAATAAAAACCCGTGTTTTTATTAAATTTCAACCGATTTCAACAGTTTTAATTAAAAGACTCGAGACCCGAGAAAACTCGAGACTTTGGCCTCGAGAATTCCCGAAACTCGAGAAAAAAAATAAGTCGAGAAATCAGAAACCCTACCTATAAATGATAATGTAGTATGTATGTATGGTGCAAAGGCTCACTAATTGTTTAAATTGTTTTTTAACTGTGGGAACCTATAACTGGTTTTCTTGTTGCCTAACTTGTCATTATTATACACTGTAAAACCCTGGTTTTCCTAAATAAATAAAAATAAATAATTTATTTTCAGGTCCATGTCCAGTAATGAAAAGAATCTCAAGAACGTGACAATGATGTCATTCAAAAGGAGAAAATACAAACTTTTGCTGTGTGTGTGTGTAGTTATCAGTGTCTACTATTTGTTAGGCATAAACGATTATGTGAATGCTAGAAGAATTGAAGATGGCTTCGACTATCCCCTCAATATGGACATACAACCGCTACTGCAGGAAGTCATGGCGGGGAAGAAGCCGAGTGTTCCACCGATCAACTATTACCCATACAGGTTCCTGACTAACTCCGGAAAGTGCAATACCGTGGAGAAGCTAGATTTGTTTATAGTAGTCAAATCGGCGATGGACCACTTCGGCCACAGAAACGCGGTGCGTCTAACGTATGGCCAAGAAAACTTGATTCCAGGCCGCATCGTCAAAAGTCTATTCTTTGTTGGCATAGACGAAAGCTACCCCAAATCGGAGACGCAAAAGAAAATCGACGAGGAGATGGTGCAGTTCAAGGATATCATCCAGATAGACTTCCGCGACAATTACTACAACAACACCATAAAGACTATGATGTCGTTCCGCTGGGTTTACGAACACTGCAACACGGCGGATTATTACTTGTTTACCGACGATGATATGTACATATCTGTCAACAACCTGCTGGATTATGTGCACGATAAGCCGGTGCCGACCAGTACTGGACACGGTGACGAGCAATTGTACGCCGGTTATGTATTCGAGAGCACTCCGCAGCGATTTATAACGAGCAAATGGAGAGTTTCGTTGGAGGAGTACCCTTGGAGCAAATGGCCGAGCTACGTGACGGCCGGAGCTTACGTTGTGTCGAACAAATCTATGAAGACCATGTATGCTGGCAGTCTGTTTGTTAAACACTTCAGATTCGATGACATTTACCTGGGCATACTGGCGAAGAAGGTGGGCTTAGTGCCGCAGCACTGTCCTCGGTTTCATTTCTACAAGAAGAAGTATGATAAAGAAGGATACAGAGACGTCATAGCGTCCCACGGATATCATGACCATGACGAACTGGTTCGAGTGTGGAATGAACAGAACAACATCAGTAACAAAGGTTAACTTTAGTTTTGAACTATTGTGTATTGCTTCTGTATGTACAAGGAAAAAGATCTTGTAGAATATTGATGTTACATCATGTATTGGAAATAGTACCTTAAAATTTTGTCAGCATGATGGTCCTTTATTAATTGGTGTTATATCTTTGATGGATATTTGCAATTTAGGTTTTCTATCTCACCAAAGAATTGGATATTTTATTTAAATCTAAAGTAATTAAACAGATACACAGTATCTCGATTATTTGTGCATAGTAAGGGTACAATATGAGTACCTCAAAAAATCTATTCTTTCGAGTATTTTTTGCTCAATAAAACATATTTCCACCAAGACTGAGTAAAAGAATGGTGAATGTTAGTTACATTTTCATAGTACTTCAATCATTAATACATAGGTACATTGAATGAAAGAAATGTCTGGTTGTAATCTAAAATTAATAGCATGTCTGGTAATGTAAACCTTTAGGTTAGTTTTTCTTGTAATCATTATTTAGTTTAGTTTCAAATAGTACTTTATTTATAAATCTTTACCCAGAGCACAATTAAATATTGTTATATTTTTAATGAAAAACAAAACAGCGACGCTATGGTTATAAAGGAAAACGATCACGGGAGTTATTCGTGCTCAGGGTACTGGTATAGTATTCTTATGCTACGTCTAGCTATAATAATAATGAATATCCTATATAACGTTTTTATAATCAAATCATCATGAAAAATAATAAATAGCTACCTACTGTTCAATTATATTGTTAGATTCATTTTGAACAATGTGTTATTTGAAATAGTAACAGGAAAGTAATATTAGATAATACTTTCCACACTATTCATTTAAAAAGTCCTGATTATGTATGTTTGTTAGTAACAATCAGACCAGTGTTAGCATTAAATAATTAGTTCTTTAAACATATATTTATTTTCTAGACATAAGTAAACATCTTGGTAAATAAAAGTACAATGTTTATACATATATGTATCTTCTTTTATTGTCATTCTCAACAAGTGTATATAGGTAACATAATAACATGCATAGTGTATCTAAAGATTACACATTTATATTAATAAAACATAGGGTTTATATGGTAGGTATAATAATATGCATTCTTCATAACTAATTATTCCTAATATAAGGCACATTGTACGACATTCGTTAAACTTAAAGGACAATGTTCATTCCTAGAATAAATTCCATTGCATTTTGAGCATTATTACTACTATTAAATATGACATGGATAAAAAGTGGTCCCTAAAGAATTTGCTACACGGAAACACACATCACATTTTTTTATGCATTAACAAGGCAGGTATTTGACCACAATCGCACAACATTAGGCTATTTTTTGTTGCAAAAGAGCACCAATACCAATTACATAAGAGTCACAGCGTTTAGTTTGATGTACTGTAGCCCATATACTAAATATAGTATACAAGTACACTGTACATATTAGTAGTTGGCGGATGGAAAATATAGCCTCGCAAGTACCCCTGTCTGGACGAAACCCGAACTGGGTCTCTGGCAACAACTTCTCCGAAATGGGTAACAGTCGGTTGAGAAGTACTCTGGCGAATATCTTCCCAGGAACAGAGAGCAGCGATATACCCCTATAGGAGTTGCATTCAGAACGGTCCCCTTTGTTCTTATAGAGTGTCTGTATGCGAGACATCTTGAACTCAGGTGGTACTTTTTCTTCGTCCCAAAAGCGCTGAAATAATTGCCAGATTATATGATGTAGCTGCTCCCCTCCGTACTTAAGCAGTTCTCCAGCAATGTTATCATTGCCGACTGCTTTCTTATTCTTTTGTTCTTTGATGGCTTTTTTTACTTCGTCTAGCGACAGCGGTTCCTCAAGGCTGATATCTACCGGCAGATGGGGAATAGATCTAATGTGGTCGAGATCTGCTCCGCGATCAACATTGAGCAAATCATTAAAGTGCTCTGCCCAACGCTAGACAGGTTTCACCTCAAATGCTTGCGAGACATTTTGAACATCAAATGGTCAGATCGAGTAAGAAACACTCAGGTACTTCGACGGGCAAATGTCTGCGGCATTGAGGCGTACCTGATGCGTCGGCAGCGTCGTTGGTGCGGTCACGTTTGGCGTATGGCTGACGAGAGGGTCGCGAAACGAATTTTCTTTTCTGAACTCCAGGACGGCAAGCGGAAACAAGGCGGCCAGTTCTTACGTTATAAGGATGTTCAGAAAAGACATATGAAGCGATGCGACATTGACCCCCTAAAGTGGGAAAAAACTGCTAGCCACCGTCTGGAGTGGAGGCGCCTGGTGCGGAAAAAAGTTAACGATTTCGAAGAGCAGCGGAAATCTGATCTTGATTCGAAGCGCGATGCTCTTAAAGCCAGACCAGCAGCGGCTATCACTTACAACTACATCAGCGGTGTCCTAACGTGTCGACATTGTTCGCGCACGTTTACCAACAAGATTGGCTACTGTAGCCATGTGAGGGCACATGATAGGGCAGCCCAGCGTAGCCCTCTTATTGCGGACTAAAGGAATTTTGTCGTGGTTACCGTAGCCGAAAGCGGCTTGGGAGTATATATATATACATATTAGTACAGTAATCATGCAACATTCACAAAAGTAAATAAAGTGTAAAAAAATCATTAAAAATATAATCTAATTGGCAGTTGTAGAATACTATCTCCCCATATTTTAAAACCTATATAGCGGAAGGTTGACTTGATCGTATACGCAAAAGCGTATAATATGTATACTATACTAAATATCTAAATCATCAAACATTATTTCATTCAAACTCTATTCACATCAATAACATACATAGATATATTCGTTTAGAAGATATAAAGGAATTTGTACATTTATAGTAGGGATTTTATGGATATGTAGTTTCGGTTATGGATATGGTTACGGATATAGGAATAATATTATACCGGTTTCGGTTACGGTTTCGGATATTTTTTTATTTCGCATATCCGAAAGTTTCGGTTACCGTTACGGATATCCATAACATCCCTGATTTATAGGTGTCATTCGAGGGGTTGTGACATTTTAAGGGGCCGCTGCATGCCCGAAGGTTCAACTATGTCAATTAAACTGGCACTTCGCGAAAGATTTGTGACATTGGATGCGTTTTGCGGTCAGGTCGAAGTGATCGCAGCCCGCATCGTGTATGTAACTTTGTAGGGCACGAGCAAAGAACCCAAACTGCCCACCGAGGCTGGTTTTAGTGTCACGCGGATCGCTCCTCACAGCCGATCTGTATCAACTGCTACGTAGCGAGCGGTTCCTGCGGACCGCATTACTCTAACCAAACGGACACCAGGTGAGTAACTCTCTATAGAGCTGCATACATTTTGTTGGTAGCCGGCGACTGGTTGCGCCGCCATGGTGTCCCGGTGAAATATAGCCCTAAAACGCTCTCTAGAAGTTTATACACATCGGCTGTGTGGAGGGGATCCGCACTGGACGGTCCGCGTGACACTAAAACCAGTCTGACAGATTGTTTTGCCCGGGTGGTGACCGATTGCCCTGACCGCAGACCGCATTCCAGTTGAATAAAGAAAGGTTTAGACTAGCAATAAAATTTGGAGTTGACTTCCTGTCACCACTGTGTAAATCTTGCAAAAGTTTGCTTGCCACAGCTATTTACATAGTGGTAAATAGCTTAAAGAAGTCAACTTCTGCAAGTTATATCGCTAAAGCCTGGTCCGTGAGTACGTAGAATTTTGTCCAATGACCCCAAGCTACCCATCCTTATCGCTCGCGCATAATTACATTGCTGTCGCGACTGTGCGACGGGCGCCCGCAGTGAGTGTGCGAGCGCGATAGCAACATAATTACGCGCGAGCGATAAGGATTAGGCATGGAAATGATTGCTATTTTTCATTCTATGAAATGATGATTTTTTTTCATATGATTTCACATGCGAAATTTCACAGGCAATGATTTTTATTCGCATTGTTTTAATGTAGCTCTTTCATATAATGTGCTACTTTTAATGAAGTATGAATTATGATGAAGAATTGCTAATTAGCTAAAATATGAAATGTAACAATGGCTGTTTCATTTACGTCGCTCAACAAAAAACAAACAGTTTCACAGCACATTAATAACCGCGCGACTAATGAAAATCATTCATTTCATCTGCCTGCTATCTAATGAAATCACACGAATCATGACAAGGAAATCTAAACCTTACACCTTTGAGTTTAAAGTTCATATTTAAAATGCCCAGTTTCGTCCGTCATCACATCTCTTGTCCTTTTCTAACACGCACATGATCAAATAATTCCTTCTTACTCGCTCGGTCGCTTCGCAGAGCTGCGCTCACGAACTTCGCTCGAATGAATGAATGAAATTCATGTGATTCGTGATTTCGTTGACTGTGAAATTATAGCAGTCTATGTGAAGTAAAATAGCAGGTGTGATTAATGAAATTCATTTCATATGATTTTTCACCTGCTATTCATGAAATGTTCCATGCCTAATAAGGATGGGTAGCTTGGGGTCATTGGTAGGGTTTGCAAGTCCCGGTACTAAGGAGTGTTACTGAATTCCCGGTACCAGGTCTAAGCCAGTACCGGGAAAACCGGGAAATTCGGGAATTTCGGTACCCACGTAAATGGTTATTATTTATTAAAACAAATTACCTAATTTGTACGTAATTTTAATAAAAATGTACCTAAATAGGTTAACAAAAATATTAAACTTTTTCTGTTCAGTTCAATTGGTTTGTTACCTTAATAATAAATCAGTCCAAACAGTTACACAACACGACAAAACTAGTTATAAATGCCTATTAAAAATCATAACCGCCATATTCATAAAAAGCAACAATCGTTTAATCAACCTATTTTAGTTAAAATATGTTTTCTCACTTTCTATCAATGTCAAATACTGGCAGCGACAAGAGTTAAGAGTTCCTACTCTTAACTCTTGTGCGCCTGCACACCGTTGATTTTTAGTTGGCCGATAGTTATGCCCGGTTTTAAATTGTATGAAGAATCGGCCAAATCGAATCGGCGTAGTTTGCGCACTCCCATACATGCCTATACTGATCAACTGCACGACTAAACTATCGGCCGACAAAAAATCAACGGTGTGCGCCTACTCTTAGGGACGAAACATAAATTAACTAAAAATTAGGTTTATAAAAAAACACGCTGTTGAAAGAAATAATAAGTAGTATCTTAGTACAATCAGATAAAACAATCAGTCTTAAAAAGATAGTAATGAATTAGGAACATTAAGTATTAATATTTTTTCATTTGTTGATAGTGTGTACGTAAAAAGATGATGGCATCTAGTCAAAAAATTGTTATTAAAAATAAATTATTGAAGTCCCGAAAGTACCGAAAGTCCCGGGAATTGCATCGTCAGTACCGGAACTAGATAAAGGATTAGATTATCGGGAATTCCCGGGAAAAATGAGTACCGGGATTTCCCGGGAGCAAACCCTAGTCATTGGACAAAATTCTACGTGCTCACAGACCAGGCTTTATTCTAAACCCCGCTTTAGATCAGGTTATGTTACTGGCTGGCGTCCATCTCCCTGAACACGTAGTTGATCTTCATGATGGCGAGCCACAGACCCTCGTCGCCGATGTCGTGGTGCAGCGTGAAGCGGATGGTCTTACTGTTGAACGATGTGCCCTTTACGATCACGCCCTCGTCGTCTGGTGTTTTGCAGTCGCCCTGCAAAGCAAGAAAGTGATTATGTATTAAATTGTGGTCATTAGACAAAGGTACAATACGGAATAAGTGAGATATTATGTCAAAAAGTATAGTCTTCTAATGTTTCATCATGGTAGGGACACGATAGACCACAAAAAAATAACTTCCTTTTTTATATGAATATAGGTAACTCTTATAACAGAAGATTTATAGACACAGGAAGTCAAGTTATCGACTATCATTACGAATATCAAAACATGACAAATTCCTACATGTTATCGCAACGGGATTTTGTATATTATGGCGCGATCGAGAGATTCATCCGAACTAGATGGTTAAGCTAGTAAAAACCTTGCATGCATGTCAAATTCATAACTCGTCACATAGTTTTTGTTCTAGGTGCTCTGTTGACACCGTCACACATACCTGCGTCTCAGCCAGGCAGACTTGCTCTAGCCTCTGTAGCACCGCATCCGAAGTGAGAGGACTTTCAGGTGGGATCCGCACCAGTACGATGTTGGAGTGTTGGCTATCTGGGTCCACGGAGAACGACTTCAGGAACATGCCTTGGATCGCTGGGGAGAGGAGAATATTTTTAAATACTGAGGCATTTCTTTTTATTTTTGATCCTGATGGTTAAAGATACTTCGATGCGTAACATTTTGGTTGTAAAGTAATCTCGAGAACTTTTCTAATGTTTACCAAACACAATAGAAAAGTTCTTGAATGGGAACCACCTCTCAAGATGTACTGTAGGCAGGCCTCCCAGTCATTGGACCGACATCTGGTAAAGGTCGGCGGCACAGCTGGGGAAGGCCTTTATCAAGGACGTCATTTTTTTGAGACTTAAGAGACAAATTCCAGTTCTTGAAAAGCTCATAAAAAGCTCTAACTAAATATTCAACTCTTTTAGTAACTTCAACCAGTCTAATTTATAATCTACTCGAGATGTGTGAAGAAAAATAAATAAAATGATCAACGCTCACTTTTAGCCAGAATCTGCGCGCGCTTATGGTCCAGGGCCAGCTTGGGAACGATTTCATCCAACGCCACAAGCGCAGGCGCCGCCAGAACTCCCGCCTGCCGCATGCCGCCGCCTAGCATCTTGCGCACGCGCCGCGCCCTATGAGAAATATGCCATTTATCAACCTTGGTAAAAGAGAGTTGTACCAATAGAACACAATGCTTCGATGGATTTAGTATGGCCGATAACGTATAACAGACAGTGCTTAAAAAGAATCTACCGACACAATTACAGAGGCTGTAGGAAAATCCGTATAGACTTTGCATACATAGACTTTGAGCATTACATTACACCACATTCTATTCGGTTTTCCTCCCTCAAAGAAGTAATGGTGCCGGTGACGAAGCACCTTTACCCACATTCAAAGCAAACCAGATGCAATAGTAATTGAATTTCTTTTCAGATGCGCCGCGAGGCGAGTCTTTCACAGACCGATTAAAGTCTCTATTTACGTGCTCATTTTATACTTGATTTTAAGCAAGTCTAAGGCCGGCACACGGCGCAATGTCATTCTAAACAGCGTACCTAAGGCTCGGTTTCCACCAAAGCGAAGCGGAGCAGAGAAGTGTTTTGAATATTCCCACTTCCCTTCGCGCTGCGCCGCCGCCGCTGTTAAAATCCTATAGAAAAAGACAGTCCGACACTTCTCCTCTCCGCTTCACTTTGGTGGACACCGCCGACACCGGGCATAAAAAAGTACAGTATAATTATAGTCTTTTTAAAAATAAACTCACTGCTCAATGAAGTGGTAAGAGCCGACCAGCGCAGATCCCACAGGCGCCGACAGCCCCTTGCTAAAGCACACAGAGATACTGTCGCAGTCGCGCGCCACCCGAGCTGGGGACTCCTTTAGATGCTCGCACGCGTTGAACAGTCGAGCTCCGTCCATGTGGATGGGGAGCGAGTGCTTCTTGCATACCACGGCCAGCTCGTCTACCCATTTCAGGGGTAGTGCCTGTGTTAAAACATATAGGCTCAGAGATGGAATTGTGTAAAGCAAAGCAATCGTAATCATTTGACAGTTCATAACGTACGATAAAGTCAGTTATACAAAGCATTTGACAGAATAATCGTACGTTATGAACTGTCAAATGATTACGATTGCTTTACACAATTCCACCTCTTTATTTTATTTTATTGAATTTTTCTATTTGGGGGGTAGAGTTGACTAAGGAGAGCAATTAGCTCTCTTCAGCACTTCATCAAGCAGCTGTTTGACCCAGTGACTTATGGATTTGGTCCTTCGAGCAGGATATTAGGGATTTGGTCCTTCGAGCCGGATTCAATCCTATGGATTATCATCCCCATACCTTCCCGCCGCACACGTTGTGCGTATTCTCAATGCAGACAAGCGCTGTAAGCGGCTCGTGGATGTCTGAACCGCGCACGCGCGCTTCCAGCGCCGATAGCGAAAAAGTGCCGTCTGGCTGGTTGGGCAGCGTCGACAGCATTACACCGCCCAGGTGAGATGCGCCACCTTAAGGCGGAAGGCAATAAATATTAAGTCATTTTAGAGTTTAAAGGACTGTTTCTGGACAGTAAATAAGCCATGTTGAAAAGAAAGGAAGTTGACTAAAGTCTGGTCCGTGAGCACATAGAATTTTGTCCAATGACCCCAAGCTACCCATCGTTATCGCTCGCGCGTAATTATATTGCTATCGCGACTGTGCAACGGGCGCCCGCAGTGAGACAGCAACATAATTACGCGTGAGCGATAAGGGTGGGTAGCTTGGGGCTATTGGACAAAATTCCAGGTGCTCACGGACCAGGCTTTACACTCCCAAAACTGGCCAGACGGGTTGAGAAGGTCTGATGAAAGCATATTTATTGCTTTATACAGCAACCATAGGAACTATTAAGTACAACATTAAGTGAAGATAGTATTTAATGCATTGTTTTAACATTAAACATATTTTTATCTTAAAGAGATAATATTTATTTGTACAGAACAAAATTGTGTCTATGAAAACTGGATACTCTATTGATAAAAATTGATTTCTTACCTTGTTCATACTTGAAGATGTGTGTTAGATCTCCCACTACAGCCTCAGATCCTCTCTTATTGCAGTGCACCATAACTGAAAATATAAAACATGGTGATAGTCTTACATATGCTGGGTTTCTATGTTTAGTTTAGAAGTTTCTAACGCTACTCTTACCAACTTTTATTACAAAACAAAAGATAAGGAGGCATTAGAAAAATGAAATTGCATGGACAGTTGTTTCACTCAAAGACATCATCAAGGATTTCCTAAATGACTGATCCTGTGCCGCTGGCATCTTTCTGTCTCTTCCCTAGATCACTGGTCCACCGAATGGGAGGCCTGCCACACCAATTCATTTGCCGCAATGACCATCAGATCTATGAGCAGCATGATACTCTACAAATATAAACTTGAAAGTTTTCATAATTTTTATTGTACTCACTGGCTATGAGGTTGGACATAGTCCCAGAGGGAACGAAGAGCGCGGCCTGCTTGCCCAGCATATTGGCGATCTTGCTCTCCAAAGCATTCACTGTAGGATCTTCCCCGAAGACGTCATCACCTAAGGCCGAATTCGCCATGGCGTGCTTCATAGCCTTAGTGGGCTTCGTCACGGTGTCCGACCGGAGATCCACAATGTATGCCATGATGATGAGGTTGTAACAGCTTCACTTGGATAAGAGACCGCTCCACCGATAACTTGCTTGATAAAAATTCAAGTAGGCGCTGTAAGTGGCAACGGGACTATAGTATCTTAATACAGATCATCTAAACACGAATGATGAAATACGATAACAACAGCAGATAAATTACGAAAACCTTGAACCGCGAAGTTATAGGTTAAACTTTTATCTTCAACAATAAGTAGTGGGCAGGATAAACTTACAGGACAACTAACAGGATGTAATTAGCTCTGTTGCTATTGATATTATTGCGTTATTGATAGCACTTCTATACAAATAAGTTGCTTTGTTGATAAATTAATTAAATATCCTAGCGAACATTTAAAAACTTATAACTGGATCTCCTAATAAATCTTATTATCAAAGGTAATAAGGTTTAAAATTCTATGTATTGAACACAAGTTAAGATATTAATAAATGTCAAATATTTTGACATTGACAGATACAATGATTAAAAAAAAACTGTAAAAGTCAACATCATGGAGGTCAACATAGAGAAATCATCTGTTGAATAATACAAGTTATAGTGACCATGACCATAATATTAACCGATTAAAATAACTCCTTCTGGCGCAGTCGGGTAAAAACACAAAAGCACGCACGTGGTAACATAAAGTTAATTATACTGGTGGGAATCGAACTCACGCACGACACTTCAGCTTGCCCGGGGTGACTGCTCCTCTGAAAGCTGAATAGATTTTATACTTCTCCCATCTCCACTATAAATACTCTACTCGAATTATTAACAAATAGTGAATGGCTATTGTATCGTGTAAAACGGAACGCAATTGTCATGATTGGTTTCCATTTACCACGTTGCTTACATTTGTGACAGCTGTCTACTAATTCAATGTCTGCCATTGGCCAGAAATTTCCCAAGTTTGTTCATTTAGGTTTTTAGCCAATGGCGCATAGTAATTCGTAACCGCCAATGCCAAGAAATCGTAAATGAGAACAAACTGTATCGACAAGTTATTAGTTTCGGCAGACGTTGTGTCCTTATTTTAGCTTTTTTCCATTGTAAAAGCATTAATTTCTTCTAATACTTCTTAGTAATTAAGTTTAGTGCATGTACATTATTTAATTAATGAAAGTACTTAGCACCTGTATTGATTTAACCACAAAAGTTGATACGAAATTCGGCTAAACTCAACGCAAATTCGGGCGTCGACCGGTCCATCCCTCCTACCCGTAATAACCGTTGCCGTTCTGTCAGTCAGTCGCAATCGTCATTTTGTACGTATCATCGCCGTGCGCGGTCACGGGTAACGCGGACAGAGGAACAGCGAGGCGAGGTGATATTGTAAAGGATCTCGAGTGTTGTGAGGTGCAGTGTCGGTCGTCGCGACCGTTTAATGTGGTATCCAGTGCCGGTTTTAGGTTATCGGTTGTCGGGCCGCGCGGCGTGATTGGGCGGCACGATGGTGGACATGGATAGGAATGATCCGGAACTCCGGTACCTGTCGGTCGATCGGAACAGTTTCAATGACCCCGCGACTCAGGCGGAATGGACCCAGAAGCGGTTGGTGTGGGTGCCCCACGAGACCCAGGGCTTCGTGGCGGCCGGGATCAAAGGGGAGCGAGGGGACGAGGTGGAGGTGGAGATCGCCGAGTCCGGGAAGAGGATGCTGGTCCCCATAGACGACATCCAGAAGATGAACCCCCCGAAGTTTGATAAAGTGGAGGACATGGCCGAGCTGACCTGCCTGAACGAAGCCTCGGTGCTGCACAATATCAAGGACAGATACTACTCTGGACTCATTTATGTAAGTACCTCTTGACAATCATTACCAAAAATATGCTAAAACTGTTTATCCAATGATACATCTCTAGTCGTTGCATATTTTCATTAGACCCCACCGAATGCTAATGGTTTTAAAAGCCAAGCAATGCTTCGGCTAAGTAGGTAACCATTAAGCTTACGTGTTTCTAACGATATTTTTTAGTTGAGACTAGGAATGTGGGTGATGAGTCACAGCTAAACATGAAGTCATGAATAAGTAATTTTTTTGTTAACAGTCTATTGGCCCGCCTGTTCTGTTTGTCTAGGTGTTAAAATTGTTCATTTGCCACATTTACTTTGTTATTTATTACAACCATTGCCTATGTTCAGATTTTCTGTTACTGACTAGTAATACAGTTCAATTCTTTCATGTTGATTTACATGACATTTCCTTATTGGATACACAACAAATTACATGAAAGCTAGAGCCCCGATTACGGTAATTTTTAACGTCAACAATCCAGACACGCTTCTCGATTCTGCGATACGATTGGTCGTTCAACAGCGTACGTCAGCTGTTTTGACCAATCGTATTGCAGAATCAGAAACGCGTCTGGATTGTAGACGTTAAAAGTTACCGTAATCGGGGCTCTGGTTACATTACAGTTTTTTGAAAATGATTTCAAGCGAAACAAGTACAAATTAGATAACATAGTGTTCAACTTCCTTTTAAAAGTAATCCTTCCATAAATGAACAAAATTACTTATAGCTTAATAAACAAGTTGAGAATATCCCCTAAAATAGCTTTTGATTCATAATCATTATCTATACCTGGTTTATCTGTCCGATAAGGGCAGTCTAACTTCAATAATATTATCTAACTTATCTCTGTCGAATGCAGAAAGAATTTGTCTGAACTGTGGTTAACAGTAAACCATTGTTAGCTGAATGCCTTTGCTAAGTTGAAGATTAATAACCAAATAGATTCTTCATAACCCGTGTTCAGTAAGAGGCAACTCTTGATATCTGAATTTTGTCCGACAGGAATTTTAAAAAAGATACATAATTTTTGTAATATGTGAAATAATAACAGTTCTATTAAAATTGAACTGGAAAACTCCAGTTTAAACAAACATAAAACAAAATTACAATTTTAAAACATACCAACCGAATTGAGAACCTCCTCCTTTTGTTGAAGTCGGTTAAAAATGCATTTTACTCAGAAAAGATTGTACGCCTAGTAAGTAACTCTTGCATACTTAGTCCTTACCTTTCAAAGAGTACACACCCAATTTATCGAGGCATATATGGCACAGAATGGCTGATTAATCTTTATGATACTGGCATGTGCGGCAAAATGTTACCTTTGCGGCAAACAATTAAATCATTTTCAAAATCTCTTTTGTCTGTTATGATGGTAAATTATGATGTTCTTCTGAATGTTAATTGCTCCTTGACCTCTTTTTATTTATAGTGGAAAGATAATGATGAATATTGCAACATTTAAATACTGAAATGTAATTTCAACACTGCAGAGTTGGAGTGCCAATTTGGTGTAAGATCATCTAACTGTAAGATTCCCTTTAAAGTTGCATAGCTGGTTTGAAATTATTTTTCTTACACTAAAGCCTTTCAAGCTCCCCTTGCCCTTGCTGTGTATGAGTCCTACTGAAGAAATAATAATATTCCAATGTGCCTTTTTCCTCAAATTGTCCTAATTTCGTGTGTACTATGATCTAGATTCTAGGTACTCCAGCAACATAACCAATACCTGGAATTAAAACAACTTTTTCCTTATGTACCGATGGTCGTCGGTCATCGGACTGACAACAGGGGTCGGACGATTCGGACATCACCCGCCGCCGACCGTACGTAATGAAACCATCCGCAAGCCTTTGTTATTGCAATGAAAGGATTTCACGTGCCATTAACTTCGAGCGCTGATTAATAGGTCACACCATTGCGTCGTGATTTAGCTCATATATGCCGTGGCTGAAAACCTAAGCAGATGTTGTTATCTTCTTTAAGGGGTTCCCCGAAATTGTGAGATAAATAGGAATATGATAAAACATTAACTTTTAAAAAAAATAAAACCGACTTCAAATGCGTGAACACAAAAAAAAACTAAAAATTAAAAATGTTGCGTATAAAAAAGTTCATCCCCAATTTTCCACCCGTAGGGGTGAAATATTTTCTTCAAATTCGCATGAAACCACCCTTTTGATAATACCTATTCAACAAAAAAATAATCGTTCAAATTGATTTATAATCGGCGGAGATATTGCATATAAAAAAGTTCATCCCCAATTTTCCACCCTTGGGGGTTGTTTTTTCTATTATTAAATTTAAATGGGACCACCCTTGAGGTATTACCTATACGCCGAAAAAAGATTTGTTCAAATCGGTTCATAATTGGCGGAGTTATCGCGTAACAAACATAGAAAAAAAAAACATACGGGTCGAATTGAGAACCTCCTCCTTTTTTGAAGTCGGTTGAAAAGATAGAAGTACTGTGATAAAAATCACAAGATAAAGAAAACTTGTTATCACAAAGATCTTATTTCTTCTAATAACACAGACCAAACATTTTGCCTAAGTGCATATTTCAACACCTAGTAATCTTAAATAATAAATGTATGTACACTACCTATATGGTATTTTGTACACGGCAAATATTGATTTAGGTCCAACTTGACCGGTGATCTCGCTAAATATAACAACCGTGATCTCATCCAGGCCATGGTGCAGGCATTTTTCCTGTACTTTATTATGGTATCATTAAATTCCATGAACTTCCCTCCCTACACGGCAATGACTCACGGGCAAACAATGAAGGCTTGAACGTAAAATCGACATCAGATTATCCTCCCGAATATTTGGTGTCACTCTAAAACAAAACCAGTTTTGAACTTGGCTCCGGAGAGAGCTTTGACGTTAATTCAATACCAAAACATATCGCTCTAGATTTTTTGTCGAATTTAATCCTGCTCTGCTGACGTCATCGCACAGTTAATATCGCAGCTGCTTTATCTCCAGACTGTTTTGAATATTAATCGAAGAATTCTGCGGAGAAATGGCGAGCGAGTGCCGTTCGTCGCGATTGTCAAATAAATCTGGAACTCGGTGATGGATGTAGCATTATGTTATGAACCCAAGACTTGCAAACAGTTCACGAGCATCAACATGGGAGTGTTGACCTCAACCAGATTGGGAGGATTGTAGTTCGGCTAGCCGTTTACGGATTACTGACGTCGGCATACCAATCCGAGACTTAGCTCGGCCTTTGTGTCGCTTAGATTAGATACCTTTAGTGGTTTCTAATTTGTCCGGTCGTTGGTTTCGTAAGCCTGAGTAGATTACTGTTAATTGATAAGACGATCATAAGTCACCTTTTACAATCGATCTTAAGTCACCTTTGCCATTTTTCTCTGTAGCATAAAATTTCCAAAAAGTAACACATTAATCTGTGGACTAGTCTCTTGAACTCTATCAACGAGATGGATTCGAGAGAGCTGGTTTAGTTGGGCCAAATTGCCATTTTTCTCTGTAGCATAAAATTTCCAAAAAGTAACACATTAATCTGTGGACTAGTCTCTTGAACTCTATCAACGAGATGGATTCGAGAGAGCTGGTTTAGTTGGGCCAAATTAAAGGCGTCTTTCAGCTCATAAACCCTATTAGTAACTACCTAACCACTGAGGTGACTACCGAAACTAGAAGAAGGATTGTGAATAAATTGCTTGTTATTGCTGTGTTTGGCTTAACTTTCAAGGGTGAACCGATAAACTCCCGTGGGATACACCTTTAGGGATGTTTTCCAACCTTGGCGAGTGTCAATTGTTTGGCCAAAGACTTGGCTAAACGTCCCCGGCCAAAGCGTCTCGAGATGAATGTCAAGGTGAGGCGCGCCGCCGGCCGAAACGGCCGCAGCAGTCGTTGACCCCGCCGGGTTGGGGGGAGGCGGCCCACGCGAATACGTTGTGCGTTTGAACTCCACTACACTTCTGCTTTCCTGGTACTTTTCGGATGAACTTCAAATGAGGCTATTGTTTTTGGAAGTTCCTGTTTTTGCCAAATTACTTGGCCAATGGCGACATTTTTGGAGCTAGAAGAACTTCAATGTAAACACAAGTGGCACAGAAATTGGAGAAATTGTATAACGAGCGAACATGTTTGGTTAAACTCGCTAATGTGCTGCGATATTATCATGCTAAATTGAGTTTGTCATCACCAGGGCGTGCGACGCAGAAACGTCTGGGTGTGAATAGGATTATTTATAGGCCGATCTAATTAAACTGCTCGTTCGTTAGTACTTTCATATCACGCAAAGTACACATTTAAAATATGCGTGGGTCTTCTAAAATAGCATCATCGATAACAATACCTGTAATCTCCAGCTTGTTTCCAACGATTGCAAACTAAACAATCGACTATTATCGTTTTATCAACGATTTCAAGAAAGCAAGTTATCAATATCGCCAAGGTCTTCTCCGGTTGGATTGTTTCCCAAATTGAGAATATTAATTTGAATTTTAGATGGTGTAATAAATCTGGTAACGGATTTATCTTTGTCATGAATAAAATTATACGTAAACGAAGCCGAGAAAGATTTAAAACTTGTTGTCGCTCGGCTACATTGCTACAACATTCGATAATCTAAGTCATTTACATGATTTATCTTGGATTCAAATAACGTTTGAGCTTACCGGTTTTACTGGTAACAAAACATGATACTTTTTCTGTAATCTGAAATAATCATACATCTGAGTAGCGTCTTCTATTGAACTTGGGAAGTGATTCTGTAGAACATTCCAACATTGGTTGGAATAATATTGATTCTTTATTCGAATCCGTACCAATTAGGACGTAAAGAAAGATTCATTAATAATTGAAGAGCGCATTCAAAATGGTGAATGTATTAGAGATGATACCATTTCATGATCACACCATCCGTTGGTAGAACCACTTTTTGAATCTGTAAGCTACACGTATTTTGTAAAATTCACACAGCCACACGATAAGGTGCTGAAATTCTAAATTGG